TGTGTAAACACGATAACTTGAGTACCGTTACAGCTAGGTTGATGAAATTTCATATATAAGTATTTTATCAAAATCGTAGATCCGTATCAACTTTTGAGCGATTTCCGACAACCGGAAGTGGTACTTTTTCTACTTTGAATTTTTCAAAAGCCTATAACTTGAGTACTATTTCAGATAGATAAATGAAATTTCACATGTAAGTAAAAGATCTAATTCTCTACCTTCTGTTAAATTTTGAGTAATTTCCGTTGACAGGAAGTAGTAATTTACGCTACTTCCGATTTCTCAAAAAACTAATGTAAATTTTAAAAGTAATAATAATATTGCGCACTATTATGCGCTTTTTTATTTCGCGTTCACTTGGTGTGCAATTAATTTGTCTACGAGATTTTATTCTATTTTTAAAACTTTAAGTATTTAAAATGGATTAAAAATCATGTCTATAGCCCGAGTTCCCATCCCCTGTAGTTTTATATAAAAATATTCGAGAAAGTTTAGGGGAGATCACTCTCGGTTTATTTTTTTATATTGTGCTCTCTCCATTCATGGCTGAGCGAGCCCTAGCCCTTATAAAAATATGGACATGAATATTAAATACCCACCATCTCATACCCCCCCCCCCCCCGCCCAAACTCACCACTATGACAGTATACCCATTACATCACACCCATTACATCACACTCACCACATCAAACCAACCACACCTTACATCCGCCAGCGCACACCACCAGACAACTATCATGCAACACTACCACCCTACACACCATCATAAAACTATCATGCAACACTACCACCCTACACACCACCTCATACTACTTGACGCAGCATAGCATTGAGACTATTTTCTTAGAATGTTCGTATTATCAGCAATAAATAAATATCGTTCTTAAAATTTTACTAATTTTTTTTAACAACTTCGCACTAATTGCTTCTGGGTCGATTTTTACAAACAAAATAATACTTTTTTTCGAATTATATCGGAATAATGAAAGTCTGTTTTTTTGTTTGTGCATTTAAAATCTTATTATAAATGTTTATATAGACATGGTTTTGTTTTGTTCTTTCTAGTTTTTGAGTAATGTTAATTAATTTCAATGACTAATTCAATGATAAACATCTGAGCATTAGGAATTAGGAAAAATTTTGAAAAAAATATATTCGTATATAGCGTGTTTTTTTAAGGGAATTGTGTGTATATGTGTGTGTGCGTGCGTGTGCACGCGCGTGTATGCGTGTGTGTGTAGACCAGTGACTGGACCATTACCGGAGTGAGACGGTGGAAGTCTTGACGCTTGGAAGCGTGAACTAATTGGCAACAAGGGATTCAGAAAGTCTGGTGCTGGGTGGGTGTGTCCGACAGACAGAGGCGTAGCGCCCCCCCCCCCCGGAACAAACTTTCAATTAGGCGCCCCCCCCCCCCTATATTTTTTATATTTATAAATGCAAAACTGCAGCTAAAATGAGCTTTTATTTTTTTTTTCAAACCCAATTTGGCGCCCCCTCGGGTCGGCATACGGGGACATATGTAACCCCCCCCCCCCACCCTCGCTAAGGTTCTGCCGACAGGTAGGCTAGAACGCCAGGCTCGAACCACTTGGTCGCGTGGGGGGGGGGGCTGATTTATGGGTGTTGGTTGTAGGAGGCAAGATGTGTGGGGATGTGCAGTGGTCAGTGTGAGCTAGTTGGTGTTTAGAGACGGATATGTGAGTAGTGAAGGAGAGTCGTTGTTTGAGGATAATAATAATAATAATAATAATATGAATAATATGAATAATATGAATAATAATATGAATAATATGAATAATATGAATAATATGAATAATATGAATAATATGAATAATATGAATAATATGAATAATATGAATAATATGAATAATATGAATAATATGAATAATATGAATAATATGAATAATATGAATAATATGAATAATATGAATAATATGAATAATATGAATAATATGAATAATATGAATAATATTAATAATTATAATAATATGAATAACATAATAATATTATTATTATTATTATTATTATTATTATTATTAATAATAATAATAATAATAATAATAATAATAATATGAATATGAATATGAATATGAATATGAATATGAATATGAATATGAATATGAATATGAATATGAATATGAATAATATTAATAATTATAATAATATGAATAACAATAATAATAATATTAATAATAATAATAATAATAATAAATCCCTAAACCCTTTGAGGTCGTTGGGATACCACAGGTTTGTGTAGTGTGTCTAAGACAAAGTGTCGCATGGCAGCGCCCACCCCTCTCCATACCTGACCACAGCCGCATGCCCCCATCTAGGTGGCTCGCCGGTCACGAACCCGTGGCCGATAAAGTCCATCTAGGAACTAATGCGACCTGGCCGGTGACCTTTACTGGAGGGTCATACGCCGGGTTAGCATCAGTTGTTTCATTTTGGACTTTTCTCTCTTAGATTGGTCGCTGTCGAGCATCATCTGCCTGGGGTTTCGAACTCGGTACTTTTCCGTTTATCAATCATGACCTTTACCGACCTGACAACACCGACCCTAAAAAATTAATTAAGCACCCAATTAAGTGAAATTGGATGTCACATTGCATTATCATCGGATCTTGACCCACATGTCTAGTTTGAAAGAGATTGGTCCGTTAGACAGAGTATGCAAGTTAAATAAAAGCTTGCAAAAATTATGATACATTCAGATAGGCTAACATTTTAAACAAAACTAGGAACACATAAACTACTAGAAATATTACCTATCATTACAGATAAGAAATGTACATTACAATTTTCTCAAGGGATTGTGTGTAAAGTAGGCGTTACAAGCTATTGTGTAGAAAAAAAAAGCCTGACCGTTGTTTAACTAATGAAGAGAAATAATTGAACATTTACGGTTAAATTCCTTTGTAATGTTTAACTTTGAATTTCAGTTTTAATAATATTGTAATAAATTTACGGTCAAAGGGAAATGAACATGCAATTATTTCATATTGTAGTTTAGACGAGGTAATCTCGCTTAAATTGTTTGCGTACATTTCTTTGTGATAAAATGTTTAACTTAAGAAATTTAAACACTATCTAAATATTTACGAAAACTACACCATTTATTTTTCTCGTATTTTTAACAGCCTTACAACACTTTTTGAAAATACTTAGTGGAAGATTTATCTAAATGTCGTGCCGAGGTGATGACAGATGAGCTCTACTTCATCTGCCCATTGGTTCGACAGGCCTAAACGAGAATTTTTTTACTTCATCGCCCCTCCCTCTGCCTAACTCAACTCTCAAAACTTAATTTTTTTTAAAATGCAGCCTTTTTTTCTAAAATATTTACTGGGCATAGTCAACGTTCAGTTGGCCTAAATTGATTTTTATTGAAATGTGTTAAATTAACAAAGTGAATCGACGGTTTAAATTCGGTTTCTAAAATTAATGCATACGCGTATCGTCACACTTTCTGAAATTCTCCTCCAACCTCTCCGGAGTGTGACGTCATTTTTGGACGAACCCTAATATAAAACAAATTAATTTTTTAAAATAAAAGCAAGCTTTTAAATGCATTGAAAATAAGATAATAAAACTAATTTGCTTTTTTTCATAAAAGCTTTGGTTGCTAAAATATGTAAAAGATTTCATAAGCGACCAAAGCTTTTATGAAAGAGAGCAAATTAGTAATTCATAATTTATTAATTCGATACAACCAATGCTGTGACTAAAAATATTTGCTTTATACATAATTCTCTTCATGGAGGGACCATGCGGGAAGTAGACGCACGCCGAGCCCCCCCCCCCCCCCCTCTCTCTCTCTCTCTCTCGCTCTCCATGCATGCTCAACAGATCATATCGCTACCACCCCAGATAATTTAGTTTTTTTAAACGATTTGAAACTAAGGGGAGGTAATACCAAGCTCTGCTTGATCTTTTTATTGATAGTGTTTTAAAGCAAAATTATGAATTACTGAAAAATAGAAAATAAAGCAATTAAATAGCGGCGTACAATACGTCGCGTGTCAGCTCGTTTGCTTTAAAACACTACCAGTAGCTCTTAAAAGACGATTTCACACCCCCTCCCCCATTGAAAGCAGCCGTCCGTGATAATAGTTTACAGGTGACAGCAAACCGATGACGCAGATCTTGTCACTTCCCATTAGTTTCAAATAGTTTAAAAACTCTATTATCTGCCCCTATTAGCATTCACTTGATCGACCTGCTCTACTATTGTAAACATTCGGCGTGAACTACAGCTCACCAGACGGGTCGGACGATAGCTTCTAGCTATTTAGCTCCCCTTCTGTTATTGAATATAGTAATCTATAGTTTTTTGTTGTTGTTGTGTTGTTGTTTTTTTTTACTTTATTATCTCCCCTTAGTTTCGAAACCGCTTGATTAATTTTTAATGACTAATCAACCATCAAAATAAACTATAAATTAGACAGACATGTATTATCATCGAAGTGGAACTTGCCTGGAAAGTTTGAACAAAATCGCTGCATTAGAAGTGGGTCAAAATTGAGTTACAAGATTTGCCACAAACAAACAAACAAGCAAACAAATAAACAAACAGACGTTGCGAACTAAATAAAAGCTTGTAAAAACTAGCACCTCTTTGGAAAGCAAGCGATTTCGTAAACGAAAATATGTGTAATACTTTGCTTGCGTTTTGGGGTTATAATGGGGAAAATCCTTGAAAAAAAATATATGAATGCTTTTCCTTTTTAAAACTTATTAATTCTAAAATTCGAAATAGTTGTGGACTTCATACATATCCATTTATGTAGTGTGACGTGTCTTGTAGTTACGTCACTCTGTCCAGTCTGTGACGTGCAGTTATTAACCCTTGTTATCTAACACAGTAACTGCCCTTAGCCAATGTTGTTCAGAAGAAAAAAGTGATGTTAGTATAAACTGCGTCAAAGAACTTGAAGCTTCTCCACTCTGCACTACGTAAGGACATCAGAACTTAAAAAACAAGTACGATCAAACAGATACAGTGTTGAATTTTTACGTGATTTGAGTTAGATAAAAGTTGTTTAAAAGAAGTACCAGGAACTTGTTACAAAACTAGTGAGATCATTCCGTTTTGTCAACAACTGCTGCCGGCTGAGTTTCTATTAACAGGTCGGTATCTGGGGTAGTGGGTGGTCAGTGTGTGGGAAGTGTGTGGTCAGTGTGTGGTTAATGTGTGGTTAATGTGTGGTGTGTGTGGTCAGTATGTGGTTAATGTGTGGTCAGTGTGTGGTTAATGTGTGGTTAATGTGTGGTGTGTGTGGTCAGTGTGTGGTTAATGTGTGGTCAGTGTGTGATTAATGTGTGGTTAATGTGTGGTGTGTGTGGTCAGTGTGTGGTTAATGTGTGGTCAGTGTGTGGTTAATGTGTGGTTAATGTGTGGTGTGTGTGGTCAGTGTGTGGTTAATGTGTGGTCAGTGTGTGGTTAATGTGTGGTTAATGTGTGGTAAGTGTGGTCAGTATGTGGTTAATGTGTGGTGTGTGTGGTCAGTATGTGGTTAATGTGTGGTGTGTATGTGGGCAGTGTGTGGGAAGTGTATAGTCAGTGTGTGGTACGTGTGTGGTCAGTATGTGGTTAATGTGTGGTGTGTGTGGTCAGTATGTGGTTAATGTGTGGTGTGTGTGTGTGGGCAGTGTGTGGGAAGTGTATAGTCAGTGTGTGGTACGTGTGTGGTCAGTATGTGGTTAATGTGTGGTGTGTGTGGTCAGTATGTGGTTAATGTGTGGTGTGTGTGTGTGTGGGCAGTGTGTGGGAAGTGTATAGTCAGTGTGTGGTACGTGTGTGGTCAGTGTGTGGTTAATGTGTGGTGTGTGTGGTCAGTATGTGGTTAATGTGTGGTCAGTGTGTGGTTAATGTGTGGTTAATGTGTGGTGTGTGTGGTCAGTGTGTGGTTAATGTGTGGTCAGTGTGTGATTAATGTGTGGTTAATGTGTGGTGTGTGTGGTCAGTGTGTGGTTAATGTGTGGTCAGTGTGTGGTTAATGTGTGGTTAATGTGTGGTGTGTGTGGTCAGTGTGGTCAGTGTGTGGTTAATGTGTGGTCAGTGTGTGGTTAATGTGTGGTTAATGTGTGGTAAGTGTGGTCAGTATGTGGTTAATGTGTGGTGTGTGTGGTCAGTATGTGGTTAATGTGTGGTGTGTATGTGGGCAGTGTGTGGGAAGTGTATAGTCAGTGTGTGGTACGTGTGTGGTCAGTGTGTGGTTAATGTGTGGTGTGTGTGTGTGGGCAGTGTGTGGGAAGTGTATAGTCAGTGTGTGGTACGTGTGTGGTCAGTGTGTGGTTAATGTGTGGTGTGTGTGGTCAGTATGTGGTTAATGTGTGGTGTGTGTGTGTGGGCAGTGTGTGGGAAGTGTATAGTCAGTGTGTGGTACGTGTGTGGTCAGTGTGTGGTTAATGTGTGGTGTGTGTGGTCAGTATGTGGTTAATGTGTGGTGTGTGTGTGTGGGCAGTGTGTGGGAAGTGTATAGTCAGTGTGTGGTACGTGTGTGGTCAGTGTGTGGTTAATGTATGTATGGTTAGGTTCTGCTGTTTATCAAAAATTTAGTTTATTTATTTTTTAGCTATTATCTTTCCATAATATAGTGTTATCGTTAGTAAAATACGTATTCAACTAATACTATTCAGTGGTGAAGATCAAACGTGTGTACCTTTTACTTAAAAATAAAACCTCCCATAGTCGGTACTTGATTCAGCTAAATGAGTTAAGTGAAGTAATTGAATGTTTATCCACACATCTTTATATATATATATATATATATATATATATATATATATATATATATATATATATATATATATATATATATATATATATATATATATATATATATATATATATATTGCAAGATAGGAAGCTGAAACACTGAAAACAATAACGAGTATGTGAGTGATTTGGAAAAAAATCTCAAATTTTTTTAATTTATTTATTTAGAGATAAAACTAATGGCTATCTGACCGAGTCTGACCTATTATACTTAGAAAAAATCTTTGTGTCTGCATTTGATAGAACATTAGTTACACGTAGGTAACCTTAATAAGTCTTATCATTAGCGCAACTAGCTACAACAGCAACTTAAGTAACTTGTTACACCTTATATAAAATTTACTGAGATAAATATATCATCAAGACTTCCTAACGTGACTGACTGACCTCGCTTTAAACATTTTTTGTTTACAGTCAAGAAGTTATGGGATATTTAAGAAAATTTATAACAAAATGAAAACATGCCATGTCTAAATTTTAAAACATGATAATTTAGCAAGGATTGATTTATCCCCCCCCCCCCCCCCCAGTATGTGGACGTTTGTCTATGTGTTGGCCGTGTGCTTCCCGCCCCTCTGGGCAGACGTGGGCGTCACCATCACCAACCACTGGAACGGTGGTTTCCAAGGCGACGCCTGTTTCGACATCACGGTTGAGCTGCACTCCTGGACGGTGACCTTGACCTTTGACCAAGTGATCAACTCTCTGGAGGTAGGCAGGGGCGGTAATTACGACTTCAAGGGTGATAATTATGTAAAAGCAAGAGTTGAAATTGTGTGGCAACAAAGACGATTAAGAAATGGCATCGAGAGTTTGACATCCACGACAGTAATGGGATGACAAAAGGGCCGATAATTCTATCCCAACTTGCGAATGAAATAGAATGACATGGGAGGTAATTTCTACAATAATAGGTAAAAGTTTTCAAACCACCACAAGCTTTAAAAACCCCATAAGCTACCGTACAGTGGCGTAACTAGGGTTTTCACGGCTTGGAGCCGACTTGACGTGGAACCCATAATTAAACATAAAAATTATATTTGATGAATTGGATGCCCTTTACCCAAAAAGTACGGCTGATGTCTGGCGCTATACTACTACAACTGCCAATATGTTTTTTTTAAATCCATAAAAAAATAGCTAATAAAAGAAAGACTCCCGTTCAGCTAATATTCAAACAAAATTTTAAGCTATGTTTTAAGCTGCAGGTTTTGACGGCCATTAAATCAAATCTGTTACTGCAGGTTTGGACGGCCATTAAATCAAATCTGTTACTGCAGGTTTGGACGGCCATTAAATCAAATCTGTTACTGCAGGTTTGGACGGTCATTAAATCAAATCTCTGTTACTGCAGGTTTGGACGGCCATTAAATCAAATCTCTGTTACTGCAGGTTTGGAAGGTCATTAAATCAAATCTCTGTTACTGCAGGTTTGGACTGTTAGTAAATCAAATCTCTGTTACTGCAGGTTTGGAAGGTCATTAAATCAAATCTCTGTTACTGCAGGTTTGGACGGTCATTAAATCAAATCTCTGTTACTGCAGGTTTGGACTGTTAGTAAATCAAATCTCTGTTACTGCAGGTTTGGACGGTCATTAAATCAAATCTCTGTTACTGCAGGTTTGGACGGTCATTAAATCAAATCTCTGTTACTGCAGGTTTGGAAGGTCATTAAATCAAATCTCTGTTACTGCAGGTTTGGAAGGTCATTAAATCAAATCTCTGTTACTGCAGGTTTGGACTGTTAGTAAATCAAATCTCTGTTACTGCAGGTTTGGACTGTTAGTAAATCAAATCTCTGTTACTGCAGGTTTGGACTGTTAGTAAATCAAATCTCTGTTACTGCAGGTTTGGACTGTTAGTAAATCAAATCTCTGTTACTGCAGGTTTGGACGGCCATTAAATCAAATCTCTGTTACTGCAGGTTTGGACGGCCATTAAATCAAATCTGTTACTGCAGGTTTGGACGGCCATTAAATCAAATCTCTAATACTGCAGGTTTGGACGGCCAGTAAATCAAATCTCTGTTACTGCATGTTTAAAAGGCCAGTAGGTCAAATCTCTAATACTGCAGGTTTGGACGGCCAGTAGGTCAAATCTGTTACTGTATGTTTGGACGGCCAGTAAATCAAATCTCTGTTACTGCAGGTTTGGACGGCTGACATCATCGACACATCAGCTGATCATAAAGTTTACAAGCTACACAACAAGGACTGGAACAAGGATGAGCACGTCGGTGACAGGCTGTGTATTCAGTTTCTAGGTCACGGTGAGTACAGTTGTCAATTGGTGACCTATGTTGGAGATCCATGTTGGTGACCCATGGTGGTGACCCATATTGGTGACCCATGTTGGTGACCCATGTTGGTGACCCATGTTGGTGACCCATGTTGGTGACCCATGTTGGTGACCCATGTTGGTGACCCATGTTGGTGACCCATGTTGGTGACCCATGTTGGTGACCCATGTTGGTGACCCATGTTGGTGACCCATGTTGGTGACCCATGTTGGTGACCCATGTTGGTGACCCATGTTGGTGACCCATGTTGGTTACACATGTTGGTGACACATGCTGTTTACCTTTGTTGGTGACCCATGTTAGTGACCCATGTTGGTGTTCTATGTTGGTGACCCATGTTGGTGACCCATGTTGGTGACCCATGTTGGTGACCCATGTTGGTGACCCATGTTGGTGACCCATGTTGGTGACCCATGTTAGTTACTTATGTTGGTTATAGGTTGTGCGACACTTTCTAGACCACGGCGAATAGACCGGTCAACTGGTGTCATGTGTCAACTAGTCTGTCGTCACATGACTCCCGTAGCCATATAATTCCTAGAGTCACGTGTCTACTTTCAGGCGATGGTGACATCGTCCCCACAGCGACGGCCTCCATAGAGGGACTCCCAGACGGTGGTACAGGCATCACTGCAGCCCCCACAGCTTCAAGTAAATATAGCGTGTGTGTGTGTAGTTGTGTGTGTATGGGGGGGGGGTGTTATCCGTCATCACTCCAGCATTCACAGGTTCAAGTCATTCCATAAAGTGTGTGTGTTTTGTATGTGCATGAGTGTGTGCGTGTGAGTGTGCGTGTATATGCCTGTGTGTTTTTGTATTTCAGGGGAAAAACATGTATTGTATAACGCACTGAGAGCGCATTAATAATTTTAAAAATGTATCTACTTAATTGTGCATGTTTAGTTCATTGTTGTATATTATGTGTGGATCCATGTAATCGTTGAGTAACCACAGCATACGTTTTTGTGTGTGTTTAACAACCTGTATCTGTCTGTTCACAGCCTCACCAGGTGAAACCCCAGCACCAACACCAGCCCCTACAACAGCTAAACCTTGTAAGTTCAACAACAAACATAAAGACTTCTTCGTGAACTAAGTTATTTCTATTTGGTTTTGTGGTCGCCATAAAGAATTGAGCACCCCCGCCCTACTCATTCTCATTGGTCGTTACCACAAAATCATCTTCCCCCTCCACCATCACCTCCCCTCTTTTAAAAGTTACTAAAATGTACCGATATCGTCTAAATTAGAAAATATATTTAGCATTTTTTATCACTACTTTTTAAAGAACTTCGTTATCACTATCTGAGTGATATCATTAACTATATGGAGGGGGGGGGGGGTGTTGATAGCCCCCAGCGCAACACCATACTACAATTTTTTTTAAATTGGTTTAAATGTATTATATGGCTATTTTTTTGCTTGTTTGTAATTTTTATGATTAAATACAAGTTGTGTTTTCAATCTTTCTTGATGTCGGCCCTAACTCACTTTACTCAAAGATCGTTATCTACTTTCCTTTCAAATGAATACAATCTGTTCATTATACCAAGACAATCACGTGATAACCGTATCATGCTTTCAGTGCCACCTATGACTGGAGACGGCGTCACATCGACGCTGAAGATCAACTCAGACTGGGGCAACAGATTTGATGGAGAATTTGATTTTCTCGTCAACGAGGACCTGGCCGGCTGGATGATCAACATCTCATACAGCAAGCAAGTTACCAAAATGGACGTCAGTACATGCGTGCTTTTCTATTCTTTTACAATACTCTAGCCTTCTTTCGATGCCCTTTGCGAGTACATTACACCTACCTTTAAGAAGGTTAAACAAAACGCTAATCATACATGTTTGGTGGCTCTTGATGAATCTGTTTGATACAGTGTTTCTGCTAGACATTTTTCTACATGGAGGGTGGCACTTTCGAGGGGGGAGGAGAGGGCGTACACTGGTTTAAGCATATATATTTTAGATATAAATTATATTTTTTGTAATTTCAAGAGATGCCTGAAAGAAACTCTCGTTTGATACCTCATAGGCTTGGTACTGTTGGGTATCTTCTTTTAGTCCTTCACTGAAATGGAAATCTCTGTTTGTGTCAGAAAATTAAACAATGGTCAGCTGCTCAAAATAGAGTCCTTTGAGTATCTGCTCAATGACACTGTGCTACAGCGTCCAAACATTTTTTGTTCCAGATTTTTATCGGTGACGCCATCTACACCTCTCCTGATGGTCTCAACTGGGTCGTGGTGGACAAGGGTCAAGATGGCTACTTCCACGCCGGAAGTCAGCTCAATCTAAAGTAGGTTTACAGTCTAGTTCCTGGCTCAATCTAAAGTAGGTTTTACAGTCTAGTTCCTGGCTCAATGTGAGCGGGTGAATGGATTATTTTGTATTATTTTATTTGTTGCGAATCTGGGAGTGCATGGTGGTCCAATTATTTTGTCTAGATCTAGATTCTAGTTTTTTTATAATAACTTTGGTTCCATATTTTGTTAAATAAATTTTATTAAATTGTTAAAAGTTTTTTTGTTTTTAATTTAGACTAAGGTTAGGTTATTAACCAGTCTGGGTTACCGGACTTGCACTGACCGGACAGTAGTTAGTTAGATAAGCCTAGAAGGGTAGATATTAGGTATCCCCCCCCCCTAGCAGAGCTTACATCAATCTAAAGTAGGTTTTACAGTCTAGTTCGTAGCTCAATCTAAAGTAGGTTTTACAGTCTAGAAATATAGTTCCTAAAGCCTCAACCACGAACCAAATGATATTTGGCAGAATGGTGCATCTGTGTGTGTGTGGGGGAGGGGGGGGGGGGGGGGGGGTGGGGGGTAAATGTAGGTCACTCAAAAGCTAGAAAACGATCGCACTTGTGTAATTTTTATAATAGCTTTCTCTTGGTGCTTTTAGTGTATAGCTCTTGGTGGATCTCGGGTAGGACATCGTCACCCATCCCACCCACACCACCACCTACAAAGACAGAGTTTTTACATTTGCTTATTAAAACATGTTATCTATTTATAATTATTGTTATACTTTTAATTTAAGGAAACGTAATTTTACAATGTACTTTTCTGTTCAATCCGAAACTACCTTAACTTTTAATAATGCCTCTACTAACGTGCTTAAATTATTTTAAAGGTTTTTTGGCAACTATGAAGGCGGGTCTCCGGCCCCCACGGGTCAAGCCGTGTTGATCAACATGGGGAGGGACAAGTGGGTGGTGGACCCAGCGCCTACAAGTAGGATCTCGTGACGTCACTCTGTCATTTGTATGACGTGCTTGTCTTGTAGTTACCTCACTCTGTCCAGTCTGTGACGTGCTTGTGGGATCTAATCACCCTGTACTTGACGTCATGTCGTACTGGTTGTGTAAAAGTGTAGCTACCCTTCCGTCAATAGCGCAGGTGGAGTAGAGTTCACATGTATATCTCTTCATGAAGGGACAATGTGTTCAGCTCGTATATCCAGCTGGACGTTACTTTAACCAGGAAAATGGTACTCAGCACAGCTGGGTATACTCAATGTGGGCTTACGGACTCCAGGCCGGGAACCGAACAGGAGACTTTCCGGTTAGCACTTGTGTGCTCTATCGCTCAACACACCGTACAATAACATTTTGCTTTCCTTCATTGCTTGTCAAGTTAAAATTTATGAAGTGTTCTAACACCTGTCAACGCTCATTAGAAAGTTACATCTGTTGAACTCCGGCCTAAAATTGGTCACTATTCATCAAGGTGTAAATGAAAGTTAGTGTTATGTCTAGAAACATTATGGCGATTTAAAATAAGATTGAAAAGTTTGTTTTATCTGAAGCAAAATATATCTACGTTTGTAAAAGACAACTCGAAATGCAAATGTTTTTCATAGTGGACTTTTAAATTTTGTGTTTATAGCGGACACGACGAAATACAACTACAACGACGTTCTCATGAAGTCCATCATGTTCTTTGAAACCCAGCGATCCGGTAAACTGCCGGCAAGTAACCGGATCCCGTACAGGGGCGACTCCGCTCTGGGGGACAAGGGGGATGCTGGGGAGGATCTGACAGGCGGATGGTATGATGGTAAGTGATGGTAGGATGGTGGGATGGTGAGATGGTATGATGGTAAGTGATGGTGAGATGGTGTGTGATGGTGGGATGGTATGATGGTAAGTGATAGTGAGATGGTGGGATGGTGTGGGATGATGGGTTATGTGTGGGATGGTGTGGGATGGTGGGATGGTATGTGATGGTGAGATGGTGTGGGATGGTGGGATGGGGTGGGATGGTGAGACGATATGTGATGGTGGGATGGGGTGGGATGAAGGAAGTTACAGATTGTATGTGATGGTGAAAAGGCGATGATTTGGGTGGTATGATGCTATAATGGTGTTTGATGCCGAGGTTTTGATTGGTATGATTGGTGTGTGACGGTGAGGTGGCGTGTGTATGCGTATGGTCAGATGATATGCGTGTGTGTAGATGGCGTGCATTAACCATTTCAATGTTGAGACAGCAAGCATTCTGGACTTGACAAGCTTACATTTGAGACGATCTGGTTAATACATCAGTGTAATCAAATAAAACATTTGTTTATCTCCCAGCTGGAGACCACGTCAAGTTCAACTTCCCCATGGCCTACTCTAGCACCAATCAAATAAAACATTTATCTCCCCAGCTGGAGACCACGTCAAGTTCAACTTCCCCATGGCCTACTCTAGCACCAATCAAATAAAACATTTATCTATCTCCCCAGCTGGAGACCACGTCAAGTTCAACTTCCCCATGGCCTACTCTAGCACCAATCAAATAAAACATTTATCTCCCCAGCTGGAGACCACGTCAAGTTCAACTTCCCCATGGCCTACTCTAGCACCAATCAAATAAAACATTTATCTCCCCAGCTGGAGACCACGTCAAGTTCAACTTCCCCATGGCCTACTCTAGCACCAATCAAATAAAACATTTATCTCCCCAGCTGGAGACCACGTCAAGTTCAACTTCCCCATGGCCTACTCTAGCACCAATCAAATAAAACATTTATCTCCCCAGCTGGAGACCACGTCAAGTTCAACTTCCCCATGGCCTACTCTAGCACCAATCAAATAAAACATTTATCTCCCCAGCTGGAGACCACGTCAAGTTCAACTTCCCCATGGCCTACTCTAGCACCAATCAAATAAAACATTTATCTCCCCAGCTGGAGACCACGTCAAGTTCAACTTCCCCATGGCCTACTCTAGCACCAATCAAATAAAACATTTATCTATCTCCCCAGCTGGAGACCACGTCAAGTTCAACTTCCCCATGGCCTACTCTAGCACCAATCAAATAAAACATTTATCTCCCCAGCTGGAGACCACGTCAAGTTCAACTTCCCCATGGCCTACTCTAGCACCAATCAAATAAAACATTTATCTCCCCAGCTGGAGACCACGTCAAGTTCAACTTCCCCATGGCCTACTCTAGCACCATTCTGGCCTGGGGTTACCTGATGTACAAGGACGCCTACGAGGCGGCTGGTCAAGCGGATTATCTGCTGGACTGTATCAAGTGGCCGCTGGATTATCTGCTGAAGTGTCACACCAAGCCGGACGAGCTTTACGTACAGGTAAACAATATCTGAGGTAAACAATAGGTAAACAATGTGTAGGTGTACACCACGGGTAAATAATATATGGGGTAAACAATAAGTAAACAATATCTGGGGTAACTGCAGGTAAACAATATCTGGGGTAAACCGCAGGTAAACAATATATGGGGTAAACAATAGGTAAACAATGTGTATGTGTACACCACAGGTAAACAATATCTGGGGTAAACAACAGGTTAACAATATCTGGGGTAAACCACAGATAAACAATATCTGGGGTAAACCACAGGTAAACAATATATGGGGTAAACAACAGGTTAACAATATATGGGGTAAACAATAGGTAAACAATGTGTATGTGTACACCACAGGTAAACAATGTATAGGGTAAACCACAGGTAAATCATTTCTGGTGTAGCTTACATGTTAGCAGCCACGCCCAAAGTTGCTCAGTGACAACATCATAGGGTTAAAGGGCAACTACAATGAAATGCCGTCCATTAATGATGTCGCAAATTTTCTAGTAGATTTTTTCCCTTTAAACTAAAACAGCTGCTATTTACATTTTAAAATGGTATGACCTCACCTTTTCTTAACCCCCCCCCCCCCCCCCCCCCCCACTCCCCCATCGTCACGAAAATCCGACTCCGCCTGAAACAACAAGACGTTTGACATAATTTATGGACGCCCGCTACGATCTTATTAATTCACTATTCACCGTAGGCCTTTTAGCCATCCTAGAGAAAATGTATCTCATCCCTTATAGAGCCAATATAAAGAGTTATTTAAAAACATTCACGTAACCCTCTATGACTCACCCCTCGTTCACCTGATAAGGTGGGAGACGGCGGTGCTGACCACAGCTACTGGGGACCACCCGAGTTGATGACCATGGCCCGCCCCGCCTACAAGATCACAGCCTCCAAGCCAGGGACTGACGTTGCTATGGAAACAGCGGCAGCGTTTGCAACAGGATCCCTGGCCTTCCAGACCAAAGGTTATCTACATGTAAACTGTCTCTGTCTACAGACAATCCTACTATCCCAACTATCCCTGTACTAATCATCCCAATATCCCAAACATTAGTGTCTACAAACAACGATCCTAATATCCAAGTTGTCAATGTCTATAGATAACCAGAATATTCGAACGATCCATATACAAATTATCCTAATATCCTACCGAGCACATCACAAATTATTCTAATATCACAACCAGCACATCATAGATTTTCCTACTCTCCTAACAAGAATTACACAGATTATCCTTATATCCCAACGACCCCTCCACGAATTATCCTAATATCCCAACGACCCCACCACAGATTATCCTAATATCCCAACGAACCTTCCACAGATTATCCTAATATCCCAACGGCCCCTCTACAGATTATCTTAATGTCCTAACTACTCCTTCACATGTTATCCTAATATCCCAACGACTCCCTCCACAGATTATCCTAATATCCCAACGACCACAGATTATCCTAATATCCCAACGACCCCCTCCACAGATTATCCTAATATCCCAACGACCACAGATTATCCTAATATCCCAACGACCACAGATTATCCTAATCCCAACGACCACAGATTATCCTTAACTCCCAACGACCACATATTATCCTAATATCCCAACGACTACAGATTATCCTAATCCCAACTACCACAGTTTATCCTAATATCCCAACAATCCCACCACAGACCCCGCCTACTCGGCCACTCTACTCCAGCACGCCAAACAGCTGTGGGACTTCGCCAACACCAACAGGGGCATCTACAGTGACTCGGTGCAGGCGGCCGCCGCTTACTACAGGTGAGTCATGCTACGGCTGACTCACAGCGTCAGACTTGATGACTCGCAGCGTCAGAGTTGATGACTCGCAGCGTCAGACTTGCTGACTCGCAGCGTCAGGGTTGATGACTCGCAGCGTCAGACTTCCTGACTCGATATTCAGGCTTTCTGACTCGATATTTAGACATCATGACTTTCGGCGTCATATTTTTTGACTGTCAACTACAGACTTGCTGACTCACAGCGTTAGAATTGCTGACTCGTACCCTCAGACTCGTTGACTCAAACCTTTATTTAGACTTGATGACTCTTCAACTTCAGACGTTATATTGACAGGTCCTAGTTACCCAAATGTTCTATGTCGACAGGTCCCAGTTACCCAAATGTTCTATGTCCACAGGTCCTAGTTAACCAAATGTTCTATGTCGACAGGTCCCAGTTAACCAAATGTTCTATGTCGACAGGTCCTAGTTACCCAAATGTTCTATGTCGACAATTCCCAGTTAACCAAATGTTCTATGTCCACAGGTCCTAGTTAACCAAATGTTCTATGTCGACAGGTCCCAGTTAACCAAATGTTCTATGTCCACAGGTCCTAGTTAACCAAATGTTCTATGTCGACAATTCCCAGTTAACCAAATGTTCTATGTCCACAGGTCCCAGTTAACCAAATGTTCTATGTCGACAGGTCCCAGTTAACCAAATGTTCTATGTCCACAGGTCCCAGTTAACCAAATGTTCTATGTCCACAGGTCCCAGTTAACCAAATGTTCTATGTCGACAGGTCCCAGTTAACCAAATGTTCTATGTCCACAGGTCCCAGTTAACCAAATGTTCTATGTCGACAGGTCCCAGTTACTCAAATGTTCTGTTGACAGGTCCCAGTTAACCAAATGTCCTATGTCTACAGGTCCCTACTAAAAATGTTCTATGTCGACAGGTCCCTACTAAAAATGTTCTATGTCGACAGGTCCCTACTAAAAATGTTCTATGTCGACAGGTCCCAGTTACCCAAATGTTCCATGTTCACAGGTCCCAGTTAACCAAATGTCCTATGTCTACAGGTCCCTACTAAAAATGTTCTATGTCGACAGGTCCTAGTTACCCATATGTTCTATGTCGACAGGTCCCAGTTACTCAAATGTTCCATGTTCACAGGTCCTAGTTACCCAAATGTTCCATGTTCACAGGTCCTAGTTAACCAAATGTCCTATGTCGACAGGTCCTACAACATCAGTGACGAGCTGTGCTGGGGATCCCTGTGGCTGTACCAGGTGACCAACGACAGCAAGTACCTGGACGTGGCCGAGAGATACTTCGACCCTGAGCCGGCCTGGGGGATGTCGTGGGATGACAAGACCATCGTTAACCAGGTCTGGTGTGGTTAGAGGCTAAACCAGGTCTGGTGGTGTTAGAGGCTAAACCAGGTCTGGTGGGGTTAGAGGCTAAACCAGGTCTGGTGGGGTTAGAGGCTAAACCAGGTCTGGTGTGGTTAGAGGCTAAACCAGGTCTGGTGGGGTTAGAGGCTAAACCAGGTCTGGTGGTGTTAGAGGCTAAACCATGTCTGGTGGGGTTAGAGGCTAAACCAGGTCTGGTGGGGTTAGAGGCTAACCCAGGTCTGGTGGTGTTAGTCAGCCATGTCTGGTGGTGTTAGAGGCTAAACCAGGTCTGGTGGGGTTAGAGGCTAAACCAGGTCTGGTGGTGTTAGTCAGCCATGTCTGGTGGTGTTAGAGGCTAAACCAGGTCTGGTGGGGTTAGAGGCTAAACCAGGTCTGGTGGTGTTAGAGGCTAAACCAGGTCTGGTGGTGTTAGAGGCTAAACCAGGTCTGGTGGGGTTAGAGGCTAAACCAGGTCTGGTGGGGTTAGAGGCTAAACCAGGTCTGGTGGTGTTAGAGGCTAAACCAGGTCTGGTGGGGTTAGGGGCTAAACCAGATCTGGTGGGGTTAGAGGCTAAACCAGATCTGGTGGGGTTAGAGGCTAAACCAGGTCTGGTGGGGTTAGAGGCTAAACCAGGTCTGGTGGGGTTAGAGGCTAAACCAGATCTGGTGGGGTTAGAGGCTAAACCAGGTCTGGTGGTGTTAGAGGCTAAACCAGGTCTGGTGGGGTTAGAGGCTAAACCAGGTCTGGTGGGGTTAGAGGCTAAACCATGAGGTCTGGTGGGGTTAGGGGCTAAACCAGGTCTGGTGGGGTTAGAGGCTAAACCAGGTCTGGTGGGGTTAGAGATTATTGTAAACCAGGTCTGGTGGTGTTAGAGGCTAAACCAGGTCTGGTGGGGTTAGAGGCTAAACCAGGTCTGGTGGGGTTAGAGGCTAAACCAGGTCTGGTGGTGTTAGAGGCTAAACCAGGTCTGGTGGGGTTAGAGATTATTGTAAACCAGGTCTGGTGGGGTTAGAGGCTAAACCAGGTCTGGTGGGGTTAGAGGCTAAACCAGGTCTGGTGGGGTTAGAGGCTAACCCAGGTCTGGTGGTGTTAGTCAGCCATGTCTGGTGGTGTTAGAGGCTAAACCAGGTCTGGTGGGGTTAGAGGCTAAACCAGGTCTGGTGGTGTTAGTCAGCCATGTCTGGTGGTGTTAGAGGCTAAACCAGGTCTGGTGGGGTTAGAGGCTAAACCAGGTCTGGTGGTGTTAGAGGCTAAACCAGGTCTGGTGGTGTTAGAGGCTAAACCAGGTCTGGTGGGGTTAGAGGCTAAACCAGGTCTGGTGGGGTTAGAGGCTAAACCAGGTCTGGTGGTGTTAGAGGCTAAACCATGAGGTCTGGTGGGGTTAGGGGCTAAACCAGGTCTGGTGGGGTTAGAGGCTAAACCAGGTCTGGTGGGGTTAGAGATTATTGTAAACCAGGTCTGGTGGTGTTAGAGGCTAAACCAGGTCTGGTGGGGTTAGAGGCTAAACCAGGTCTGGTGGGGTTAGAGGCTAAACCAGGTCTGGTGGTGTTAGAGGCTAAACCAGGTCTGGTGGGGTTAGAGATTATTGTAAACCAGGTCTGGTGGGGTTAGAGGCTAAACCAGGTCTGGTGGGGTTAGAGATTATCGTAAACCAGGTTTGGTGGGGTTAGAGATTTTCGTAAACCAGGTCTGGTGGGGTTAGAGATTATTGTAAACCAGGTCTGGTGGTGTTAGAGGCTAAACCAGGTCTGGTGGGGTTAGAGGCTAAACCAGGTCTGGTGGGGTTAGAGGCTAAACCAGGTCTGGTGGTGTTAGAGGCTAAACCAGGTCTGGTGGGGTTAGAGATTATTGTAAACCAGGTCTGGTGGGGTTAGAGGCTAAACCAGGTCTGGTGGGGTTAGAGATTATCGTAAACCAGGTTTGGTGGGGTTAGAGATTATTGTAAACCAGGTATGGTGGAGTTAGAGATTATCGTCAGAGAGGTCTGCTGGTGTTAAAGACTATTGTAAAGCATGGCTTGATACAACCATCTACAGAATATAACAAATTACAAAGCTCCCAATCTTTTTGTGCAATTAATATTTGTGCACTATCCCCGATACGTTTCAAACGTGTAATACCCTAATGGTTTTCATCTATTGATCGTCTAACGACTGTCCACGGTTCCCTTGTAGGTTCTCCTCTACAAGCTGACAAAGAAAGACATTTACAAAAAGGCCGTGGAGGACTCCTTCAGATTCTGGTTCCCTGGCGGCTCCATACCCTACACACCAAAAGGCTTGGCCTACAGACTGCAGTGGGGCTCGCTCAGGTACTCCTGTAAGTATTGCTCGGATGTTTTGTCTACATAAGTATCGCTAAGCATTGGACTGTTGTGATTCATACTCTTTACTGTTTGGGTATCGTCCTTTGGGTATTTTCATTTCGTTCTTTAAGAAACTCTGCATTCTTAATTTCATTTAAACTCAATTTTATTAGCGGACAATTTTTTTGTCAAAACAAAAAATACAACACTAACAAACAAATGCTATATTATTAAAACTAATTGTAGACCAACAAATTCCCAATTTCCAGCGAACATGGCAATGGCGGCGCTAGTGGCGGCTGACGCCGGACTACACGCCACTGAGTACAGGCGCTGGGCCATGTGTCAAATCCACTACGCTCTGGGCGATACGGGCTTCAGCTATCTCATTGGACACGGCAGCCATTTTCCTAAAAGTCCTCATCACAGATCGAGGTAACATTCAATGTGTAGCACACAAGCTGTACTAGCGTGTGCTAGATGCATTTGTCACACAGTGTAATAGACGTGTTGTCCTTTGTGTGCTAGACGTATTGTCCTACATAACACATGTGCTATAATTGTCCTAAAACATCGTGACTGTAACTTTCTGGTGTGTTTGTCGATATTGTTGTTCTATTTCATGTCTTCAACTTTTGTTGAAATAATTTGTTACCTCTATTGATCACCTGATTTAACATCTAATTTAACCACTGTGTCCAGCTCCTGTCCCAACATCCCGGCTCCGTGCGGCCCATTCGTCATGTCCAGCAAGGAGCCGAACGTCCACATCCTGTACGGCGCTCTGGTGGGCGGGCCTGGTCAGTCGGACGAGTACACAGATGACCGCTCCAACTACGTCAACAACGAGGTGGCCTGTGATTATAACGCTGGCTTCCAAACGGCAGTGGCAGGTAGGTTTAGGTTTATGGTAGGGTCAGGTAGGTTTATGATAGGGTCAGCTAGGTTTATGTGGCAAGTAGGTTTAAGATAGGGCCAGGTAGTTTTATGATAGGGTCAGGTAGGTTTATGATAGGGTCAGGTAGGTTTGTGTGATAGGGTCAGGTAGGTTTTTTGGCTGGTAGCTTAAAAAAAAAATAGAATCCTCTTTAGACCTAGCGATCGATTGGGCAGATGAAGTAGAGTTCTCATGTTTCTTGACCTTGGCATATGAATGGAAGGTGTGGTCAGCACTTGGCCCAGCCGCCTTTACTTTCCCCAACATGAGTTAGGTACCCATCAGAGCTGGGTGAACTCGGGACGTTTAACTGACTCCAACCCGGATTTGAACTCGACACTTTTGGGTTAGCAGGCTTACATTGTGTCAAGTTTATGTGACAAGTAGGTTTCAGTGTCTTGTGCAGGAAGTTCAAACCTCATTCACAGCCACCTTGATGGGTTTAACAGCTTTTGTCTCATTCCTTCAGCGCTGAAATCTCTGGTCGTGAGAAAAGAACATCCTGAGCAGACAGGCAATGACCACTGTCCCTACACAGCGGCTGGCAACAGTGGTTAGCCAGTAGTAGGCAGACGATAGAGGAAAATATTTCAAACTTCAAGCAGATCCTCATCAATATCTTTAGCACTCTAACCTTTGTTGTGTTCAATGTTTTGGATTGAATAAACTTGAAAAATGTTTGAAATTATCAGATATAATTGAAACAAGAAAAGAAAATTTTCAAAGTTAACTGTAGTTGCTTTTTTTTAATTCTTAGAATAAACATTACAACCCTTTCTATTCCCCCCCCCCCCCCCCCCAATCTTACTTATTTTAAAGCTTAACTCAAGATCGCAGTAGTAAGTTTTAAAATTAAATAATTATATTTTCCTATATTAAGTCAATTCTTTTAAATTGCATGTCGGAAACAAGACTGTTAGATTTAGAAATCACTGCGTACAAAATATATTTTTTTTACAATGAATTTATTGTAATTAAAAAAATATAAAAACAATTTAATAACTCAACTTTGTGTTTACAATAATTACAAAATAAAATACACCATAAATATTGTTACATCATACTTTGATTAAACTACTGTGGAGCTGCAGATTTTCTGGGTATATGGTGTACAATATGTGTCATCTATCTATATACTACTAAAAGTCAACTTTGTTTACATGTTTGAATATTTATTTGTTTGCCTGATCGAAAATTGTGATATGTTCGACTCTATCTGGAAAGCTGTAAAATGGTATGCAGGTAGAGAATAATTTTTTAATGCAGACAGACTGTTGATCACAAATTTATTTAAAGACGTTAATTAATTAATTGATTTATTCATATGCAGATTAACCCATTTTTTTAAAAAAGATTTGAAAAGCCACTAGACTCGACGGAAACAGTGACGTCACATGATGTGTTTATTTTTTTACATCGATAATGGCGGCCTATCGAAGAAGATTGTGTTCCCATTCCAATGTTTAACGCGTTCTAAAGCTAATTTTCTGTCGGCTTTAACTTTAACAATACGTCCGTTTGCTGTATTTATTACGTTCCAACACTTATATCAATTTTCAACTGTCTTTTTCATTTAGTTTTACAATAAATTTCTCTAGATCTAAAGATCTGCTGTCGAAGGAAAGTTATGAATCTAGAATCTAGCCTAGGGCCTAGATCTAGATCTAGGTCACTAGACTCAATGTAAATTCTAGATCTAGATTAATGTAAATTCTACATCTAGAATCTATTTCGGGCCTTAATTATTTTATATAAATCTTTGTTTAGCTTCAATGATCATCTAATTCGAGAATACATGGGCTTTTTTTGTTATCTACGTTCTATATCTAGATAAAGTAGGATTACTCACTAGCTTGGAGGTGTGGTCGGCTGCTAACAACAATATGGCGTACGGACCGGACGCATGTCTGCCGATCATTTTTAGGCCATGTTTACCACGAACAAAATGGCGGGTGTTCACATTATTTAAACATTGTATAGGTGGCCAGGGCTAGATATGCCAGAAAAGCATTTTAAAATTTGCTTTGGAGAATGAAGGCTAAATTTTAAAGTCAGTGTCATAAACATTAATAGAACTTTTTTTTTTTTTTACGTTTTCAATTATTTTTTCTTAAGCCCTATATGTGAATGATAAGGTTGACTATCAGGACCTCGCGGGGCACAGGGCAGGTGAAGTAGGGTTCATCTGTTTCTTTGTCCTAAGCAAATTAAGGGATAGTGTGGTCAGAGACATGCTCGGCTGGAATAGTTTTTGTTGTCTGAGACTTGGCGGGACACTGGGCAGGTGAAGTAGAGTTGAGTAGGTCACTTGTGACGTCAGTATATGAAGGGATAGTCCGAAATCGGTGTTTTCGGTGTTTTTAAAAGATAAAAAACATATTTTTGAATGTGGGGTCTGTTTTTGTGACGATAAGTGACACTGCAGTAGCGTAGCGAGGGGGGGGGGAGGGGAGGCGGGGGGGGGAAGGGGGGGGGGACATATGTTGGGGCGCTAAAATGGTTTGGAAAAATAAATTGAAAGGTTGAGGGGGGTTCAAATGGAAAGTTTGAATGGGGGGGGGGGGGGGGTGCACATCAACAGTTTGAAGGGGGTGGGGGGGGGGGGGGGGGGTTGAAAATCGAAATCTTGGGGGGGGGGGGGGGGGTTCAAATCGAAAAGTTTGTCCCCGGGCGCCGGGAAGGGTCGCTATGCCTCTTGAGTGACAGACGTGATGTTTTTTGATGGATGACCCCCGAAGCCCACAGTTATCCAACGGATGACGGGTATTCTAGTCTGATATAAAATTTGTCAAACGCTTTGACACGGAAGTAAAATATAAAATACACCATACGTCGTAAAATCAGTAATATGTCTCCAACACAATAACATATTTGAAATACAGGTGGAGACCAGTTAATCTACTACAGAAACCTGTGGTAACACTAAAGTATACAGAAACCTGGGCAGGATGGAACATTGTTTTGTTGATTTTTTACCAACATACAACTTACTTTTTAAAATAAAAACAACTTTAAGAACAATAATAAAATCTGGGACAGCAGTTGGTAAAATGAACACAAAATGTTTTTATAATTAGTTCAAGTGAAACACTGGTCTTACAAGCAAATTTCTACCTTTAAATTTTTTAAAACTAGCTAGAGTAACCTCAGCTTTGACCCTGTGTAGGTGGACGTTCTTTGGTCAGATCTGTTATGTTGTGGTCATTCAGAATGTGCCAGAAGAGGTGAGAGCGATTGCCAAAGTTCAGTTTGCAGCCTTGTTTCTGTAATGGTTGAGAGAGTTCAAAGGTTAGAGAACTTATTACTTCATGATGTAGCCTATCACATTTGTATCTGATTTAACTGGCAATCAATAAAAAAAAATTCTAATTAACAGAACTTACACTACACAAATAATCAGGTTCTAATTAACAAAACTTACACGACACAAGTATTCAGCTTCAAAGTCTAGGTCGACTTTATCCACATCTCCTGAGATGTTTCCTGTGATGAGCTGAGGGAGGATGAAACTGTAAGCTAGTCTCACCATTCATGCTAACTAGGAATCTTTAATAAATCCTAAGCTAGTCTCACCATTCATGCTAACTAGGAATCTTTAATAAATCCTAAGCTAGCCTCATTATATTTACTTACTGTGAATCTAAATAAATCCTAAGCTATTCTCACCATTCTTGCTAGGGGTAATGTAAAGATAAAGTTGGGGGAGTAAAAAAAAGGATGGAGTGTCTATGTTTACCTTTTTGTCATGAACCAGAATCTTTGTGATGATCCCTCTCTCTGCTCCATAATACACTCGAACTAATTCTCTAGTCTAGTACAGGAAAAATTGAAACATTAGATTATTGAAATATTATTGTTATAAGATTAAAAAATTAAACATACACTTTAAAATTCAACTCAGTGAATGAACTAACAACTAGCCTGGTGCACAAAGTTGCCAGATAGTCCACTCACCTTAGTATTGTAGCACCTGACCAACTCAATGAATGAACTAACAACTAGCCTGGTGCACAAATTTACCAGATAGTCCACTCACCTTAGTATTGTAGCACCTGACCAACTCAATGAAAGAACTAACAACTAGCCTGGGAACAAAGTTGCCAGACGGTCCACTCACTTTGTATTGTAGCACCTGACCAACTCAATGAATGAACTAACAACTAGCCTGGGAACAAAGTTGCCAGACGGTCCACTCACCTTAGTATTGTAGCACCTGACCAACTCAATGAATGAACTAACAACTAGCCTGGTGCACAAAGTTGCCAGATAGTCCACTCGCCTTAGTATTGTAGCACCTGACCAACTCAATGAATGAACTAACAACTAGCCTGGTGCACAAAGTTGCCAGATAGTCCACTCGCCTTAGTATTGTAGCACCTGACCAACTCAATGAATGAACTAACAACTAGCCTGGTGCACAAAGTTAGTCTACTCACCTTAGTATTGTAGCACCTGACCAACTTGTCCATCCCACCTGTGTACAGATACCCCTGGCTGTAGAAAACACTTTTCACAAGACCTTTGTTATCCCTGAACACATGTTCTATTGTACCTGTCTGAAATCAAGCACACACAATTTTTTAATATTTTTTTTCCTATGTAATTCTATCATTTCTAAACAATTTTCCAACTATAATCAAAGTATCTCTGGTAACACTTGCATAAACTTAATTATACCAGAAAGCAAGTAACAAGTTGTTGCTGTTTTAATTGAACTATCAGTTTTTCCTTACGTGTAGATTGTGGATAAAAACTGTGCTGTCTCCAGAACCACTAAACACAAGATGACCTTCAACCTAAAAAAAAAAAATCAAAAAAATAATTTGATTAAAATTTTCATCTTCTGATAAAAACGAACAATTTCAAATAGCATAAAAATGAAGTTATCTATTTTTCATATAGGTCCTAAAAGCTAAGAAGTCAGAAACTTACAGAATGTACTAAGAAAAGGTTTTTCAATACATTAAGCTTTAGTGGTTCTAATCCAAGGCATTTAGTATTATAAAAAAGATAATGGCATTGAAAATCAACTTCCTTTAAACTATTTTACCAGATCATTTGTATAAAATTGAAATGTTGATCTGAAGAGGTGAGGGAAAACTAAACTACCTGTAATGTAAATGCTGTCTTCATATGCCCAGTGAGAATCCTTAAGGGCAGATAAGTGTTAGCGTTGATGACAAGGATTGTGCCATCTTGTGAGGAGACACAAATAATTTTGGAGGAGCCTTCCTGGGCCAGGGCCAGACAGTGGACTGGACGGTCAGAGCAGATAAACCTTTCCTTCTTTTCCATGGTCTGATCAAACAGAGGAAACGGCAGGGTTATGCTAAGGTATGTGCTGAACATCTAGCATAAAATTTATTGCTATAGTTAGTCTAAGGTATGTGCTGAACATCTAGCATAAAATTTATTGCTATAGTTAGTCTAAGGTATGTGCTGAACATCTAGTATAAAATTTATTGTTATAGTTAGTCTAAGGTATGTGCTGAACATCTAGTATAAAATTTATTGCTATAGTTAGTCTAAGGTATGTGCTGAACATCTAGTATAAAATTTATTGTTATAGTTAGTCTAAGGTATGTGCTGAACATCTAGTATAAAATTTATTGCTATAGTTAGTCTAAGGTATGTGCTGAACATCTAGTATAAAATTTATTGTTATAGTTAGTCTAAGGTATGTGCTGAACATTTAGCATAAAATTTATTGTTATAGTTAGTCTAAGGTATGTGCTGAACATCTAGCATAAAATTTATTGTTATAGTTAGTCTAAGGTATGTGCTGAACATTTAGCATAAAATTTATTGTTATAGTTAGTCTAAGGTATGTGCTGAACATCTAGCATAAAATTTATTGTTATAGTTAGTCTAAGGTATGTGCTTAACATCTAGCATAAAATTTATTGTTATAGTTAGTCTAAGGTATGTGCTGAACATCTAGCATAAAATTTATTGTTATAGTTAGTCTAAGGTATGTGCTTAATATCTGAGAGATATTTTATTGTTATTTTATCAATGTCTAGTTAGTCGATGTATTTTAGAATGTCTAGTTAGTTGATCTATTTTAAAATGTCTAGTTAGTTGATCTATTTTAGTTTGTCTAGTTAGTTGGTATATTTTAGAATGTCTAGTTAGTTGATCTATTTTAGTATGTCTAGTTAGTTGATCTATTTTAGTATGTCTAGTTAGTTGATATATTTTAGAATGTCTAGTTAGTTGATATATTTTAGAATGTCTAGTAAGATGATCTATAATAGAATGTCTCACATTATATTACATAGATAAAAAACTTGGTGAGCTAAACAAATTTCTGTAGGACAACCCTCACCTTGGAGTCTACTATACAAATCTCCCCAGTCTCTAGGCCTGCATACATCAATGGTGTCACCATCAAAAGACACTTGACCATTGTGCCCAGGTCAATTCTTGTCACATTGTCCAAACTGTTAAAAAGCTTTTTCTGCCAATTTTTAAAAAAAAAGTTTTATCAGACATTTAAGACAAGCATGTCATATCAATGTTAAAAATCCACCACCTCTAGTAAGTGGGTCAATTAGTGTTTAAATTTATGATTTAAGATAGTCATAATTAAATATTTATTGTATAGAAAAATCTAGTTTGTTCACGTAAAGCATGTGAGAAGTTTACTCATTTATATTTTAAAAATCTAAAATGTTTCAATTAGATACATAGGACATATTATATTAACTTTAAGGTTCAGAGGAGGTTTTTAAATGCGGTAACTAAATGTCAAGTACTCAAAAGTTCAGAAATGGTTTTTAAGTGCAGTAACTAATTGTTAAGTATTCAAAAGTTCAGAAGTTTTTAAGTGCAGTAACTAAATGTTAAGTATTCAAAAGTTCAGAAGTTTTTAAGTGCAGTAACTAAATGTCAAGTACTCAAAAGTTCAGAAGAGGTTTTTAAGTGCAGTAACTAAATGTTAAGTATTCAAAAGTTCAGAAGTTTTTAAGAGCAGTAACTAAATGTCAAGTACTCAAAAGTTCAGAAGAGTTTTTAAGTAACTAAATGTCAAGTACTCACCGGGTCACAGAAGGCAAGATATACCCCTGTCCCTGATGCAATGATTACTTTGTCTTGCAGCTCATAGACAGACATGCACTGCAGAAACTGGGCAGGGAACTTGGCAACTGGTTCCTGGACAAGAGCATACATCAGTGTTTCTTCCACATGAACAATGTTTAAACATTTCATCTAGAAATTTAAACTTACATCCTGTTTACTTTTGTGGATTTTCTTCAAATATAGTGACAGAGCCAACAATCAAGCCACATTCAGTCCTCACTTTCTTCAATTAAAATGGTTCTAATAACAATTTTGGCAAACAATACAGCACAACTTTTTTTTCTGGTAAAGCTGGTCAAGTTATTCAGAATTATGGTCAAGCTAGAGCCATGGTTAGGGTATGGACACTACCTAAAAGTCTTGAATACAAACTGCTTAAGTTTTAATAATATAAGAACCATAAAAGAAAGTTCTATTTTAAAGATTAAGTATTTCTGTGAGAATTTTCTGGATGACCCATAGACCCTCTAAGAGTAAGCCTACAGTGGTATATTTAATAGAGCTAATTCAAGAAGGGAGCTTACCTTGTTAGGTCCACTCAGCTGATACACAGAGATGCCACTGTTACAGAAGGCCACATACAGCAGGTCATGCAGCACCTGCAGCTCAACAACAGGCCCACGGCCAGACTGGAAACAGCTGGTCTTTGTGGCGGCACCTGCTTCCAATGGTTTACCACCTGGTGTGGCAGCTGTGTCTCGCTCGGGTATTTCTTCTCTGTTGACCTGTGTGGTTGGCTCAGAGCTGGACCCAGGTTTGATCCCAGAAGGCAACCTTCTCCCTTCATGGTGCTCCTCCGTTTCAGAACTTTCAACCAGTTCTGGGACAACTGTGTTTGGTGATTTGACCACAGACTTGTCTGGAAGGCTGGGTGCTGTTTTAACATCAGACCCAGGGTACCCAACAGTTCTGTCGTAAGTTCTAATTCTGTCAAAGCTTTCTTTGATTTCTTTTAGGACTTTTAATCTTTGTGCTATGCTTGAAAAGGAAAAAAGGAACTAAAGTGAATAATAAAACAACAGAAAACTATAAAAGAACAAATGAAATTCTTTTTTTATTGTTCATTGAATGCTTAGTTTAAGTTTATTATTATTACAATAAACAATTTAAAAAATTAACCAAGATTTTCTACAAAGGAAAAAGATTTTGACCAAATGAAATTTGCTTTAACAAGCTTACTCTAAGTATTTACAATGAAAAAAGTTCAAACAAACTTACCCTTCAGTATCCACCAATCCCTGATGGGTAGATGAGTCACACTCGGCAATGACAACATCGTACTGCTTGCTGGGAGACATCACCTCAGCCTTTAAGGCACTCTTCTCAGGTGTCAGTCTCTCATCCTTGACACTGTCTGGCACCTTCAGCTTGACCGGCTCACTCATGGCATTCTTGACCTGCTCACCCCCCTCATCACTCAACACTATCATGGCTTCATCCATGTCCTGCCTGGCATGGACCTCTGCCTCCCCCTCATCTGAAGAAGAGGAGGAGGCAGGGTTGAGCCAGTGCCTGCGTTGATGCCTCAACCCACTTGTCTCCCTCTCTTGTCTGGTCTTCCTTTTCTTCTTCTTCCCCCTGAGGCCGAGGTCGGTGCTGCAGTTCCTCTCCAACACATGCAGAGCTTCAGCAGAGACTACAGCTTGCTTGTCCAGTTTGCCATAGATTCCTGCAACCCAGATAACCAATTCTCATTCTCTAGGGCCACTACTGGGATAAATATGCTAAATCATGTTTATATAAGATTTGGGAATATTTTGACAAACTTTCATTCCAGAACTGTCAAAGCAGATTTAAGCATAAACATAAAACTAAACTAAGTTAAACCTAAATTTAAAAATTATACTACATCAATTAAAATGAAAAGTTTTCATTCAATAGTTTAAAGCTGATTAATTTTTAATACAAAACATAGGGTAAATTTAAAATTAATTACTTCTAAAACATACAATTTAACAGAACATTTGACTAAAGCTGTTACCTGTGTCTTTCCCCAGTAACTTATCAATTCTCTCTAGTGAAACTGAGCATGGCTTTATGAGGCCGTCCCAGTCCTTTTCAGCAGCAATCTCTGTCTGCCTGTAGGCCTCAAAACTTCTCATCTCATTGCTGTCTGACATGATGGTTGAAAGCTCGTGGGCGCCTGTGTCAAGGGAGGCAAACGGTGTTGTCCTGCAGTAGCGAGTGATCTTCTCCCCTAAGGAGCTGCCACTAGCAATGCTGCTGGCCACACTGCCGATGTCAGAATCTTCAGTGGCGTGAGGTAGGCTGCTTGCTGAGATGGGAGGTTTTGAGGATCTGGACTGTGCCAAGGTATCTGAACAAGGAAAGTAAAAGGGTTGATGGTCAGTGGCGTGAGGCAAGCTGGACTGTGCCAAGGTATCTAAACAAGGAAAGTAAAAGGGTTGATGGTCAGTGGCGTGAGGCAAGCTGGACTGTGCCATGGTATCTAAACAAGGAAAGTAAAACAGTTGATGGAATCAAAGCTAGGACAACAACAAGGATCAGTAAAGTAAAAAAAAAAATTCAAGATGAGTTCAGAAGTTTTTTAAATTATAAAACATTTGTTAATTATTTGATTTGATTTTAGTAAAAGTTGTGACAATATGTTACATAAACCAAGGACCTTCATATGTTAAGACAAATATGGCAAATAAACAACGTACCTTCATATGTGGCGGCCTGTGATGACTCAGCTCCACTATCACTAGACAGCTCAAAATGAGGGTGTGGGTTGTTAAATAAAGATGGAGGATTGTTGCCATTCAACATGATCACAGGGGCTTTGAGGTTCATCTAAAGACATTACACTTGTATTAGTATTAGGGTCAAAGTTCACTTTATACAAGAATATTCTTTAAATCATGAATCTCATTAAAGATGATTTTTAAAATTTTAAACATCAATAATAGACAATAGAAAAACTTACTCCCCTATAAATATAAGTACAAAGTTGTATACATGTACTTTTGATATGAGTTATATAGTACAATAACACCTGAATCATACAAAACTTTTACATATATTTATGCCCTTTGGGACAGTAGACTAAGCTGGTCTATTTCTACATGTATGTGACATCATGGTTAAATGGTAGAGTCTTTGACTGCTAACCCAAAAATCTTCAGATCCTGTGTTCGAAGTCAAAAGCTGACTCATGTTAGGGAAAGTAAAGGTGGCTGGGAATAGTGCTGACCACACGATCCCTTCTTATACGAAGATCACTGAAACAGGTGAACTAATGCCCCTGCCCAGTGGACCCTAATTTGCAAGGGTACCTTTTTAGTAATACATATATAGCTCACTGACTAACCACCTGTTTACTTCAATAAAACTCTAAAAGATCCAAGTATAAATAGTAGTATTGTTAGCTTTATTTGAAGGTATTTCAAATGTTTAAAAAAGCCATACATACTGGTGTGTGCTATTTCAAATGTTTAAAAAAGCCATACATACTGGTGTGTGCTATTTCAAATGTTTAAAAAAGCCATACATACTGGTGTGTGCTATTTCAAATCTTTAAAAAAGCCATACATACTGGTGTGTGCTATTTCAAATGTTAAAAAAAGCCATACATACTGGTGTGTGCTATTTCAAATGTTTAAAAAAGCCATACATACTGGTGTGTGCTATTTCAAATGTTAAAAAAAGCCATACATACTGGTGTGTGCTATTTCAAATGTTTAAAAAAGCCATACATACTGGTGTGTGCTATTTCAAATGTTTAAAAAAGCCATACATACTGGTGTGTGCTATTTCAAATCTTTAAAAAAGCCATACATACTGGTGTGTGCTATTTCAAATGTTTAAAAAAGCCATACATACTGGTGTGTGCTATTTCAAATCTTTAAAAAAGCCATACATACTGGTGTGTGCTATTTCAAATGTTTAAAAAAGCCATACATACTGGTGTGTGCTATTTCAAATCTTTAAAAAAGCCATACATACTGGTGTGTGCTATTTCAAATGTTTAAAAAAGCCATACATACTGGTGTGTGCTATTTCAAATCTTTAAAAAAGCCATACATACTGGTGTGTGCTATTTCAAATGTTTAAAAAAGCCATACATACTGGTGTGTGCTATTTCAAATGTTTAAAAAAGCCATACATACTGGTGTGTGCTATTTCAAATCTTTAAAAAAGCCATACATACTGGTGTGTGCTATTTCAAATGTTTAAAAAAGCCATACATACTGGTGTGTGCTATTTCAAATGTTTAAAAAAGCCATACATACTGGTGTGTGCTATTTCAAATGTTAAAAAAAGCCATACATACTGGTGTGTGCTATTTCAAATCTTTAAAAAAGCCATACATACTGGTGTGTGCTATTTCAAATGTTTAAAAAAGCCATACATACTGGTGTGTGCTATTTCAAATGTTTAAAAAAGCCATACATACTGGTGTGTGCTATTTCAAATGTTTAAAAAAGCCATACATACTGGTGTGTGCTATTTCAAATGTTAAAAAAAGCCATACATACTGGTGTGTGCTATTTCAAATCTTTAAAAAAGCCATACATACTGGTGTGTGCTATTTCAAATGTTTAAAAAAGCCATACATACTGGTGTGTGCTATTTCAAATGTTTAAAAAAGCCATACATACTGGTGTGTGCTATTTCAAATGTTTAAAAAAGCCATACATACTGGTGTGTGCTATTTCAAATGTTTAAAAAAGCCATACATACTGGTGTGTGCTATTTCAAATGTTAAAAAAAGCCATACATACTGGTGTGTGAGAGCTCCTGAAGCTGCCTAGGTACATGATCGGGGCAGAGAACAGGCTGCTGGCTATCACTGGGGTGGGGGCTGTGGGGGAATCACTTTCAAAAGACCCGATGCGTATTTTACTCCGTATTGCGGCCATTTGCATATCGCTGGTGGGCGTGGTCTCAGGGGTACCCTCTGACACACTGCGCTTCTTTACAGTGGATTTACCGGGCGACTTGGGGGCATCACTTTCTATCACTATCACACGCCTGGTGTTATCTTGGCTGGTTTTGGTAGCAGGGAGAGAAAAGATTCTAACCCCAGGCGTGTTGGTGTTTTTCAACTGCGGCTCAGGGGGGAGATAGGAGGAGAACTTGGCCAGCCAATCAGCTCGCGACAGTGATGTGTTAGGTGAGATGTCAGGTGCCTCTGACGCAGGTGTTTTGGCAGTGGTTAACAGGGCAGGTGGTGCCCCATTAGATGACAACCCTGAGGAACTGGTTGTGTCTGGCTTGTCAGATCTGCCATGTTGTTTAGCTGCATCTGTGGTGAAAGTTTAACATACCAGCTAAAAACAGGTTTTACGGATAGTGTAAGAAATAATAATCTTATTCTGCAGTGTTTTTATTTACAATAACAATAAAACAAGACAAGCTAATCCTGAAACCAATGTGTTTTCCTAACATGTCAAAACCATGTAATAGCTCAGTCTTCAAAAATGTTAGTAAGTTAGATACACAATTTTTAAAAATCTGTTTAGCTTTCTATCTACAAGCCAGGATTCAACCAACTAACCACAAGGCAAATTGTTAATTATACATTCTGAATACTTATTTTACACAGGCTGAATTCATTGTAATAACGTTTTTCCATATTGAACAATTCCTACCTCTCAACAATGAGATTCTCCGGTTAGACAGTTCTTGTTCTTCCTCCAAGAGCTGAAAGAAATTTAGAGAAATAATTTTAATTGAAAATTTCAACTTAGATCAGTTAAAAATCTACCAGTACTACTTATCTAAATGTGTACAGAACTTTGGCACATATAAAGGAAACATAATTTTAGACAGATGCCTGATTTTTAATTATGCATTGAAGAGTGGGTGAATTGTAAAAATAAAAGTCCCAAATTATTTCTGTCACACTTTCTTTAGTGTTATTTGTCCCTTGCATTTTTGCTTGCAAGTTTAAGGCTATGTTGTCTCAAAATTTGTATCTAATATGTCACTTATTAATGTCAACTTTAAAACTAAACAAATATTTTTAAAAATGTATTTAAAAAAAAATTGATTATTACTGAATGAAAGCTAAAACTTTTTGCAGTTTGAACTTGGGTAATCCTAAACAATTACTAGACAATAAGCTGCAGTTATTGTAACCGACCTGATTCCTTCTCTCTGTGCACTTGTTGATCTGCACTACAGCCTGCTCCAGCAGACGATGCAGTCTAGTCAGCCTCAGCTCCATGCTCATCATCTCCTGCTTGATGTCCCCCTCCCTCTCAGACAAGGTCAGCAACTCTGACAAATCTTGTCTTGGGGCCTCTGACACATTGGTCTCTTGAGCTGCTGGAGCAATGTATACAAAGTTACACTAGTTTACAAGACAAAATCATTTGGTGAATATGGGTAGCTTTATGACAAACATAGACCACACCAGTTTACAAGACAAAATTATTCGGTGAATATGGGTAGCTATATGCCAATTATATAGCCTCACACCACAATACAAGACTAAACTAAACTATGGCATTAGATCAACAGATTATAATGATTATGATGCTTATAAATATGATCAAAATTCAAGCCATGAGGATGAGTTAGAATAAATATATCACAGCTACTTTTAGCAGCGGAACAACTAATAAATTTTTTAGGGAGCTGTTTGTTGATCTTCTTATCAAACAAATTTGCCACTAATTTGATATTTTATTTAGGAGGCTGATTATATAGAAATAATTATGGTAAGTGAAAAGGTTGTAGTAAACAAACCTCTGGCTTTTGAAGGTTCTACTGTAGACCCAAAGTTGTCCTGACAGAGAGGTTGACTTTTAGCAAGAAAATCCTCCTGGCTTTTCTCCTCCTTGTCTGAGGTAATCTCCACATCATGCACATCAAGAGTTGATGTGAATTTATTGGGAGGTGAAGAGGTCGCCTGGTCCAACGAAGAATCACCAGCAGTGCTTCTCCGGTTGACTTCATCGGCCAGCCACCTGCTAGGGGGTAGGGACAGACGAAGGGAGGCAAGGGTTTCTGCATGTGTTGTGCCAGCAGGGTCTGAAATACTGGTTTCTGGAATCCGGGCGGTTTCTGGTGAGGAAAATACCGTTGACCTTTGACCCACGGGGTCAGGTTCAACAGTGGACGGCTGTGGAATGTTATCTGCATGCTTAGCCCCCATGATGGTGGGGAACCTGTGCATTACATTGAAACTGTTCAGTTGCGTCTGAGACACAGGGGACGGTGACTTCCTTGGACTGTTCCCACCGGGTGGGCTCAAGATATCATCACCCCCTGCTAATTGTTTGGGAGGGGTGCTTCTAGGCTGGTTTGATGGGGAGGAGACTTTTGTCTGCGCAGGTTCCAGATCTGAGGTGCCGGAGACAATTTCCAGATCACTTCCTGAGTCAGGATCTACAGTAATGACATGCTGGTGTGGGCGATGGTGGTCACTTGATGTCACTGCTGATTTCTGTTGTTGGGGGGGAAGAATCTTACTTGATGTTACTGCAGGTGTCGCAGTATTATCCAATTCAGGTTGCGTCTTCAAGCTTTTATAACTAGATGTATCGTAAGCTCTCCTGTATGCTTTTGAATTCGCCTCTGCTTTTTTCTTCTTAGACATCTGATTTTTATTTACAAGGGTTTCTGCGCTGGTTAATTTTTCCTGGGAGGTTTTCGCTAATTTTTTCTTCTTTTTTTCTTTAAGCTTCGTACCAACTGCAGATTTCTTTGAAAGTTCTTTCCTGGGAGTTTCAGAAGAATTACTGCTCAAGTTGCCCATGATATCCCCACCAATCAGCGCCAGGATCTGCTGGCGGACGCCTTCAGACAAGTCCTCCAGCTTGATGGTGGGAGTGTCACATTTGTTGCCCAGCTCCAGGCTGACATCACTCATGTTGGAGGAGGTGTGGTCATAGAGACCTTCCAGCTGTAGGTTGGTCCTTTTGCTGGGCGGGTCCTTGTGTTCCTCTCTAGAGTGCAGCATCTTTGCCAGCTTCAGCCTCTCATCCCTAAGCAAGAAGAGCATACTTTGTCAAGGTGAAATTTTTTTTTTTAACTTTATAGCAATAAAGAAAACTTAGGAAAACTAACACTACACAATGACCAATTACCACTTCCAAATTAAGCCAGGTACTCATTAAAACCTGAGTAATCATATGGGTCCAGTTATGAGTTGGGAACCATGTCTACTTCTAGTAATGTAATAAAAATTCCTTACCTTGACCTTGGGGCGTTGACCATTTTCTGCAGACTGTCTTTTGACAGTGCTCTAACTGGGGGTTTAGTTGTTGATTTATTGGCATTCTCAGCTCTCAGACTTTCCACTACATCTTCACCCAGCAACCGGCTATGTTGACTTGTTGTGGAAGGGGAGACAACTTTTTTCTTTGAACCCAATAGCTCTTCTGTATCCAACAACACATTTTTTTCTATATTTTTCCGTATCTCGTCCAGTTTTGACTCGGCTGACTTCTTTAACGACAAAAAAGGAGATTTCCTTATCCCATAATTGGCAGCATCCTTCTTTTTATTTCGACCAGAATTCAAACTGATACCTGAATCATAGTTCTCCTCTACTGAGATCTCCTTTGATTCAGTGATGTGACCTTTCAAGTATGTTTTCTTTTTCTGACTAATTGCATTTATCTTCTGGTTCAACAATTCCTTGTTTTGATTTTTCAGCAAAGATTTGTGCTGTGTACCTGAAGCTTCCCTTTTCTCTCTCAACTGTTTACAGAGGCGCTCAGCTCGTTCGAGTATGTTGTCGCTTGTATCATCGATAGAATTCCCACGGTTAGACTTTTCAGGGGGTGGCTGCAGAGGCAGACGGAAAAGGTTACCATCTGTCTCATGCATGTTACTTTTTGTAGTCGGTGTTAACTTTGACTTCTCTTTTACTGGAGTACTATTCTGTTGTGAATGATCCTCAGACCTAGGCGATTTGGTGGAGATTTCTCGAAATTCAAACGCTTTCCGAGGTCTTTTTCTATCTCTCTCAGTGGAATCAACAGAATTACTTCTATTTCCACTACCAGCTTTATGAAAATTCTGTTTTGAAGAAGTGGATCCCTGTCTGTCCACTCGATAAGTATCCTCTGTTTCAGTTGAAGAACCAGGTCCCCATCTCCTAAAATGATAATTGTCGTCCAGTTCAGTAGAAGAACTGGGTCTACTTCTGTTAACTTGATAAGTGTCCTCCAGTTGAGTTGAAGAACTGGGTCTACTTCTGTTAACTTGATAAGTGTCTACCAGCTCATTTGAAGAACTGGGTCCCCCCCACCTGTTGACTGGATGCGAGTCCTCCATTCCAGCCAAAAACTTCTCCTGTTGGATAAAAGAATGCTCATCCCAATCAGGAACATTGGCGTCACATGTGAAGTCCATGTCAGAATAAGAAAAGTTTTGATTATATTTAGAGGAATATCTTCCAGGATTTTGTTTTGCTTTGCCTCTAATATTTCTGTTAGCGTATGCTAAATTATCTCCATTTCCCCAGTAGTTTGCACCGTATGCTCCTGAACCCCACGGCTCAAATCTAGGCTGATCATATGATTTTTCTGAGTCCTGCTGCTTGTCACCAAACCTGATCCTGTCACTGGGAAGGGAAAAAGTATCACTGCGCCACACGTTGTCATTGTAGGGCCTCCTCTCCCTTGCCATTCTAGTTTTTTGATATGTGCTAGAGACTTGCCCATTGAATCTTGTTTCCGGTTGTGTATTCCAATTTTGATTACGAAAGTTAGGTGCATCAAACTGATAAGAGGGTGTGCCAAACCTAAAGTTAGGTGGTTTTTTTGTTGTGCCATTAAAGAATCCCTTGTTGTTCCCAAAGTTGCTGTCTGATCCAGTTCCGTAGGGTCCAAGCAGAGAGCTCTCACTACAGAAAGAGAAATAGTGAAATCCGTTTATAAAATTGTTAATAGCTGGATAAAAAATATCAGCAGTACTCTTCTACCAATAAATAGTAAAAAAGCTTCTTAGTGTCAGTAGGTGTTTAAATTTTTGTTTTATTAAAACAAAAAAATTGACAAGTATCGAACTTCACTAAGTTGTCTCAAGGTATTAGTTTAATATGTGTATCAGGTAAGAAAATAACCATTAAGTGAAATCTTGGCTTAATAAGGAATAGTGTGGGCATGGCTACATCCAGACACCTTTACAATTAATTTACATTGCCTAATTTGAGTAATGGACCCTTGAGTTGCCCCTACTGGTTTGATTAGTACTGATAATCAAGAACTTTGACACACAAAAAACTACACACTATTATTGTAAAACAAAAGCTGAAACCAACCCTCTTTCAATCATTTCCTCATCACTAGCTTCTCCTCGTAAGATGGAGAGATTCCTCTGGTGCCTGGTGGTTCCAATGTGAGCTCTATATTGTGCCATATCATGGCAGGTTACATTACATAGGCTGCAGCTGTGCACAGGATCCCTAAAGCAGTTACATTAAAATACAGATCTGGCATTATTACCTTGATAGTATTTGTTAGCATTCAACTTTTAACAATTGTTTTTTTCTATGTTGTATAAAGTCATATGTTGTATAAGTCATAAATTTGGATGTGAATAAACTTCATATATACTATTCAAACTGCTATATTTATGCATGTTTTAAAAATCTCATCTGAAATTAAAAAGTAATTTTTAAGGTATATAAACTATACATTTTTTACAGGAAATTCTAGTAATGCTTGAAAAAAATTTAAATGGCAACATACACAAGTATTACTTTTACAGTAAGCATAAAAGGTTTTAGCAACAACAAAAAAACACTGAATACTTTCTGCTTTTTATAAGTCAGCAACAGATTTTTGCATTGGTTTTAGATAAAAATATAAACACTATTAAAAAACTATAAATAGAATACTAACATCTCTCGATCTTCCATCTTTGTGTGGTGCATAAGGGATAAGTTGTGTTCCAACAGTTCCTGAAAAGACATTGTATTTTACTGGAGATCAAAGAATTCATATAAAATGCCTTATTAATATGAGACATGTTGTCTTTTATCTGTACTATGAAACTAAATGTGTGCTATTGTGGCTCCAGCTTTTTAGAGAATATTTTTTTAATAAACCAAAAAAAAAACATCAGTATTTATTTTATGAATGTATTAAGAAGACTTACTTTTTCAGAGGAGTAGGAAAGTTTACACATGTCACATTGTGACTTTTTCCCCATTTCAGAAGATTTTTTTTGTTCATTTTGAGACTGACTTCCAACTGATGGCACATTTTTGGATGACATTTTATCAGTTGAAAAAATGAGTGAACTGACATTTATCTGAAAAGTTAAGAAAAATCATTGATAACTCTCATATTTATGGTTACTGAGTTTGCAGTAGAACTGTAGTAAGAGAAGGGACGGCATTGACGGTTGGTAGAGCTTATGACTGTTAACCCAAGCATCTCGAGTTAGAGAGAAGGACGTCTCTGAGTCCACCTAACGCTGATGGTACCTTATTCCCATTAGGAAAAGCAAGACCGTACACCCGGTGATACTGCTGACTTTTCCTTCATCTGCCGAGGTAATTGAAACATCTGAACCATGTGTCTTGGGCAGAAACGGGAAAATATGATGAGAATATACAGTAATATAAAGAATCCTTCAAACACTAGATTTTTTTTTTTAATAGTTTATCAAACATACTTTAATCTGCTCTATAGTTTAATGATATATTTAAAAGCAAATGAGTCAATAGAGTAAATTTAATATTTGTCATTGCCTGAGAAATTAGCAACTGTTTAGAGAATTCAAATTATCTTTCTTCTAATTATTATTTTACTTGCATGTCTATGGCCTACATTGATTCTCTAGCACAACTCTGCAAAGTTGCATCCTAAGTCTCAGACAGTGATTGGCTTTATAGTCTTGCATACCAGAGATTCTATTTAAGATATGATGATAAAACCAATTTGTATTTTATAAACCAAAGCAGAATATAATTATACGAGCCGACCCGCAGCGTATCATACGCCGCTATTTAGTTGTTTTATTTTCTACTTTTTAGTAATTCATAATTTGTGAATTCGACAGTACCAATGCTGCCACTGAAAATATTTGCTTTAAAACACTAACCCCCCCCCCCCCTTTCCCCTAACCCTACACCCCCCCCCCCCCCCCCCGTGAAAGCAGCCTTCTCTGAGTTATTTCTTAGTTACCTCCTCTAAGTTTAAAATCGAACTAAATGATCTGCCCCTAATAAAAACCCGGCTCTACGGCTCTACGATTTGTAAACATTTAGCGTGACAACAGCTCACCAGACAATGTGGGGGTGGGGTGGGGGTGGTAGTGATAGAGAGAAAGAGAGGGGACTGCAAGGAGGCGCTTGCAGCTTGTTTTCTAACGGCTCCCAGAAGAGAATTATATATATAGATATTAATCTATGATAACTGGGGAAAATATTCCAATTTGTCAACATTTCTTTAGAAGTTACAGGCCATAAATGAGTTACCAAGTTTTTAAAAAAACTGAATTAATCAGAATCATTTCAGGCACAAAAATTAGTAGAAATTTAGTCAAACAGTTACCATTCTGGACTTTAAATTTTTCAAAGTGACTACTTGGAAGTATTTTCTACCCCCTAGTTTCTAGACTAGCCGGCAGAACATGCAAAACACAATGACCTTAATAGCTGTGCAAAGGGCTCAAATTTAGAAATTACCCTTAATAGCTGCACGATGAGCTCTAATTACCCTTATTTTTCTGACAAAGTTAACTGTACACAGGACTGTGTGGTCGAGCAGTTGCACTTCGTGCAGATCATTTGGGATTCAACACCAAGTTATATAGAATAGAGATCTAGATCAATTTAGTCTGCAGGTAAAGTATAAAATCTTTTTCTTAACATAATATATTTTAATATAATTTTCTTCTTGGAGACGTTAGAAAACACCAAGTTGTAAGCGCGCCTAGCCGTCCCCTCTCTTCCTCTCTAGGCATATCGCAACCACCCCCACATGGTCTGGTGAGCTGTGGTTCACGCTAAATGTTTACAATTGTAGAGCCGGGTTTAGTGACCCCTATTAGGGGCAGATAATTTAGTTTGAAACTAATTTAAACTTAGGGGAGGTAACTAAGAGGAGGCTGCTTTCAGGGGGGGGGGGGGGGGGGGAGAGGAGGGTTTTAGTGATTTAAAGCAAATATTTTCAGTGACAGCATTGGTACTGTCGCATTCACAAATTATGAATGACTGAAAAATAGAAAATAAAACTAAATAGCGGTGTGTGATACGCAGCGGGTCAGCTCGTATATTTTAATAGCCTGTTAAAATCTACTATTTAAGTCCCATAAAGACAACACATAGCCCCAAATAACAAACATTTAGATCGAGATAACAACAAAACCATGTAAATCATCACTGTAATGCTATTTTGTAAAAAACTAGACACCATGCGCATCTTCTTCTTCCAGCTAGAATCAGTGTACATTTTTTTGTTAAGTTTAGTCATGTTAGTGTTTAGATGTAATTGTAATTACTATTAGTAGGCCTAATTAGATGAAATTGTAGCCTAACTAATTTTTTAGTAATTTAATTAAAAATTTCGGGGAGTCAGGAACATCAAATAATTAGCCTAAACTAAATATTAATATATTATATAATATAGATCTATATAAATAGCCTAGGCCCTAACTATAACTCATACTAGTTAACTACTAACTAGATCTAACTATTAGAATTAGATCTATCTCTAGAATACTCTAGATTAGATCTAGATTCTAGATCTTCTAGAATATTCTAGATCTAGTAACTAAGTTAGTAAAGTTAGTCAAGATCAGGCATGTTTTTTTTTTCATTTTTCTTCTCATTATCTCTGTTGCTCGATTTGATTTGTTTTTTATGATAATGAATGCACATATTTTACTTTAGCATGGCTTTTTATTATCATGTGTTCTCTAATAATGAATAATTAATTAGGGAATATTTAGCTAGATTATGGCAAAATGAAATTTTAAGTTAAATACTCGAAAACATGACTGTGGAAATAATAAGGATTAGTCCACTTTCTGCTCAGCACACTGTTCTGTGTTTTTTATTTTTGGAACCGACATTAAATGTAGAATCTACAATATCGATACCGATAAATAACAAAACTGTTTGCTTTTTTCAAACTTTTTACTTTCCGTGGTTTTAGAGAAAAAATAATTTTTAAATGCATTTTAAAGTAATAAATTGTATTAATTACTGTAGGTAAATGATAGTCCAAGTATTATACTTAACAATGTTTGAAATAATAAACCAGTAGTCGATACAATTAGAAAAAAAAGAAAGTAAATACCTATGTTTATTAAGGAAGTGTGGTCCAACTATAAAAATACAAAAACTGCACCAGGTTGTTAAATAAGCATTACGACATAAAACTTAGGTTTTTAATTATTTTCTTGATTTAAAAAGTACAGGATTTTCGAAAAAAAAAATTCTAAACGGGAGCGAAGCAAAGTTCTAATGGGTCATCCATTTATGACGACCTCACGAGGGGGGGGGGTCGAAAAAAATCGACTTATGTGGACGGAGGGAGGGAGGGGGGGGGGGTCGGGTCAATGTGGACGTAGTAGGCCTACATGTTGAATTTTACAACAAGATTCTTACATCTAAAAACAAATTAAAATGTTAAATACTTCATAATATAGATTCTAAAATTTATGAATTAAACCGGCAGTTCTCGTGTTAAAAAACAAAAGCTTAATGGGTGAATAAATGTATCAGAGATGTAACTGAATACCGTCCGACTAAAAAAAAAAGCGGCAAATTTTTACAAGGGAGAGTGGGGGGGGGGGGGGGGAACTGACCCCGGCAATTTTCTAAAACAATACACGGCATTTCAACGGGGGGGGGGGGGGGTGCGGACCGCACCGGGTGACACCATTTAGGGGGGGGGTGACACCAAGGCAAAAAATAGCAAAATATATAGAGAAAAAAAATATTTCCACTTATTTAAGTGATTAATTCGAGTGTTAAAAAGTCTTTTAAGAGCAAATTTGACAAATCCCGACAAGGGTGGAGGGGATGCACATCGAAAGTTTGAGGGGGGGGGGTGCAAATCGAAAGTTTGAGGGGGGGTGCAAATCGAAAATTTGAAAGTTTGTTCCCGGGAAGGATCGCTACGCCTCCGGGGCGTGACACCATTAAGTGCCGCACCGGGTGACACCCGACCTCGCTACGCCACTGGTCTATAGTATTTATGCTAAAAGTGTAAACGCAGCGTTACTACCTATGGATATCTTTAAATTCGTTAAATTGTTCCATTTTTTTACTCAATCTAGCCAAAATTAAAATTAAAGACCGGAAAAAGTAAATGGGCGGATAATTCAAAATGGCAGAAGGTAAAAATAATTTTTAGTAAAATAAACTTTAGGACCAGTTGCTTTGTTTTTTTTTTTATGTTTTTTTTTTTTACATTTCTGTGTCTATCAAGCTGTTACAACCGCTAAAAATGAGTCTCCTCTCTTAATTTTGGTGTTAGTATGTGTCCAGTCCCCCAAGCCTGTTTGTGTTTCAACTTCCAGAATTTAGATCTAGAACTCTGAATTTTAACTATTTTTAACGATGATCTTTCTTTTTTTTCTTATTCTTTGCTTTCTTTCTTTCTTAATCTTAAAGTTTCTTTCACTTTAAAAAAGGCAGTGAAATAAAAAGTGAAATCTGAGTTGAGTTCAGTTGCACTCTCGGTAGTTGGGAGATGAAGTTGTAGCTGAATAGAGCTGTAATCATCAAAATCAAAAGCTAACTCAGCTAATGAGCTAAACTAAATGTTCCAAAAATAGAATCTAGACGTCTCAAATAGATCTAGACTAGAAATGTAGAATAAAGAATTCTACCTAGTTCAGTAGTTCTACTTCTTCTAATCACTAATTTACTTGCAAATTATAACAAAACAAAGCATGAGGTAAAATCTTGAAAAATATTGCCACATAACATTAACAACATTCTCAACTGTGCAGTGTTTTAAAAAAAATTAGATCTAGATCTAGATCAAGTCCATTTCATAAAAATAAATAGTACTAGTAGTATGGATAGCCTAATAAAAAAAATATTCATAGTTGATTGTCACCATTATGTTGATAACTGATATGATTTGCGATAATATAAAATTGGTCTTATATGTTATGTATTAAAAAATGAAAGTTACTGACAGTATCCAATTATTAAGTAAAGTAAAGATAACTTGCAGTTGTTTCTGTGGGACTTGCAGTTGCTGTCCAGTCCATTCTTTGTTTTCTGTTATAAACAGATTGCACATTATGGGTTTTCATAATTTAAAAAAAACAACAACCGTTAAGCCTAATCAAATACAATGGTTTTTTATGTTACAAACTGTTCTTGAATGTTACAGAACTCAATGAATCATCTGGGCAGAGAAAGAAAAATCTTATTGAAAATGTGTTAGTCCCTGCACTTGATAATGCCATCATCAAAATTGCCAAAGTAAGAAAACGTCAACCCCACAAATGTCGGAACAAAGCCAGAGAGATATCCTGTAACGTAATACAATATTATGTATGTTTTTTTCTTATAATTATATTTGATATTTTTTTTAAATAGTGTTTTGTTGTTTAAAATAGAGAGAAAAAAGTATGACCAACAGTTTCAATATAAAAAGTGATATACATGGATTTTCCTATTTATTTTTGAATAGGCAATAAATTATACTTATCTTGGAATGTATTTTAACAATACTTTTTTCCTCAGAGCAAGGTCTGTGTAAAGAGTAATTCAAAATTAACATCGAAACTTCAAAGTCATGTGACACCACTTGAAGAGTGTTTAGAGAATTTGGATGCAACAGCCAAAGTATTTTTCTTTACTGTCAATAGATTGATACAATTAAATATAAGTGTTATTTAGTTCACTTTGGTATTTGTGGGTTTGGAATAAAATCTTGTACCTCAATTTTGACCCACTTATAATGGAGTGATTTCTTTTAAACTTTCGTGATTGTGATTTCTAATGCCAATGCAAAAATATCTCATTTTCATTTTGATATTAAATAAATCAGCAATTTAAATTACATAGCTCTCTATGACCACCAAGCTTCACCCTATAATTAAAAAAGTAAATCTCACAATTTCTTGACCTTGGCATATAAAGGGATAGACTATCATAGTGTTGTCAGCACTACGCCTAGTCACCTTTACTTTTCCCAAAGTAAGCAAAGTGGGTGGACTCAGGGATATCCTAGTCACAAGTCTGAACTAAGATTCGAACTTTGTGCTAGCAGCTAAATGCTCTACCATTTGACCACACTGTTGCACAAGTTTCATCCTATACACAACAATAAAAATGCTATAACTAGCCCATCACAGGACTAATTATATAATTCAAGCACAATCCATAAATATAAAAAAAAATTGATGAATATTTTTACATAGAGGAATATTTACTAAAACTACCCAGATATAATGTATTGTAGATATTTTTATATAACAGATTATAAAGTAGTTGTTTTCTCTTGACTTAAGTATTTAATTTTATTGCTTCATTATTTTTCTCTTTTAAATGATTATACATTCATATACATGCCATGATTATCTTTAATTTCAGTTGGTTTCTAGCTGTCAGGAAGAGAAAAAGGTATTGGTAGAAATCTATCAGAAGAGCAAAGACAATAATAAAGTCAACAGAGAAAACAAACTTACATTCAACTTATTATCCAGACTTAAACTACCTCATGCTTTTAGCTGTGATGTTATATCTGAATGACATGACTATGTTGTAGAAAAAGATTTTTTTTTAAATGTTGAAACAAGCTTAAACATACCCAGCTTTGGTAAGGAAAAGAGATGTTGGGTGCATTCTGAAGTTAATCCATTAGGGCTTAATACATCTCTTAGCTAAGTAACACTAAAACAAATTTAACCTTTTCTTAAAGGTTGTAGTATTTGTTATTGCCCACTTAAAATTTCTGATTGCACATTTTAAGTTTCAATATTGGCACTATTAATTTACGAGATCATACCACCTGGATTTATACTATATTGCAACAAATCACTTACTGATTTAACAGCAGACATGATAATTAGGTTCATTCTAGGAGACTAAAGAAGCAGTGAGACTGACAATGTTAACAACCTCTTTTGTAAGAGATCTGATTCTCCCACTCTATCAACTTACTTAATCCTTATAGCTTGTCATGCCTGCCAGTCATGGGTTAGCCACCTCAGTATAAACGTAATGCCAAGTTTTGCTTGTGGTTAGCACAATTTCTTCCATGTTTCCAGTGGTGTTATTTTTTTTTAATTCAGAGTCCACCTCAGTGCCATCTTCTGGATCTTTTTAAGACATTCGCTATGCATGACCCAGCCATTGCCTCCCTCTTGCCCTTATTTTGTAATTTCGCACACAGTATCATTTAGCACTCTCCTTATTTCGGGATTCAATTCTTCAATTTTAATTTCCAGGATACGTTGAATGGATTGTCTCTCAAAGGCTCTCTGTTAATATCTGTGGTAATGAATGAGGTTAAGAAAAATTATTTTGTGGGGTGGGGAGAGTCATGTTTAGTGGTTCAGAAGAGAGATTTCTCACTGTAGGCACTAATGTGGTTGATGTTGAAAACACTTGTACAGTTGTAGAGAACTAAAAAGACACATTTGATGTGGGGAAAATGCTGAAAATAATGTATTATAGATTTGTTTTCCAAGAACTTTATATCATGCCTGTACTTGTAAATGGGGTGAAATAATAAAACTTGTTACTCTAATTTCATAACTAAATAGTAGTATATTTAAAATTCACATGGGATATATCAGTTTATCAAGTAAGATGGTTCATTTTGAAGAACATAGTCATTAAGTTTTAATGTCAATTTTGCTAGAGTATTATTTTTGTAAATAATTACTTCATCCACAAATATGTAATATATGTATTTAAAAATATTTGGAAAATGTCAGTCCTTTCTATCTATATTGATAATTAAATAATATATTGACATTAGTTTACTTTACACACTGTTATTGTTTTGTATAGTCTATTATATTATTTTAACTTGGGGATAGTGTTGTAAAGTTTGGTTTCCAGACTTGTTCATGGGCACTGACTTTTCCCTTCATGGACCAAATTCACAAAACCAGGTAACTTTACAGGTCTAGATTGTAGTCTATTATTTTAAAATTAATAGCTAAGTTGTACAACAAATTTTAGTTACTCATTACAATTATTCTTTCATAATTTTTGTATGATTAAAGTGCTATGCATTTTTGTTAAATGTATTATTTTAAACCAACCCATTTGTCTGTTTTATATTTATTATTTAGTAACCAATTTCTTTGATTGCTTTCCATGTTTATAACTGTGGATATTTGTTAACACTCTTAATTTATCTGCATCAAATTGTTTTATCCAACCCATTTAAAATAAGCTATTTTTCTTATCTAACATCTGGAATATCCTGGGTCTCTACCATGAGCACTATGGCGCCTACTACATTCATTCAAAGAGTACTCTCAACTTGGGATACAGTGGGCTACTAATTACTTTTATGAAACCAAAGGTGTTCTACGCATATAATGATCACCCTACACTCAAGGTTTTCATACAGCACCCTGGTGTACATCTAGTTGGTAGTGTGAACAAACCTACTGGCAACTAAAATCCAGGAAATATAGTGCCTAATTAGTTAACAGATAAACAAATTCAAATTATTTAGTATCTAAGAATAGCTTAACACGACCTGACACAAAAGTGGGGTTTAGCACTGGTATTTAGAAAATTGCCTGACAATTTATTGTGCTGTAGTTGCACATGTATTGAACTAAATTCTTAAATAAGATCTATGTACAATGGTTCAGCTAGTTTCTAGTTTACTCACCTTTTATAAATATAAACTAAGTTTTTGTCTTTTAAAAACTGGTTATATGAAATGATAGCCTACATGCTTTGTTTTGAATAAGCCCAAAACTATACTGCTCTTCAACTAATTTATTGTTGCCTTTTTTTGCACTAACTGGATGTAGCCACTTCTTTAACCAACACAAGGAATCAAGAAGAGCTGACTAGGGTTACAAATAACTAAAACTATTTGTAACTTATCTGTAAATAGCTGGCTATATACTAACTTCACAAACTCCATAATGATTTTGTTATAATTTAATTAGTCAATTACATGAGCGTTCACACCACAATCATCTTTCAAACTGTTATTAGTTATATACATATTTACACAGCTAAATTCCAATCTTCATAAATACTTAAGTGAAACAGAGTTAAAAAAAATAATCAAGACTAACATTCATATCTATGTGTGACAAGATTTGATCTTGATACATAAACACAGCTTTTAAAATGATTCAATTCTATTTACTTTGCCTGTATCTGTGTGAATCATATATGATATTTCATTAAAAAAGTAATCAACATTTAAAACAATGTTAATCCATAGGCTCAGATGCAGTAAAATTAAGTGAATCCTCTTCAGCAGATTGGGATAAGTTGACTTCTGCAGACTGAATGATGGTGGAATTGTTGAGAGTTCTGTCCACCTCATCAAGGACTTGACTGTCTTGGACTTGCTTTGACACAGGGTAATAGACTTTAAAGCTGAAGTCAGTCCTAAGAAAAGATCCCTGTAGATGATAAAATACTGTATTTAGAAAAAATATTTTGATGTTCTAGAAATGTCTCCAGCTTGAGAGCAATGGTCTGGTATTTGACAGTTGCAACATTTTGCTATTGAACTTTAACCCAAACAGATTAACAGTAACATCTAAGTTTTAAAAGTCAAATTACTTAGTAAAAACTCATACTAGTTGATATTCTTAAAAATATTATTTATCAGTTGTTTAGGCTCATTTGATATATGCATATGATAATGGAAAGATTTATTTATTTATGAAAATATTAAAACTTCATGTCAAAATAAAGGAAATAATGCCAACACCATCAGATTCAAACTCAAGACTATCAGGTTAGCAGTTGTATACTTTAACATTACACCACGCAAACCCATCTTAGGTGCACTAACAACTACAAATCTGTGAAACTCATGTAAAGGCTGCATGACTGCAATATCCATATTAAAATATGAATTCATAATTTAACAAAGAAACTTAAATGGCGCATAAAACAGTTGACACATACACTCAATTGTGTTGGAGGGAATCCCATTCAACAATAAAAATTAAGAAGGAAGTATGCCAATATAATCAAACCTGAAAATCAACTGATAAAATACACTTAAAAAGTAAAAGTGCAAAGCTTTTCTTCAAATACTTTTCAGTAATTTACACAATAAGTAAATACTGAGCTATTATAATAATATACTGAAGCATTGCAGTATTAAACGGCAATTACTATCAAACTTTACACACAAGAAAAAATGAGAATAACCTACTAGAGTTTATCAAACATCAAACACAGTTTAAGAACTTTCTTGTTGTATCGATGAAAATCCAGAGGGCCTGACAGAATTCCCAAAACAGCAACTTGAAGGGGATGATGAAGAATATTGTTGGTAGTTTGACGCTTGTAAGTGTGCACCATTATGGAGTCCAAACGCATTGTTCCTATAGCCTTGTCCAGTCAAAATTTGATGAAGAAACGATTGTTGTTGTGGCTGTGGTGGACAAGGGCAGGCAAAACTCTGAGATGGCGAGGAGTCATAGCCTCGGTACATGGCTGCATGGTGATTGGGTATGGAGGGAATTGACGGTGTCCTGACCATTCCATAAAACTCATCACACGGCGCCACAGACTGTGGTAGAGACTGATGGTATGGGTAGTAGGAATGGTCCATATAATTGAGATAAGGCTGATGAGGATGGCACACTCCATTGTGTAAAAGCATTTTTAACAGCTTGTGAAAAAATTCCTAGCAGCTTTTAATCTACTATATTCCACAGTAAATTACTTCTTTACACAAAAAGATATCTGAGAAAGTACTGAACAGACTATGGTGAAACTGAGAAGACCACAAGAGAATGACACACTTTTCTCTGTCCCCCTCACTTTTATGCAGCAATCAGCAGCCTAACAGCCAGCAAGCGGGCATGTGTGTACATATTTGTCCCGGTCAAACCAATGCCAGACTTCAAACAAAAACAACACAGGGAAAAACACAGTGTCAATACATTTGGCCGTCCTGTTGTTTGAGTTTACGAAACTGCGTCACTGCCATCTTGGCCATCTTTCCCCAAGTTTACAAAACTGCGTCATTGGTGATTAGGACAAATTTCAAAGGTGAAAAAAAATGCGGGTATGAGACTAATAAGCACAGACGTGAAAAAGGTATCCATGTTTTATGTAATGAAATAGAAAACATATTGCTAAAAGATTTTAAAATATTAGGTGAAGAAAACTTGTTACTAAACTACCTGAACTGAGGGGGGGGGGGGGGGAGAGAGAGAGGTTGGAGAAAAAGAAGAATGTGTACATAAGAACTTTAAATACAACATTTTCTATGATAAATGTTTTGCCTGTTAAGAAGAATTTTGAAAATGTTCTATGCTATCCTACATTTAATTAAAATTAGATTGAAGTCACATTTAACAAAAAAAAAAAGTGAACTGAATATGGGTCAAGACTTGGCTGTAAATATTTGTTTTGGCAAATGCCAACACAGGAAATCACAAACTGGGTCACTGGAGAGGTTATGGAAGGGCAAGTCATATGAGGCGGGAGCTCATTCAAAAGTGGTAGAAAGAAATTTTAAATTTGTGTTTTGTACTATAAAATATCTCTGGATCCTGAGCGTAACTGTTGTGGTGAGAGTGCTGATAAATTAAAAACAAATTTCCTTATGTAAATATTTGCGTAATAATAATTTTTAAACTTTCAAATATGATTTTAAAAGTTGTACTTTTAATAAAAGTAAGAGTGAAGTTTTTTAAATGATGTACATTTTTTTAAAAAGAAACAGTGGTTCATTGGTTTGTCCCCAGTGAGAAAAAGGCTTAAAAGTACCACGCAGATGCACTGACTGACTTGTCTTTGTTGGCTATGGAGCAACAGAAAAAGTGGGACAGGATTTGTAGAAAGAGGGAGGCTTTTTTTTTAAAAAAGGCCTGCAATGAGAAACCCAATTCCCAACCAATATCTGCATCAGAGAATCTCTATCAATGACAATGAAATGGAACAGAAATTATTTTTCATTTTACTAAAAATTAAATAGACATGAAAAGAAGAAATCTTTTAGCCATGTTGAGTCTAAATAATCTATTTATTCTTTTAAAGAAAATCTAAAAAAAAAATTTTCCTCTCTAATTTATCTTGCTTAAACTCACATGATTGTTTATAATTATTGCATCTATTAGTAAATTACTAAATTTAAAAAGTTATACAAAGAATTGTTATTCTTGAAAACTAAATAGTATTTGATAAAATGTCCCATGGATTATATCTGTGAGAACCATTGCAGAAAGACAGCACTTCTGTGTGAAAAGCTAAACAAATATTGCTCCTGACCTGAAGCCCTAAACAATGCTAGGATTTTTCTTCCCACAAATCAGGGCAGACAACCAGGAGAAAAAAACTCCTTTGTAAACACTAAGTCTAACAAGCAGGCTGGGGTTATTGGGTCTAACTGAGGGAAAGAAAATCAGGCCACAAATTACAGAGATTTTGAGATTATGAAATAAAAACAAAAAATGGCTTCAAATTGTTTACAAATTTGAAACAGAAAATATTTTTATTATAAGCTATTTTGTTTCTTCAAATATAAAATTTATTAAAACTAATTTTTTTCATACGCTAAAAATATGTAGTTTTTTAAAGATTGGAAAAAAAAGATTTCAATATTAGAAATGTTTAAATAATTAATATTTTTCAGGTGATTAGAATAAGCCAAAGGGTGTAGTGCTATATGTAACAGATCTAAAATGTTGAGACATGCATAGAGTAATGAGGTTAGAAATAAACACAGCTATTTTAGTTTTAGATAAAAATTTGTCACAAATGTGATTTGAAGTTGTTTGACATTACAAAGTTTTTATTCCCTCAATACGTGATCGTACAGTAATGGGCTCAACTTCTAATCTGAAAGTTTCAAGTTTGGTTCTTGAACCAGAAATACAAATGCTATGTGTCACTAATGTGATTTGAAGTTCTTTGGCATTATTACTACTAAATTTTAAACTCCCTTTCTATGTGATCAAGTGGTAATGAGCTTAACTTCTAACTGGAAAGTTTAGTATCTGACCAAAAAGCTGTAAGGCATTCCCATAGTCCGCCCATTTCTGATTGCTCCCTGACTCGGGAAAAATAAGGATCTGGGCATAAAATATCACTGCATATGCAGACGTCACAGAAACTGGCAAACTACTTTAACTGCCAGATTGACCATCAAGGCCATAAGTGTGACAAATACATAATTTGAAATTTTTACAAAGCAAGTTTAAAATCCACTCTCCCATAAGGTAAACAAGACTGCTTAATAACCTGGAAATAGACTTTCTAGCTTAATTTTAACTCTCAGTTTTTCTCAAAGCATTTAATATTAATCAAATCATCTTTAATAACTTACAGTGACTATAGAAATAAATGTTCAAAAAGATTAATTTTTAACATTAGCAATAAATAGTCTTAATAACAACACTTAACAGATTGATATAAAAAGCTGATAATTCTTTTAAATATTTATGTTTAAAATATTCACCTGGATGTTTATAACATTTAATGTGTAGAGGTATAGACGTATTAAACAGTGAGTGATGTGAGACTCAGGTATTTTTACAAGATAACAGGTTAGAATATGCCAATCAGTAAAAAAATCAAGCAAAAAATTTGCTGATGCAACTTACAGGGTTGACCACAGTGGTGGACACAGCATTGGTAGTGAAAGGATCAAATTTATCTGCAGTCACAATAACATCGGGTAGAGGGTACAGCCTGAGGCTACAGTCATAAGCCCAATACACTGGACATACATGCAGGGGCAGGGGACAAAGGTGGGCTTGGCTAATCAGGGATTTTGCAAACTGTTAAAAGTAAAATAAAAACTGGTAAAAATTGTGTAACATTTATAGCAATGTCATACAATAATTGTTTGCACACTCGTTTTGTAAAAAGGCATTTAAAAACATATTCTGTAGTAACACAATATTATTGAAATGTAGGTTTACTATTTAAAATTAGAAGTACACATACATGCACAGGAACATTGCCATCGGCTGGAAATTTGACACAGTTTCTGCACAACTTAGTGACAATGTCTTCTCTGAATATTACAATTTCCTGTGTACAGTACTGAATTCGACATGGGTTGGAAGTAAAAACAGCACTGGGTACTTTCTTTCTGAATGCTTCTGTGATTGAATTTGGTATGGATGGTCTAAAAAACAAACAAACAACATTTTTTCAATCACTGAAAAAATATATGAAAGGAATGACAAACTATTAAAAAAATGTGTAAGTGTAATTTTACTATTTAACAATTAACAAATTGTTTGTTTCATTACCTTATTTTAGCATAAGAATCATAAAATTATTATCCTTTTCACAATCAGAAATCAGCTCCACTAAAGCAAGTTACTTTACAAAGGCTAATTTATCTATAGCTTGTAGCATAAAAAAATACCTTGGTAAAATGGTAGAATGGCCTGGGTCATTGGAACCTGGCACAAAAATAAGCTGACTTGAACTCACTATTTTAGGATAGTTGGACAACATATTGCCAAGATCTCTGAAACAGTCTAATAATAGGAAAAGGAAACTATAATATGAGTATTATAAAATTATACTGAAAAATATGGCTCAGAACAAATAAATATTTAATTAAAGACCTAAAATAATTTACTTTCATCAACAAAAATCAAGAAACAATAAAATGTATTGATATATTTACTTTAATTAATAGAAAATTCATATTTTATTTCAGTCATTATAAACAAGAATATCAACAAATAAAATAGTTTACCTGTTAATGTTTTTGCATGACTTAAGACTTTAGGTGAAGATAAGAAGTTCCCACATATAATAAATGCAGTAGGTGGAAAATCAGAATAGCCTTTAAACAGAACATTTAACTTTTCCATCACCTGTGGATAAAATAATTTTGAGTTAAAAAAAAAATTTAAAACAAATATTTTTTGCTCTCAACTTTAAAATGTTTTCCCCTTTTTCTTCTTTAGTTGTAACATTAGAGGGGTCAAACATTGAGTTAAATGTTTTTGTTATTCATTCAACATAATTAAGTGCCCTATCGCTCATAGATCTGATTTAAGCCTGCTTTTCTTTCTAGATGTGCTTTCTTAGCCTTAATTCACCCAAGAACAAGGCAGCAGTTGTTTTATTTTTTATTTTTGAGTTTTCATTCTTAGATGCCTTAAGTGCCAGGTAGAGCTTGGCTCTAGGTTTTCAAGTTGATAGTCATACACTATACCACCAGACCATGCCATCCCTCTTAAAAATTGTCAACTGAAAAGTAATGACAACTTTCACCTTGGGATGGTCAAGCCAGACATCAGAGAGTAAGACAAACATTGCATCGGTGTTCTCTGCTTCAATTTGTGCAAGGCGATTAGAAGACTTGACTTGAATTGATGATGGGCCGCCAAAAAAGTTGATGTTTCCGAAATACGATCTAGCAGCAAACCAAAAACAAACATTTATAATTCATAAAAATATTGCATTGACTTTTTTGTAACACATTCAGTAATAAGTTACACATTTAAATAAAATTAGTGTCCCTTCATCTACATTTTTTATGGTCATTTTGGTAAATATGTTTTTATTTATTATTATGAATCCATAACAGTAAATTTAAAAAAAAAAAACTAGCACAGTATTACAAAAAAGTAAAGATTTAGTATGGTAGTCTTATAATAACCAACAACTTTTAAAAATTACATTTTCTAGGTTACCAATTCACTTTGATCATTAAGCTTGGTACTAATTTCAAGGTAAAAAAAAATGAATATTGTTTAAATCTTGTTAAAGATAAATGAAAAATTCCAAGATGCACTCTACATACAGACCAAGCACATGTTTTTAGACCTTGTAGTAAAGCTCACCTTGTGGTTTCAGCCTTCTCTGGTGGGGGCAAGCCAAAAGCTTCAACGTAAAAAGTACCATCTTCATACCAGCCTTCAGCCAGTACAAAGGAGTTTTCAGTAAACAAACCAGGCTGAAAAGTCTATTCTGTGTTAGGGAAACTCAACAGAATCTTTCAAACCATTCCACATAATGGCTGATTTATGTGATATAAAATTGAGAATGATTAATTCACAACAACTATTTAAAGACATTTTTCTGGCTAGTTCTATACTGAACACCTTAGGTTGTATTAATTTACCAGAATTTAATATATAATCCTTTAGTAAATCAGAATTGTTACCTATGTGTAATTTTTTTTAGCACAAAACAAAGGATACTGCTTCAGATAAATCTAGCTGTACATGACCAGTGGGATCTTCAATATACCATTTACCCTGAGAATGTTTTTATAAAATGAAACAAATTTGATAATAATAATACATAATTAATTATCCCATCTCATAAAACAAAACTGCCCGTCGAAATAACATGCAAAAACTATATTTTATATTTTACATTACCTCTTTAAGTTGTACAAGCATTCCAAGGACCAAGACGTTTCCAACTTTTGATGTGCTGCCCACCAAGTACTCAACAGGTTTCAGCTTTATGATAAAATAATTCATTGTAAGTACATAGTAGAAAAAAAATGTCTCTGAATCAAATAGAAACAAAGATGAGAAAATGCAAAATTGTCAGATTGTTTTTAAAATATAGCATGGAAAAATAATAACTTGAAACTTACTTGAAATTTATTACTGTCAGCTTCTATTGAACCTATGGCAGGGGGAGTAAAAAGGTCATTTCTCAATGTTCTCTGTGGATTAAAATATCAATAAGAATAAAGTTTTTTTTTGCAAACACAACCACCATTTTACAAACAAGTCTCTACACGAGAGAAACAAGTGTTTAGAACATAGAAATCACCTGATGTATAACTGTGTAGCGATCTCTAAACATAGCACCTTTATCCGTGGGAATTCCATGTAATCTTGGCCCTGCCTTTTCCAGATTTGCATCTCTAAAAAATTTTGGTTCACATTAAAATTTCTATAAAACATAAACTACACAGACAAACACACGATTTTCTAAATGTGGTAGTAAACTGTAACTGATGTCCACAAAAAAAATAAATTAAAATAACTTACGGTATAAACTTTTTTCTTTCCTTAACATAAGTAAATCTTGGAACAGAAAATGCATCTATCACATTGAGAATAGAGTCACTGAAACAAAATTATTTGGTTAGCATAATCCCTGAAGAGAAGACCTTATAATAACCAACATTATTTACTTGAAGAAATCAAGTAAATCGACATATATAAGTACATTTTACCTATCATCATCTTGTTCAGCATTACACTCCTGAACAGCAGATTCACACTCTTCTCTTCCAACCATGGCTGAGGCCACTAAAAATAAATTAATGATATTAGGAATAGTTAAGAATTCAGGGAAGTCATTTAAATAATGATTGTGCATACAAGAAATATGAGAAAATCCAACATGATTTTAAATTAGGAATTTTAAAGTAAAATTTTCATATCAGCTTGCAAACATACATGACTGCTTTTGAACAATGTCGATAATTTTGTCAAGCCATTGTTCTTTCTCTGATGCTTCAACAGGTGCTAGAACCTCAACCAAATACCTGCTAGCTTCACTGAAAAACAATAGATTTATTTAGTCTTTATAGTTATCTGTTGGTAGTCTCTACATAAATTACATGAAAAATTTGAAAAGAACCAAATGACTTCATACAAAATGTGTCCTCTGAATGGTTAATAATAAGATATAGCAGATTTTTGGGGAAAAAAGAGGTTGAATAGTATTATAACCTAAGGGGAAAAAATATTATATTTTCAATGAAGAAAATCAGGAAAGTTATGTTTCTTTTTGCCTATTGGTTGACAACCTAGTGGACCATAGTGCTAGACTAGTAGTCTATTATTAAATGTAAAGGGAAGAGTTAACTTCATTTGGTTTGTATTATATCCAGCTCACACTGTAAGTAGGCTACATTGTAAAATTGCTGAAATTTTTATTTAATACTAAATCTAGAGGGACAAAGCTAATGATTTTCAATGGGCAATTTTAGTAATCGAAACCTCTTGTAATTATTAAGGAGTTGTATGCATTTTTAAAATCATTTTATTTTTTGTCTTGCAAGCTGTGGTTTAATCACTTAAACTTAAGTGAAAGTAGCTCTTTATTCTTTGTACTCCTAATTAATAATCATTCATTATCATATAACTCCTAAGGGTAATCTATCGTTTTAGGTATGTAAAATCGCCCGCGACTAGTAATGTGAAAAACAGGTGACTCCTTAAATTTTAATAAGTATTTCACATTTTGAGGAGGATTTATGTTTTGAAAAATTCAAAAATGTTCCCTTGTTCCTTTTATGTACCTGTTTTTAAACAATTGAATTAAAACTTTTCAGTAATAAATGAAGACTAGCGATGATTCCAACAGATGCAACCATGCTCATTTACTATAGCAGCCATCTTGTTTAATTTTTTTTATAGTAAACTTATAGTTCAAGATTCAGGGGAAGCCACTCTAACTTACAGATGGCCTCTTTTTTACATAGATCTAGATCTAGTACTAGATTTCTAGTAGCAAATCCTGCTCGCAAACACTGCTGTTTAAAGATAATTTCTTGCCTATATTTATATATTTAGCTATTGATTTTGGTTTATTATTCATTTATCTATAATATTTGACACACATATACCTCTATTTAAAGCCTTGACAATGAGTTAACGTTTTTGTACATTACTAGCCGCGGGCGATTTTACGTACCTAAAACGATACATTACCCTCCTAAGACCTAAACACCCCTCAGCCCAAAAACCAGCATATTAAAAATGAGATTGTTTATTAGTTTATATTAATATATTAATTATATTTTGCCAATTATTTAGGAATTTAGTTAGGCTAACTAATTTAAACGAAGATAACTTAGTTTAAGTTAATAGTTACTAAGTCAGCAGTAGTTAGGGTAGACACTTGCAATAAGGGGGATAAGCGGATAAGTAATTAGATCTAATAATTAATAAATTATTAATAGGCCTAATTTAATTTAATTTTGATCTAGTAAACTAAGTAGTAAGTAAAGTATTAAAAGTAAGTCTAGTCTAGTATGTAGCATTAGAACAAAGGGAGGTAATTTTCATACAAAAACCTGCCCAGAGCTCTTGACTGATTTTTCAAATTTTGTTTTTACCACTGTCTCTTATTAATTTTAAATTAATATCATTTTAATTTCCAATACACAAAGCAACTACAATTTCAAAATCTACTGAGGTTCAGCTATAGCCTAATGCAATTACTTTTCATTTTCTTTCATTTTTGCCTATAAAAAAATTGATTTGAAAACAATATATGCTCTAAATCAACTTTATTTTAATATATAAACACTTGCCTGCACACAAAACTATGCAAAATCAGTTAAATAAACCATGTGTGGTTCTTATTTTATTAAGAAATTGTGATAGAATTTTACAAATACATTTTTTATGAATTTTTTAAGATTTGGACCTTTATCAGTAATATCAGCCATGTTGTTTTTTCCGGGTGTGGGGAAATTGCGAGACGCGAAAAGCGAAATGGCGAGGCGGGAAAATGGTCGGTCACGTGACTTTTTTGTCTCGCATTTTACCACAAGCCGATACTTACGCTGGGTGGTGTTGAAATGCGAAGATTTCAGAGAAAAATTTACCGCACCCGATTTTCAGTGGTATTTAGTCTAGACTTCAAAGACGTTTCGTTTACATTGTTAAAACTTCCGATTTTTCCGTCGCTAAACATACTGATGATTGGTCAACTCCCCCCATCTTTTGTGTCGACTTAGAATACCACCTTGTTCGAAACCGACGTAAATACCGCCGACGATAGATCAACTTCTGTCTTTTGTGTGGAACGCCGAGGCCGCCTGATTTACCGTCTTTGAAGATCACCGTGCCCGGATCCGCTGCCGCCGCAAACACATTTTCTATTGTTGCATAGAAATTTTGTATTATAGCCGCCGCCTACGGTTTTTTTTCTAGCTTTTTTTACCATATAAATCTAAGCACAAGGAAATGCCTACATCATTTGGATACAACAAAATAAAGTGACTTCACCGATATTATCAGTTGCTCGTGCTATATCGTAAGCTATGGGCCTACTTCAAATATTTTTAAAACCAAGTTGAACTTAACTGAACTTTTTGGTTTTGGTGGTGGTGTTATTTGGGGTCTTCCATAAATGACGTCACACTCGTAGGGGGGGGGGGGGTGTCTGTAATGTTATGACGATGTGTGATGAGGGGGAGGAGGGGGGGGGGGTTAGATGTGAAGTCACACTATAAAAAAGCAATGTTAGAAAAAGAATTTTAGACGTTTTTTCGCGTTTTAGAAAACTGTTTTAATACATTGTAATAGGAATTGATTAAAATACTCTACTTTGACCGAAATTAGACAAGATTTTGGGAAAATATCGATGTTTTAAAAAAACTCAACTGCTGGTGACAACAATGAGCAAGACATTGCCAAAATTACAGAAATGATAAAAAATACAAATGATAAAAAACGGAAAACAGATGTTGAGCGTGCAGATGATGATGTTGAGAACATGGGTGCCAGTGTTGTTTGTGGATGAACGAGGAGGTCAACTGTGATGAGAATGTGAAATGTTGTGAATGTGGATTGGAAGAAGTAGCAAAAGAAAAATGTATAAATGGGAGTCTAATGAACTGGGTTGGGTGTACTATGTGTGAAAGATGGTGTCACGAGGTGTGTTTGAGGACTGTTTCAGAAGATTTTGTTTGTAAATTTTGTTTGTAATTAAAATTACTTAATAAAAAAATAAATTGCACTTTTTAGAATTGTTTATACTTTTACACTTTTTGCAAGTACAAAAATCCATAAATAGATGTTGCAAAATATCTCTCCTGCTGACAAGATTATACCAATTCACAACGACACAGCTCACGTTTGTATAAACATGAGCGGGCTAGATTTTTAAATAAATGCCGACTGAGACGGGATTTTCCTCTCGCTAACAAGAGCGGGCGATGACAGTAGCACAGCAACGATGTTAAGATTTTTAAATAGATAGATCTAGATATCTAGATATACAATACTCGTGTTAAAGGGTATGGCTAAATGCTTGTTTATTTTAAAACAAAAAAAAATGTAAATAAATAAAGATGGAAAAAAAAAGGAAAAAACTTTTTTCGCAAAAAGTGTCTCGCTATTTACCCTTAATTCCGCAGGTATGTCTCGCATTACCTTCTCGCATTTTCCCGCCTCGCCATTTCGCTTTTCGCGTCTCGCAATTTCCCCACACCCGTTTTTTCCTATATAATTAATTAGTCATAGTAAAAATGTACATTTTTAAAAATAAAGCATAACATCAAACAGAAACAAGCCTGCACAATTATTAATGCAAATTTACATAAAGGAAACACCCCTGATTCATAATTTATCATTAGAATTCAAAAAATTTTTGCAAACATATTTTATAAAATTTTCATTTTTGTTTCCCACTAGCCACTAGATCTAGTTTCATTTTTTACAGAGATTATATAAGACTAAGAGTAAGACCATACATTTTGAACAGAAAAAAATTATTTCTCCTCTCCTGTTGAAGCTAGAAATATAAATTTGGTACCAATGGAATTCTTAATCCTTTCTCTAACTAACTCATATGATTTTAAGATTAAATACTCAAAAATTAATTTTGAATGCTACAACCTAGTCTAGTCAGTGTAGAGTTAGACTATAGATTCTGTATATCGATTTAGAAATGGGTTGCATTTAACTGCAATTGTAATACAATAGATCTGCATGACAAATAAAATAATATATAGATCTAAAACCTTCGTAAAGTGAGCCCATGCATTTTGAAGGCAGAAACAATACTGTTTTTAAGCTTCGCTGCCATTTTTGTGTAGTGCGCCAAATAAAACGAAAAGTGGAAACGGAAAAGGACCAGTGGTGTTATTTATTTATAATTTATATGAGTCTCTTGGAATCTTGACTATTGATTACATTGGTTTCATACTCTAATTTTCTGAAATACATCTGTTACAAGAATTTATAATCTTTTGAAGCTTAGATCTATTGGTAATTAAAGTATTATGAGTATTGTTTTTATTAATACTAAAGTATTATTTTAAAGGGCGGTTATCTAGTTTGTACTTCTATCAGCTGTTTTGCTTTGGTTAGCATCTAAATTTAGCAGTATAAAAATATTTTGTAATGTTGTCTGGATTGGATTATTTTATTTATTTATTTAGATACTACTTGTAGCCTAGAGATCAATCTACTGCTATTAACGAAAAAATAATAATTGCCGGTTAATCTATATATAGTACAACAAGTAGACCGATTTATTAAAATTGAATAATCAAATATAGATGTAAAACTTTAGTAATTCAGATTTTCACACAGTTGCCCGTAGCAACCAAAGGGCGTCATCATCGCGCTGAGACTGAGAGCTTACTTTATCATTGATTTTGATACATTGTTATGATTTTATGACAAATTCTGCGTAGTTTTATATTACAATATTCTTTTCGACGAAATAAGAAGACTAGTTTATTGAAAATGTGTGACAGCGAATCTAGATCTAGTTCTAGTAAACAACATACTTGCGAGTGTACATGTAACAAGCAACCTAGACTTGGAGAACTGCGAGAGACATGGTGCGCTGTGGAAAGAATGAAAGAGGAGGACTGGGCTCGCAAACAGAAAGGGCATATTCCCCGATATCAAGAAGAAATGAGAAGTGATATCTTCGGACTCTGTGCATTGCAGAATATCTCAGAACCTAGATTAACATTTGAGCCACCAAAGAAGACTGAGCATACTGAGCGTAGACATTTCGGCAAAATACATAGTAAGTTATAGCAAGTTGATTGAAGTTGTAGTTGTATCATATTCATAATTATTAAATCATTGAATATTTTTAGTATTAGTATTACTGTAGAGAAGCCAACTGTGTTAATTAACTGCAAAATCTCGTCTATATTAATACTATAACTATAAATGTTTTACAGATACTTGAAATAAATGTGCATGTGTTGTTTATTTTTAAGATCTATAACTGTATAACAGCTGCTATATAAGTTATATAAATACATATTTGGTTTGACTGATGCATAACACTCTGTGACTCTTATATTATTTATTTTTTTAAATGTCAGAAACTCATATTGAAGGCTTTTTTTGGCTAATATTGCTGATCTAAACACTTACCTTGGCCTTATATCCCCTAAAAGTAACTATACTATTTATAAATTATAATGTGAAAAAAAAATAAGCCTGATGATTTTGCACCTTTGTTGATCATAATTTTTCTCCCCAGACAAGTCTCAGCTAAAAATTTGATTACCAGAAATGGGCCAACATCAAATGAAGCTTCATGCTCAGTAGTTTTGACAACATCTGAACAGTATTAAAAGCTGGATTTTCATCAGTATTAATTAATAAATTTAATTTTACACATATTTTTGCATTATTTATTTATAATGCCTTCTATGTTTCCATCATTTAGACTTTACACTAAAGAAAATTATATAATTTTTACAATATTTTAATTACTTCAGCTTAATTAAGTGGCCAGCATGTTTTATTAAGACTGTTATTGAGATATTGTATTTAAAAGAGAAAAGCTATCATATTTTTTTATTTATGTTCATTGCACAAAAAATAGTTACTTTTTCACAGTAGAATTTTTATAATTTTTTTTCTTTATGAGATTACACTACTATCTAAACCCAAAGTCTTCAATAATAAATGCATAGATCTTTTTTTTGCCTACAGTATGCCCAGGTGATATATAGGGCTGGTAAGTAGATCACCAACCAGTTCTATGGCTCATGCAGGTTTTATTGAGCTGTAGAACTGGTTGGTGACCTACTTACCAGCCCTATAGTCAAACATGTGTTTGTCTAGCAGATTTTTACCATGGTTGTCTTTCATTTAGTGTTGTTTAATGTTGTTCTCTGCCTTCACACAGTATCCCTTGCTCATCAGTAATTAATTTTTATTAACTTATTTAACTTAATTTTTAATTAATTATTACTGTGACATTTGTGACTTTTTTTAACAATTATTCTTTTCAGGTCTGCAAAATTATGTCCTAAATGTGCCTCTGTCTTTAAGTAATCTAACATTTTCAAAGTGAAAATGGCATAAAAAATATTGATCAGAACTCTTGTTAAAAAAAAACTTAAGTTAAATTTTTTTTTTGAGAACCTGTCATTCCTATTTATATTTTTCATACACAAGAAAATTGTTTGTTCTTGAAACATTATGTGCTTTTTGTATGTTTTTTTAAAGGTTATTACAAGTAGGTTATAATTAATAAAAATTAAAGCTTGTAATGAAGTCATTTTTAGAGTATGCAAACTTGTATTTATTTTTACAAGATTGACAGCCATTAGCAAAAAAACATATACATGTTCAATTCATCATTTTTAAGCTCATATATACAATAAATTAGTATTTTCAACAAGAAAAAAAGCATTAAATTGAAAAAAAAAGACACTATCTGTCCTCTGATAATGTATGACCCGCAGAAGTTTTTCCTTGGGATAATCTTAAAGTCATGACCTCCTTCTTAGTTTTTTCATAAGGATCATCATCCTCATCAGAATCGAACATAGGATCAACATAATTATAAAATTTGTCCTCAACTGTTACACTGTCTTCACTCTGATCATTAACACTACAGTTTTCTTCTAGAGACAGATGTTTCAGAATTAGTTGATCATCCTCCTTATAGGCATCCCTTAAGTGTGTTATTTCACCTGGAGTAGGAAATTTGTCTAAAAGAAGAATTCCTCTTTCTCCCAGTTCTGCTAGTTCATCAACAAATCCAAACCAATAGATAACAGCTCCAGGTCCAAACCTGTAAATTTACAAAAGTAATTGTATTCTTATGGTTAACCCTTGATCAGTAAATAAGTTTAAGTATAGTTAATGACAGAAATGTATTTCATTAACTAATTGTGTCTACTGATGATAAACTGTTATCAAAGAAATTATTGCTTTTGTTTCATTTTTAAATGGGTATGATGCTTAATAATATTAGATTATTAATTTGTTTTGGTAATTATACTTGATAGTTAAATTTTTTAAACAGTGGTTTTTAATATTGAAAGTAATTTTTTAAAAACTTATTCCAACCTGTTTTTGTAAGGTAGAAACTGATCAATCATGTATTGTTGATGATTGATTGGATCACCAAAAGATGCCTTGCTTTCAATCCAGTTGACAACTCTATTGTTTATCACTGTAAACATAACATGAGATTATGTGATAAAAACATTACTTATATTCTTTAAAAATGTTTTTAAAAGCACTTTACACAGATAACATTAAAAAATCATTTATTAATATAAATATCATTGTTGACATTTTACTTACAAATTGGGAGCTGTAATTTTATGTCTGGTGTTTTGTCATAACCGTCTTCTCTCATCTGGTCTTCATCTATTCAACACAAAATTGAACGTTTCAGTTAATATTTTTTTAAAGTTTACTGTACTTATAATTTTATTAGAGAATAAGAAAACCAGTAGTTAGGTCCATTCTGAAATTTAGTAAGGAGTAACAGTTGCTTTTTTAAAAAAAAAGTATTCAATAGCAGTACTTCAATGACAAAAAAATATTTACCAATAAAAGAAAGACCAGCACTTTTACAATAAGACTTGAGAATCATTTCATACTCCACACCACAGGTTCTAGAAGAATGTTTAAAATAAGTGTATTTTACATACATTGTTTCATAAATGTTTATCAGTGGAGACTTTGTTTACATATTTTCAGATTTATAAATTAATTGTTCACCTTAAATCCTTAACAGTCCTATGCGCATGTTATCACCAGAGAATTTTTTGTGTGGCACAGTCTAGTGTGCTTAGAGCTATGTATATTACATTTATTTACGAGTAGTAACAAGATTTTGAAGATGTGGGTGGAAGAGGATAAATTTTATTTACATTGTTTTCTTGTTTCTATCACTAGCAATTAATTTTCTAAATTTTTCTTAAGTCAAGAAATTTTGTTTCAAAATTACAGCAGTATAATTAGAGAAATTAAAAATAATTAAAATGCCTCTGCCATTTAATCAGGCTTTATTTATAATGTAGCAATTTAATCAGGTTTATTTATAATGTAAATAATACAGTGATACTAAAAAAAAGTGATTCAGTTGAATTTTTTATTTTGCATTCAAAATAGATTTTTTATGGAAAATAATATTTTAATGGTAGTGTTTTGTTTACATTTTTAGGGATTAATTTTAGTTTTATTATTAGCAGTAAACCTTTAAGCTATATAACCTCATAGCTAATAAACAGGCCATTTTCATGAATATTTTTTAACATATGCGGGCATCTTTAAATATTGAAAAATAGTAAAATAGTTTTAATGCCCTGGACTGTAAAGGGTTAATTTATTATTTAATATAACTTGCAACCTTAAAGATTTATCAGATATATATATATATATATATATATATATAATAAATTTTAAAAATTCAAAACATCCACTATTCTATGTCTCTGCTGCAAAATTAAAATAATTGAAAAAAAAAACACCACAGTTTAAAAGTTTTTTTTACACCTTTTGGTATTGATGAATAAGTCAAGCCAAAATTTTTAGAATGTATAGGCCTACTTGTTTTTTCTATTGTATTTTTACCATCTAAAATCAATATTAGGTATCGTAAACTGCCACTGACTTTTTTATGCTATCAACTGCAGGTCCATAGAAATTATCCAGCACTGTTGTCTGAAATTTATTTTTAATTTAATTAAATTCATTTTAAAAATAGTCATGTATGGAAACAATTAAATTTAAGTAGTTGTTACACTGTTTAAAAATGATAATCTTTAAATATTAAGTACCTCATATATTTCTTGGGCCAGTTCAGGATTTGGTAGTTTAGCGATGTCTCTGATACAATCTGTCATGAATCCTGGGGGTACTAAAAAAACAAGAGAAAATTATTTACTCTACAATTTTTGACTGGGAGATAAGTATTTGACACTGCTATTTTATAAATGATAACTTACATGATCCTCTGCCTTCACCTCTTTCTCTCCCATGATCAACATCATTCCAGTAATATTCTTCTAATATAATTCTAGCTAGAAGACATGGTGAAATATCATTCTGTGAAATATAATTTTATAGAGCAGACTTGGTTACCAATAAAAACAAAAACAACTACTTTTCAAAGTTTGCGTTAAAATAATAAATACTTTAAAAGGAGATAGAAAACAAAATAACTTCAACAGTGCTTTTGCAAGCAACTCCCTATTATACTAAGTTATAGGCTAGAAACCTTTAAAAAAAATAAAGTTCCCTTTTCAAACCTGGCGGTCCTTGTGGCAATGTGAAGTTGAGTTCACCTATTTCTGTGACTTCAGCATATGAAGGGATAGTGTGGTCAGTACAATGCCAAGCCACCTTTACTTTCTTTAACTAGCTACCCATCAGAGATGGGTGGACTCAGGAATGTTCTAGAAACCTTCACAGTTAAGTTTTATTTGTTTTTCTAACCAATGTAAAACATTGGTCTACTCATATTATAAAACTTTAACATCCACAATTTTAAATTCCATTTGAGAAGGTATAGTGTGGTCAGTGCTATGCCCAGCCCCCAGCGGTGTCTACTTGCCCTAAATAAGTACCCATCAGAGGTGGGTGGACTCAGGAAAGTTCTAGAAAACTTTACAACTCATTAAGTTTTAATAAAAGGTGAATATTTACCTTGGCAGCTAGCCTCATAATAACATTTTTTTCATTATTAGCTTTAGCTTCTTTGTATCTGAAAGAAATATATTAATGCCAATACTGTAATCTAAATAGTTGTCTTCAATGTGTTTCTTATTGTAGTTGGTCATGGTATAATTTAACTATGGCTGAGATAGACTGGAGTCTAGTTAAGTTCTCAACCACTACCATTGAACAAAACCTGTAATGTTTCAGCACAAGGACATCACATTCAGATAATTTGCCATAGCGGTCTTAGAGAATTTATGGGTATTATTGTACAGCAATAGATAAAATTATGAAACAGAAAGAAGACTTTCAAAGCATCCACCTTATAAACTGACAATCCAGAAAAGACCACAAAGCTTGTTCCCTCTTTGAAAGCAAATTTTATCTTGCATACAGTACTCAACATACCTTACACAAAAATTTAATGTTTTAGCATCACACATAAATCGTCTTCACCACTTTCTCCATTCTAAAATACATATTCCACTTTCATATCCTAACACTTATCGTACCATTTAAACAGATTTCCAAAATATTTTAAAAAGGCAAATATAAATTTAAAATAAAATACAAATTGTGTATCAATTATTGTGTATAATTTTTTTGAGGTACTATAATAATAAACTTAGTAGGCAAGTTTAGATTTCTTATATTGTAGAAACTTACAGTTTGAAATATCTTTCTCTTGTTTCTCTGCTGTAATGATGGTGGTGACATCGACGCATACGCCTCTACATATAAATCATAAGTGTGTTACATCCAATAAAAAAATTGAAAATTATGCCATATTTATTAGTTCTGTTGGTCTAAAAGCATTCTAATAGAATATTGTCTAACACAAATATAAAAATCCCATGATTAAAATAAAAGTTAATTTTCTAAAAACTTACCACATAATACTGAGCTTGTATACTTTTTAATGTCTTCTCACTAACAGTCTCTCTGTAATAAACAGCAAGAATAATTAAGCCTCTTTAATATGAAGAGTTTATCCTAAAAGATTATCTGCTTATTAGCCTTGTTTATTCTTTGAGCAGATATTTAAACAATAAATATGTTGACCATTTGAGTAAAGTGTAAAGGTTTGTGTTGGTTAGTATATTATATTATTAGCATTGGGACTCACTTTCTAGTGAAAATGTGCCATGGTGCAAGCAGTTGAGAGTTAAGTTGTTTATGGTTAAGTTTAATAGAGACATAGCAATAATAGAGACTTTTTGTTATGTTTTAAAAATATTTCATTTTATTATTAAAGATAAGTAAGTGTTAAATGTGTAAAGAGTAAAGCAACAAAAAATTTGATAAAACCCCAATTTAATGTAATTTATTCGCCATTCACGTTCACCTCCAGTTGTTTAGATCCATCTCTAGACTACATGGCAAGTCCAAATAAGCCAAAAAAAAAATCATGTGTAGCCTAAACTAAATTTTAAACCAATCCTGAAAAAAAACCAATTTAAAAAATTATGTCACGCCAATGTTGGGTAATCCTAAGCTAGCAGTAGATGTACCATGTACGCTTGCATGATGGGCGGAAACCTGATCAACTGTGAAGAGGCACCATAAGAACTGATGAGACTAGTTTTGTGCACCAAAGCCAGATCACGAGATGGGGCAAGATACCCTGTTCGAATCTCGCAACACCCAAATGGAAAAAAAAGCCTGGGAAGCAAGATTTCCCGGTTTTTAAAGATATTTCCTGGCTATTTATCAAAATTCCCGATTTCCCCAGGCCAGGAAATTAAATTTTGAAATTCCTGTTTTTTTCCCTGTTTCCCGGCTGCGTGGGAACCCTCTATAAATGTGCTTTATTTAACTATTTGCTTCACACTTAAAAGAATGTTGGTAAAATATAAACCTTGTGTGCCCCTCGACTTCAAGTATTGCATTGTTATTTAAACTTATTATGTGAACTCACAATGACCCCAAAAATGTCATCACCACAATTTCAACGAGCATTTGCCCTGGCTATGACATATAATCATATGATATCTAAACCAATGTGAACACACAAACCCCTCAACCATTCAGTGATTTTTCTCCTGCTTACAAGAAAACGTGAGCTAGTCATGTTTAGAGTTAGTGTAAACGACCATGACCAGATAAAAACTGACAATTTTTTCTCATTTTTTAATGGACACCAGCGAGAAAAGTCTCAAAGGTATTTGAGAGGTGTATAAATTCATTAAAAAATCATGCACAGCGTATTTACAATTAATATGGTTATAAAATCCTGCCTGTCTGGTTTTTTTCGGACTTTACTTAAGATTGGATGTATTTGATGTTTATAATATTTTCGGTAACTAAATAAAAATTTAAAAAAAAGCAAAAACAATTTGGTTTTCACGTGTAATGGCGACATAAACATGGCATCCTGCTATTGGATAGGCTGCCATAGATTTTATTGTACACATTGTAAGCTAAAAATAGAAAACTAGTTCATGGGGTTTTAAATTTGCATTGTAATTTAAAAACTTGATCTGCAAAGTTTTGTAAACAAATAGTTATCGATTACTAAGTTACTGTACAGCCAATCAATATTTGTCTTACAAAAGTGAAACATCCGGTTAAAACTTAGGCTTGATGAAAATAAATAGAAATGTAGCCTTAAACTCAACAAATTATTTTCAAGTTCTCTGGATTTGCAACTTTTATAGCATTTATTCTAAGAATATAAAATTTCTAAATTAATTTTAGGCTTAAGTTTTTATTTTTTATTTTTTTTTACGGTCTAAATCTAAAAAGCACGTTTTTATTCCATGACAACAACATTATGGAAGGAATCTCGTCAACTCGCTCGCCTCCATTGAAATTGTGTTAACTTAACAGTTAGATTTTAGATTACATGAAACAATTTTACAGTTTTTTTTTTACCAACAAAACATTTAAGTTATTTGTTTTTTCCCTTGTACGCTTTTCTAAAACACAAATTCATAAAAACTTAATAATCAAATAAGACAGAAGTAGGCCTACTAAATTACCAAAAATTAAATTATTAGGCCTAGTGTTTTCCTAACATTTTTCATGTGTTTCAATAAAATACACTGATTACACTCACAACTCAGAGGCGAACATGAAGCAGCAAATAAATTACTTAAAATTAGTAAATTACACTAAAGCTATTTAGAATTTATCTAGTCTAGAACTAGAGTAGACACTAGATCTAGATCTATATGCCCGTCAGCCCTGGCTATTCAATCAGTCACTCAGATTCCGTCATCCGACTCGCTCCACTACTCCAGCAGCAGTGCTGGAAAACTGGAAAAGCCTCGCAAAAACCTCTCAAGCAAGACTTCTAATTAATTTACTAGATCTAGATCTAGATCTAGATCCTTTGTAGGCCCTTACAAAATAGCTGGCCATTTCTTTTCCAAATTTCTCCGACCTTCGATGAAAGAGGGTTCTCTGCTTAAAATTTCCAGAATGCCGTCATAGACTTTCTGCTTCATGTTGTCTTGATTGTTGACAAAATTAAAATTAGATCTAGATTGGGTCTACTTACCGAAAATCGTTTTTAGTTTGTGAACACTCAACTTCCTGATAGTTTATAGATCCGTAAATATGAAAGTAATTGATTCAATTAAAACCACAATGATTACTTTTTAACATCACATGTCGTAGCTTGCGACTAGTAATCCAGTCGGGTGAAAATAAGATGACTTGGCCATTTTACTGAGGACATAATCCCAACATCACTTGAACTCTGTTTAGTTGGTAATTTTTAAATAACATCGCACATTTGGGGAAGGGTCGGGCTTTTGTGATGAGTTGGGGGGGGGGGGAGCGGGGGATAAGTAAGTAGCCTACTGTGACGTCACACTCGCGCAGTTCTTTTTTTTTTAATTAAAAAATGATCAAAGTACAATTTTAACCGGGATTTTCTAAAATTTTGAACAATTATTTTAAAAAATGGTGATGATAAGACACACATACGTGACGCTTTGAATATTTTTAATAAAGAAAAAAAATGGGAGGCGGAGATTGAAGTGTGATGTACATTTGAGCGGGGGGGGGGGGTATTATAAACAGAATACGAGAAAGTCTTGGTCGAGATAAAGGGTCATCCATAAATGACGTCACGCTTTTTTTGTCGATTTTTACTTCCCCCCCCCCTCCCCTCAGTCGCACGTCGTCACAAAAAGCCACCCCCCCCCTAAAATGACGTCACACCTCAACCTACAACCCCCCCTCAAAATTGCAGTTGATTTTTTTAAAAACATCGATATTTTTCCAAAATCTTGTCTAAACTATTACAATTTATTAAAACAGTTATCTAAAACGCGAAATAACGTCTAAAATTCGTTTTCTAACATCGCTTTTTTATAATGCAAAAATGTGACGTCGCAACATCTGAACCCCCTCCCCCTCATCACACATCGTCACAAAATTACGGACCCCCCTCCCCCTACGAGTGTGACGTCATTTATGGATGACCCCCTAAACTAATGTCATAAAAACTATAAAAACCATACCAGCAGAGGAGTTTGTGCCTAGTGCGACTGTGGCTTAACGGACACCAAAGGCGTTTTTTTTTTAAAATCTGAACAAAAGAAAGCTAATTTTGTAATATTTTCTTATTTTTAACGTATTGATCTATCTATAGTAAAGGTTTTTATACAAGCTTTATTCTTTAAAAAAAGTTAGGACTAAATAACTCTTACACTTTTGTAAATATGTTTTAGGCCTAGAATGTTTTTTTGTTGTTGCTTTCGGTAATTTAGATGTAGATCTAGATCTAGAATAGCTAGTCTAGCTACATTCTGGTTGTTTTTGGCTATTCGGTGGTTAGTGAGATCACTCGACCTTCATTTGTAAAAGGCAAAAGAAGAGTGGTGGTCGCTAAAACTATGCCTGTTGAAAAGGTCGGTATAACAATAAAATAGGCATAGATCTAGGTCTATATCTAATTAATATAAATTATTAACTCAATAATGTCCTCTTTTTCTTTATTCAAAACCAACAAACGAAAAATATGAATAGGCCGAAGCAATAACAGAACTAACTTTTAGGTAGGCATTTTGGTAAATTTTGCCTAATTATCTCAGAATGATAAAACACACATAATATTGAAGGCCATAAACTGCCATTTAATAAACCACTAAAGTTATCACTGTAGGCCCAGTAGTTTTTTTTTTATGAATTTTTAAAGTTGTATGTTAAACAGCTTATATTTTATTGTAAAGTTGCAAAATATTTGGTGTCCTTCTTTGAGTTCATATAGCGTTGTTATTTTTTAACATGTAATGATAAAACTTTGCATATTGATACTAGAGAGTACAGGCAACAGGAATATGCAATTGAAATAAAGATCAGTAAAGGTAAAACCAAAAATAATTAAGACTAATTAAGGGTCATGGCGTTTCTATAGAGAGAGCAACGTTAGTCTATTGTCAAACTGCACAACTCTGTTGTTAATAAAGATATATTGATAAAACTTTGCATATTGGTGCTAGGGAGTACAGGCAACAGGAATATGCAAGTGAAATACAGCTTAATTAAAAGGAAAACAACTAATAATTAACTTAATAAAGCCCAATTAAGGAGTGCGGTGCCGTTCTACTATGATTGCCACAAGTCACTTTTCATACTGAATATCTATGTTGCTATTGATGATACAAAGATAAAACTTAGCACATAGATGCTTAAGGATGTTGGGAATAGAAATTTACAAGTCAAAAAAATGCTAGGAGAAAAAGACAATCACATATAATAAAGTCTAATTAATGGGGGTGGCACTGAAATCTTGTATCAATAATACCTGTGTATTATACTCATACTGGAATATGATATGGTTAGGATTATGTTGAAGTATCTAAATATTAGTAGCATTAGTTATAGGCTACTTTTAATAAGTAGCCAAGGATGGTTAATCAATAGACAGCCTACAGAAACTAGATGAGATGTGTCGCAACCGAAGGATAGACAGCTGCCTTATTTGCTGATCTGAACCTACTGTTTAAAAAAAATTACTGTTGCTTAGTTTAAGTTATAAAATTAAGTCACATTGTTCAAAGTGTTACTGTTTCTGTTTTCTTTTTGACTTCAAAAAAATGTATCTATTACTGTTGCTTTAGATCACATTATTAAAGTGAAGTGTTAATGTTTCTATTTTATCTTTGACTTCATTTATTTTACTTTCCATGCCTCTATAGATCTAGTAGTATATTTTAGCTATTATTAGATTTTAAAGATAATATACTATAATCTGAGAAATGACCAATTTAATCTTTGTAATTATTTTCTTAATCAGTTTTTCCTGAAACGGGGTAACTAAAGTTTAGACATCATCCATAAGTAATTTTACAACATAATTATATATTTAAGCTTGATGCAATAAATATTAGTTCTATTAGATTCTTATAAGCAATTACTCATTAAAATACATAGATCTAAATCTATTCTATAAGGGGCCTAATATTTATAAGGGCCTATTTATTACTATTTAAAATTTTAATTAGGCCTATTATTATTACCCAATTGAAAATGACTAATATGGAAGATTATTAATGAATGGGACTATTAATTCCATTGCTTTAAATTTTATTTAATCCATAAAAAACATTCTATAAGCTAAAATCTTGCCAATTCAATGAATAGTGTTAAACAGTAATACAAATGTGCGATTTTTTATATTTCATGCATATGGTCTATGGACCGTCATTATTAAAATTGCGTAGATCCCCTTCACTTCACGCAAGAAGCCATATCTGGTTACAAAGAGCTAAAAAGCCCCATAAAACCAACATTTCCACCCATGAAAATAGTTTGGCATTACTTATTTACTAGTCTAGATCTAGTTTCCTGAACTTATCTCTTTTTTAAATGCCGAAATTTGGTTCTATCGATAATAGGTAACCTCGCGGCCCCTATTGCCCTGTTAAAAAATTGTGTCCGCGGGACCCCCCCCAAGATTTACCAATGCTTTTTAAGCATGTTCCAATGTAAAGAACTCTATGAAACTGGTATTTTTGTTCTTGAGAATGGTTAGGATGCTCATTACAACTAATGTCTAGCTTATTATACTTTACTTTCTTGCTAAAATTAATACTAATTGAAAGAGGTCGGTTACTGCGTTTAATGAGACATGCTCGCTAAGATACCTCGATAAAATTGGGATCGATATGTTAAAATGTAACTAATAGTTTTCCATACAAACATAGAATATAAAAACAGCCCACTTTGACGTATCGAATACACTAATTTATCGATTCTCTCATGATAACTAAGCACTTGGATGGAAAATGGCCGAAATTACAAAAGTTGGCTTGAAAAATTTCGGATGTGGCCAGATTAAACAAAATGGCGGACATCGAAATGCCTACTTTTAGGTTTTTTTTACACACATGACCTGCTCTTTGCTGCAGATGTCTGACTGAGTGATTAGACTTAAAATCTAGACTCTAGATCTAGCTAGAACTACTGAACTAGATCTAGACTCACTAGTGATTAACTGGCAGGGTGCGGACCGCACCGGGTGACACCATTTAGGGGGGTGACACCAAGGCAAAAAATAGCAAAATATATACTATTATATAGAGAAAAACTCGAGGGGGGGGGGGGGGTGCAAATCGAAAGTTTGAGGGGGGGTGTGCAAATTGAAAGTTTGTCCCTTGGAAGGGTCTCTATGCCTCTGGGGGGGGGGGGTGACACCATTAAGTGCCGCACCGGGTGACACCCGACCTCGCTACGCCACTGGGCCTAGTCCCTAAAGGCCTAAAGGCTAAAAGTGCGTTGGCTAGGGCATAGTTGTCTGTGCTGAATTTTGGACACAATCCAAATTATATTGAAATTATTAACGAAGTGACTACTTGGAAAAAGCTTCTTTCCCCCCAGTGCTATTCTAGGAGGCAGAAGATGAAAAACGCAATGACCTTATTAATAGATTTCAATAGGCTTAAATTAAATACTATTAATTAGCTGCAAAATGGGCTCAAATTACATTGTAATATATATTATATAGCTGCACAGTGGGATCAATTTTCCTTTTTTAGCCTTATTCTTCTGACAACTATCTGTACTATAACTGTGTGTTCGAGCAATTGTGCTTCAGGCTGGTTGTCAGGGGAGGGTTCCCAGTATTAAGTTATAGTAGATAACCTAGTTAGGAGATCTAGTCTACAAGTGAAGTATACATTTTTAAACAAATCTGTTTTAATGGCCCATTTAAATCTACTATATAGGCCTAAGTATTAATCAGGGTTCCCGCGGCCTCCTGAAATTCCAGGATGTTCTGGAATTCTCCTGGAATTTCAAAAAACCAGAAAAGTCCTGGAATTTTAACATTTCTCCTGAAATTTTGTAGTATGTCCTGGAATTTTACTTGCATCGATAATTTTAGCGAATATTTTTTTCGCGCGTTTGATTTCTAGGTAATGAGATCTGACCGCCCCAGTAAAAATGTTATGCATTTCAATTCTTCGCGTTACAGGGCACACATTTTAAAATATAGATCTAAAGCTGTCTTTAACATGTGGGTTTGGTTAATTTTTTTTCTCACGTCTTTCTATGTGTGCGGTTTCCGTTTAATAGGCCTGACTTTTTTAAAATTGAAAATTTCAAGTAGGCCTGGGCCAAAATCTAGTTTTTGCGCAGCTAATTTGAATCTACAGTCCGATAGGCTCTAGATCTACTTTCTATTTTTACATGCGTGTTGTAATACTACCACCCTCCCATCCCGCATCTCAGTTTCTTTCCCACGACAGGGTGGGGGAGGGAGGACCGCTGGTTGGGTATATGAAGTGAACTCTGTGTGACCCGCTAGTGATGTCATCAGCAGTATACTACAGGCCAACTGTAAGCTTAGATGAACTGACCCCGCGCGATGGTGTCTAGCTGGAGGACAAAAAATATGCTACCGGCAATAAAAAAAAACTTGTATTTTTGGCTGAAATATTAAAATTTTTTCAAGTATTAAGGGTCGTCCATAAATAACGTCACACTCGTAGGGGGGGGGTGGGGTCCGTAATTTTGTGACGGTGTGTGATGAGGGGGTGGGGGTTCAGATGGTGGGACGTCACACTTTTGCATCATAAAAGGCAATGTTAGAAAATGAATTTTAGCGGTTATTTCGCGTTTTAGAAAACTGTTTTAATAAATTGTAATGGGAATTGATCAAAATACTCTATGTTGACGGCATTCTGAAAAGATTTTGGAAAAATATCGGTGTTTTAAAAAAAAAAATCAACATCAATTTTGAGAGGGGTTGTAGGCTGAGGTGTGACGTCATTTTAGGGGGGGGGGGGTCTGGCTTTTTGTGGCGATGTGTGCCGGTGGGGAGGGGAGGTATAAACCGTCAAAAAAAGCGGCCCACATCATTTATGGATGACCCCTTACCCTTATTTCCAAAATACAGTTTATTTCTAGTAGGACAAATCTAAGCTACTCAGGTTGATCTACTTGTTCATTAAATGATAAAAAGTTAAAATTACAGTTAGGCTATTCACTGTTGAAGACTCCCATTCAAATCACAATGCCATGTCTATTTTTAAAAGACAAGACAAGCTGTTCTGTTTGTTTATAATTGACATTGTTAGTACGGATGATGACATTGGTGAGGGGTTAAGTCACTTGACACTGGGATATAGCTATGTTTCTCAGTAGCAAACATCTAAATTAATTTATAATTATTTTACTAAGTGAATTTACTCACACTATTTCAGTAATCATTGAATTGAAAACAAAAATGCAAACATATAATTGATTAACATTTTAAATTAGTTTATTGCTGAAATTGTTTTCTAATATTTTTAAAGTTGTGAAATTTTATTTTTTTGGGGGGTGGGTGGGTGGGATAATGAAGAACTGTTATTTTCAATAGTCTGTTTACATCTCTGTATAATTTTTCTTTTGTGGTAAGGGAGGGTGGGAAATTTATGAGATCAATTTGTGACAACATGCCTTAGAACTGGTGCTGGGGAGGGGGGTTTATAAACAGGCTTAATTTATGGACAGTGAGTAGTTGTTTAAGAAAAGTGTCACATTTATATATTTAACTACTCATTGGCATAAGTGGGGGGGGGGGGGGGGCGCCCTGATGAAAAGGGATAATAATTTTGTTTACAAAATGCTCATTTTATGCTGAAGTATTGAATTATACACAGTCAAAGTTAGGAAAATAAACTTTTCTCTACCTTAATTGTGTAGTACAAAGATAAAAAAATTTACAAGATAGTGACTGGTAAAAAGTGCCACCAAATTTTCAAAAAGGGTGGGGGGAGGAGAGAAAGGAGAGATAGCAATTTTATGAATAACAATTTATAAATGGGAGGGGTGGGGTGCAAAATTGAATCTACTTTAACCAAACTAAATGGTTTAGGAACAGTTACTTTTAAAAATTACAAATGCTATGCTACATAGCATTTTATAAAGACCACTTCCTATTTAAGGAATGTCAAACTCCCTTCTTGCTTTTTAATAGGTTAAATTATGTCCTGGAATTTTGGTTTTTCTCCTGAAAAACTCCAGGAATTCTCCTGGAATTTCAAGTTCACTTTGGTGTAGGAACCCTGAATACAATTTTAATGCAAGACTGTAAAGAATTGGATAACATAACAATACATTCTAAGCTGTCTACTTATTTAACTTATTAGTTTTAAATACTTTACTACAAACTATCCTAAGCTTAGATATTAGCCTATATTACTTTTAGTGCCTAAATGCATTATACAAACTTGAGACAAAACAATAAGGCTTAAAAACAATTTACTTTTATCATTTACAACAGTCATTGTCATTTCTCTGCCTCATCTTTCTGGGCAGTTATGTCCCGCATTAAAATAAATTCCATTTTAATTATCATAAAATTACTTTTTAGGTTCGTGGTGGCGGTGAGCCATTCAAATACCCATGGACTCTCACATCTAAGCTGCAGCAGTTTCCTTGGAAGCTTCAATGGAAGCATGGTAGAGGCTTACGCTATTATACTTACACATGTGTAGCACTGATACCCCTGTTTATGTTCTTGACTAAACAAAGTAAGTATTAGGACAAATTTTTCATTTTTGCTACTGCCTAAAATTTAATGAACACCATGGTAATAAAAACTGTACATTCAAATACATATTTAATAAACTGAGAGTGATCTCCACTAAACCTTCTTGAATATTCTTATATAACACTACGGGGATGGGAACTCAGGATAAAGACATGATTTTTAATCCATTTTTTATTACTTAAACTTTTAAAAATATGATAGAATGCCGTAGAAAAAAGAATTGCATATCAAGTGAACGCCAAACATGTGTATAATAGTGCGGAATATTATTAGTACTTTATAAATTCACTTTTATTTTAGAAATAGGAAATAGCGTAAATTACTACTTCTGGTCAACGGAAATTACTCAAAATTTGACAGAAGGCAGAGAATTAGATCTTTTACTTACATGTGAAATTTCATTTATCTATCTGAAACAGTACTCAATTTATAGGCTTTTGAACAATTGAAAGTAGAATAAGTTCCGGAAATTGGTGAAAAGTTGATACAGAACTACAAATCTATATATATAATTCTCTTCTGGGAGACGTTAGAAAACAAGCTGCACACGCGCCTTGCAGTCCCCTCTCTTCCTCTCTATCACTACCACCCCCACCCCACCCCCACATGGTCTGGTGAGCTGTGGTTCACGCTAAATGTTTACAAATCGTAAAGGAAGGGGGGGGGGTTAGTGTTTTAAAGCAAATATTTTCAGTGGCAGCATTGGTACTGTCGAATTCACAAATTATGACATACTGAAAAGTAGAAAATAAAACAACTAAATAGCGGCGTATGACACGCAGCGGGTCGGCTCGTTTGATATAATACTTATATATGAAATTTCATCAACCTAGCTGAAACAGTACTCAAGTTATCGTGTTCACACATACACACAGACATATGGACAAAATTGCTAAAGTATGTTTTTCTGACTCAGTGAGGTGTAACACGTTGAGATTTTTACAAATCTAGATATATTTTTTGCAAGAATACAATACTTCCTCTACAATTAGTATATGAGAAAGTAAAAATGAACTTTGTAATGAAATAATGAATCGATATTCAATAGAATTAGTATGTTTTTTTTATGAGTGTATTAAGTCTATAAAAGCCTTAACGTTCACTGTATGTAAAAATCCTTTACATTCTAATTTAGGGCTTTTACTTCTTGTAAACATTTAATTCTCTTATTTGTTTATTCAAGGCTATGCTCCAGCCAATGTTAAACAGTGGGATGAAATCAGGGCAAAGAGACGCCGTAAGTAGTTTTCTAAATGTTTTCATATAGCCACAGATTGCACTACTATTGCCCTACAACAGCAATATACTTGACTGATTTGTATATTTATTGTTTTTTAAATATTTTTTTCTTTTCAGACTCACCTTTTGATGTCCCTCATGACCACTAGATAGATCAGTTTTAAAAATATCATGGACTATTGTGCTTTTTTTTTAGAGCTTGAAAGTTATGTCTAGAATGTATTGAACATTAATAAACAGTTGTAATTGTGTATATTTGTTTTATTTATTGGTTTTTTTTTTTTTTTTGAGAAAAATGGAGTTTTGGAGTAGGGTGTGCACTTTACAATTGGTGTGAAAATTCTGCTAGTGTAAGAATTGACAAAGTTAGTATTTATGTCTTCACTTTATTTACATTTTGAATTCTCACATTAACTTAAGGGCAAATAAAGAACAGTTTTTTGTAACAATGCTAATAATAACATGCAAAGTGAAATAGCCTTATTTAAAGACAGGGAGGAAGTGATGCAATACACCTGTAAATAATTTATCAAACACTGAAATACATTTAATCTGTGAAAGTGTGGAAATGACAAACCATGCACTAAATATATGTTACCTGCTGTTTTTATAAATCCATGTTTTTAAATTGCAAGTTACCACAGCATTGACATAAATAAGGATAGCATGACATTACTGGCATAGACAATTCAACATTTTAGTAGTCTCACTCAATATTTCCACAAGAATATTTTCAATTAATGCACAAAGAAGATGGTGTAAAATAATTAAAAGTACCCAACAGCAGTCATTAAATGTATAGATCTACCAGTACCAGTTTCTACTTTAAATTTAAATCAGTGTTAATGAAAAAAAAATATTCTCAATTGGTGATTGGTTTTTATCGTAGTTCATTTGGCACAAATCATTATATCCAAAGTCAAGTAACTGCTAAATTTAGTCTTTAAATTTGTATATATAATATATAGAGAGCAGAATATTCTAGCCTACACTTAAATATTAAATACAGAAGTAACGGATAATAACCAGTATCTCCTAACAGCTCAGATACATTAGTTAATCAGGCAAATATAAACGTAAGAAAAGCCACACAGAAAATGACAATCTTATAGTAACTTGATATCAAAGTACAATTTGAATTACTAAAGCAACAAAATACATTTATTCTAAAAAGCTCCAAAAGAAACAAACACCCTTGTATATTCAAATAAATGACTAGAAACTTGTAAGCAAAGCAGTGAAACAACTAAGAAAGGAGGCTGCTAAAACTGGAATGTTTATATATATATATATAAATATGTAGGAATTGTTCTACCAGTCACACTGAATATAAATCAATCATCTGCTAGCATAGTGAAAAAATGTTTCAATTTCTAGGGATTCTACCACAAGAATTAGAAAACACAATCTTCTGTTATCTTTAATCATAAACTACACATGAGATGCTGAAGTGTCAATATGTGATGTGTCAGTATGTTATTAAAATTAACTTAAATCTTTTATCTTACAATACTTACAATACCTAGAAGTTAGAAGAAAAAATTAACTAAAAACAGATTAGCTTACTAATCTTACATTTTAAAAATTTAATTTTTCTATATTTTCATGATTCTAGTCCGAGGCACAGCTGATGTGTTAAAATAATCTTTTAGCAACAACAATACCAATTTTTTTTTACATTTATTCATTTAAAACTTTTTGATGCATGTAACTAACATTAATTAACAGACTTATCAAACTAGTCTGTTACACATTAAGTACTATTAGAGAAAACTTTTAAAATAAAAGATAATCTTTTAAATTATTTTAAAATACTGGCTTTAATATTAAGCTAACAGTCTCAATACAAGAGTAAGAAATGCCACAGTTCAATAAAAGAACTTGATTCACTTGACTAGTAATTAAGTTACTTGTTGCAGTAGCATGATGACTTCAATGATGAGTATATTAAATAAAATACAGTGGTGACAATGTTTAACACAGTGAAATATGAGGTAATCATTATCAGAAATAAAAAGTACAGTTTCATCCAGGAAAATCAAACGGTACACATAGATGCATTTAAATATTGATTACAGAGTCACTCAAGCTGAACATTTAGCAGCATCAACATTCACTCCTTGCATATGGCTTATGATTAACATGTCAGTAAAATTAGCTCTTCGTATAAGTAAAGAACATACCTAGTTATATATGATATGTTTAGACAAACGTTATATACTGAAATAAAAATGTAAAAAAAAAAAAAACACTGCTGATGTATATGTACACAAAAACACATTACACTTTCTTGGGACACACAGAATAGTTTGCTTATAAAAATATGTTTTAATATCATTAGGCCAATATTAGTATTTTATTATTTCATGTTCATAACTTTCAAAGAATATTCTGTGTAGAACTGATAAGTTACAAAAAAGTATGCCATAAAACAGTTGATTAAAAATGTAACAACCAGTGTTATTGTAAACCTAAACTTGGCTGGTTTATTATAAACTTGTACAATAAAAAAAAAACTTTGACTAAGACAACTTATGGTTATCTGTGTAAACATAACTAGAATGTTTTGTATTTTAAGAGTTTTTTCTGTAAATTTCTCAAAAATTAATACAAACTTTTAAACCCAAAAATTAAAAGCAAATTATATATAATATATATGTATACTATACAAAAGGCATGAAAATGAACAATGGAAAGAATGACTATTGTAAATGTATTGTAGTAATTCTAAGTAGCTACAGCTATAACTTTCACAATGGTCACTAATAGCTGAAATTATAAAATTGCTGCAACTTAGTTGAAAAGTTTAAATGATAATAGCTACAGGTCCTACAATGTACCAGAGATTGCTCATTACAAGTGAATAGTTAAGTTGCTGGTTTTAAGAACTATATATTTAAAATTTAAAAAAAAACTATTCGCACCACTATCTTTAAAATTTTGTTGTACAAAAACTAGGTGGGATAATTTATTTCCACTAAACACATTCTACAAATACGGTGCATAGCATTGTCAGTTTGATTCATGTCATGTATTATGTTTTCAAGATATATAAATATCAGAAACAGATATCAACAACATAAACAGGAAATTAGTATTAATTAAAGATAAAATACAGTAACAAAAAATGAAAGCAGGTTCCATTGAAATTTTAAAATATTAAATGTCATGATAATATTTATCATGGAGGGAGCTAGGGTGTTTAAAAATAAAGTTATAATTCTAACTTTCACAAAGCATGCATTCAGTTTAAAAAAATAGTAAGGAAAGAGGAAAAAATCAATCCTATACAAACTTCTTACAATATTGCTTGAAACAACTATTGCTGGATCAAAGGTCAGACACAATTAACATAATTAAACACAACAATAATCTTTGTTCACACACAGTTCACTATATATTGACTTCTGATGATAATTTTAAGCAAAGATTAAAATTAATTAAATTAGCAACATGCTTTCAAACAAAGGAAACAATGAACCAGGAATGCTAAGGAACATCAACAATATAGAGTGTGTGCATGTATATATATATATATATATATATATATATATATATATATATATATATATATATATATATATATATATCCACTTACATAGCCAATTGTACTGCATTGTTATTTGGAAGATCAGTGACAATAAAAAGTATGAGATTACACAATGTCATACATTGGTAACAGAAACACTTGCAACAGGTAGGCCTGCTTACCCAAATGGACATCAAGCCCATGCTATTACCTAAAAGCAGGCAACCAAAATTACTTTTGGTCTTTAAGCCTACAAAAGTCATGAGAGTATTAAGAAATTTCAGATCTGCAATGAATTATATAGATGTGTGAAAAACTGCAAGACGTCATTCAAATATATAATTTATAAATATCAACATTACGCTGCTGCATTACATGTTCTACATGTTGCTGGATTTCTAAGTTAACCAATTATCCTGTCAAACTCTAGCCAGGTATCCAGGGTTAGCCAAAAGGTTACATAGCCAGGGGGTGGGGGTTGTTAAAAAACTAGTAGAAAAATATCTTTCAACAGTAATTTCTTTGTCCTTAAATTAGATGTCTCAGATTTGTGGCATCATGGACCACTTTATATTTAACTCAGATACAGCCCACATTTTCTATCCCACAAATATACACAGTCAAAGTAAAAGTAATGAGACAATAAGGACAGTGTTTAGCATACTGAGGCATCATTTAAAAAAAAAAGTTTCATGTTACTGGCAGGTCGGTGTTGTCCTGGAATATAAGCTTCATATAAGGGGTTGTTTCAGACAAGGGCGTGGCACAAAATGGACAGATAGTCTGGAAACCATGGGATCCATGAGGCACAGCAATTCTTGACCAAAACCTAAAATTAGATAAATTAAGGTCATTCAAAGCAATTTACTGTGACCACTGAATATTTTATTTTGTACGTTACCTATAGGTAAAAAGGTTTTATAAGAGAAAGAGACAGTAGCATAAAAACATACTTTGCAGTGCATTCTGACACCATGTGACCACAGGGTGAAAAACAGTATGTTGGTTGCTCAGAGTCGACGTACAGACTCAACTCAAAACCCATCTGCAGCTTGACAAATGTTCCATCCTGCAAATGATGATGCAAAGACACTTATTTTACATTCACCATTTATAAGGTGGTACATCTATCTACCAACAAATCAGTTGAAATTGTAGTATACAAACTTGGAATACATTTGTAAAAAAATTAAACCGTTTATTAAAAATACATTTTATTAATGTTTAACCCTAAACAAAGCACACAAAATCTCCAAACAAAATAAAACTAAATACAATTTGTAATTCAACCCTTTGTTTTGCCTGAATTAAAAACTCCCCAAATGGCTGTCGATCATAAAAATATTTAAAAGAATATATAAAAAAAAAGCAATAAAATAATGCTTGTTTGAATTTTAATAACTTAATAATTTTCAAAATCTAATTTAGAATTACATCAGCCCATTCCCCCACCCAGTACTATTTTTTCAATAAAAAAAACCTAAAATACCCAAAATAACTTTCACTAAAACTACTTCCTTCTTCTACAGAAAATCACTTTATTATTTTCTTGATAATTAAGGTCAATTCATTTTCATTAGTTTCATTAATTTTAATGACTTTATTGCCCTAAAAACTTTTCTTAAATTTCAATAAACCTAAAAAAATTGGCAGGAAAGAAAAAGTTAAAATTTCTGACTTCAGATGATAATTTCAGTCTAATTATTGACAAGTCTCTGGTTACTACAGAGAAAAAAAAACATTACATAGATCTGTAGCAGAGGAAAGTATGGCATAAAATTTTGTTCGGGAATATAGGATGGCTATGGGTAAATAAGTTTGAATGCATTATACAATACCTCCAAAGGTTATGGCTCTTTAAAACCTAAACTAAATATTATACTTACATTTAGACACAATGGACATTTTCTGACATTAGTGTCTGCTTGACCCCACTCATGGTTACCATGAACATGTCCACAAGGAATATAAACATACGGCTGTCGATCCTTCAAATTTAAAGAGTCCCTTGTGGGCAGGACTAGTGTGTTTAACCCCACTGGACACTGTGGGCGACCAGCATTGATTCTACCAACCAACTGTTGAAACTCATAATCACTCTGTAAATACATAACATTAGTGTTATAAATAAAAAGCCGAGAATTTATAAAAGCAGTTAATTGAGCATCATCTCAATTAGAATAGGATTACTTACAGGTGATGAAATGAGTCCTAGAGCAGACCTCCATACAATAGTTGCCCCACAGAGATCAATTAAAGTTCCATCACGCAAAACATTGTCTTCTTCTGTCATCTAAAATTTGAAGAAGTATTGAATGTCCTTTGTTCAAATCAATAAATGATAATTTAATTACAAAATGTTAATCTGGTGGCTTATTCTGTTTAAAAAGCATCTTAATATAGTGAACAGGTTGTCTAAACTTTTCTTTCTAAATAAACAGCAAAGTTAAAAAAAAATTGTTTTAAAAAAAAAAACCCAACAGTTTAGGGTGTGAGTTAAAGAGAATATGATACCAAACACACAAAAGAATAGTCCTTAACTATTTAAATCTTGATCAAATTGTTTGCTTGCAACTGAAGTGAACAGCAGAACACACAAAGTAACAATCTCAGCACTTTTTCACATAAACTAGTTTTTATGACTGTGTAATAAATGTTATAATCAATCACCTGATGACTTTTGAGGGGCGAAGGCCGTGAATCTCGCAGGGAGAATAGACTACCTCCAACAGAAACTTCTCGCCAGGGGCCAGGCTTTCCAGAGGGGGTGAAGCCACCTTGAGGTTGCATTATGAACACACCATTAGTTGTAAGTCCATCCACATTGTCATCTGAGCACCACTTCACAGCTTTCTCCTGGAGGATTTAAGAAACACAATTAAACCACTAAAAATGTACATAATAAATTTTAAAAATATATACAAAATTAATTTATTAAAATAGTAATTATTATATTACCCCTAAAAATATGTTCCTTCCAGAATCAAAACCTGCTGCATAAATCCTAGCAGTATAAGGAGGTGCTCGATCAACAATTATACGACAGGCAAAGCGAGAAATTGTGCTCTGTGGTGCAGTGTCCCTTTGAGTCCTAAGATGACCTGGGACGGTGTCCATAACAACAAAATCTATAGGACCCTCCATTGATCTTCCAATCTAAAACAGAGAGTTATATTAAGGTATATTATATTGACACAGATCAGCTGTTTAAAACAAATATCTTATAATAATCAGCTCCTACCTGAAACATATCAGTCTCATCATCCCTGAGATACTCAACAATAATAGCTCTATTGCGAGACAGTGTATAAGATACTGAGTGTTTGGATTGATCTTGCACAGCCTAGAAAAAAAAAGGTGGAAAGAAAAAAGAGGTAAGAGCGAGCCTACAATAAGTTACCAAAAAAAAAAAAAAAAAAAAAAAAATTAAAAATTAACACATTTCACAAATTCATCAGCAGTACTATTGTGTTAAATTGAAATTCTATTAATTGTGCAGGGATAATAGCTTTTATTATTAACTGATATAACAGTTATCTTCAATTAAAAAAAATTGTGTACATACTACCAACTTATTTAAATTAAAAAAAATTAAGTTATTTCAAATACTTTCATATTTAGTACCATTTTTAGAGAAAATAGTCACACATAATTTAAACTAGGCCTATAATTTTCAATTTATCAATATTGAGCTAATAAAAAAATGTTTTATACTGATGCCCAGACAACACAATGTGAGAAAACCCATTCTATTGCCACAACATTAAATTCATTGTCCAAACAGTGGGGACACCTTCAAACACCAACAACCCAAGCATTGTTTACCTGGGATGACTGAGGATTAGTGACAAGGTGCTTCTGGGAAGGCTTCACTCCATTTGCTTTCTCCCTCTTCCAAAGAACATATTTACTCCTTCTCCTCCCTTTGTCACCAGAAATTAAATGTCCATTGTAGCTATTGGGAAAAAAAATTGTCCAGTGTGGAATTAAGCTCAAGATTAAAATAAAATTGAAAGCTGAGCTATTTTTAGTTTAAAACAGAAAAGATCACTTTGAGATTAAACTAGTAACCAGATTAAAAAGAAATAAGAAAGTAGGAGAGAGAATGAAAAAAAGTAAATATTTGTTTAAAACCAGAACAGTACATGTTATCTCTAAAAAAACGTGGGTACGTTCACCATCAAATTTCCCGACCCATCTGCCCGACCCACGTTTTTTGTCATCAAATGTATGTAAATAGTTATTTTTTACTTTTTAGTCCACAAGAAAAACGTGGTTTTTTAAAAAGTTTTTTTTAAGTATTTTATTTTCTCCTTTTTAGTCCGTTGCTACACATGAAAAACGTGGTTTTTAAAAAAAGTTTTTTATATAGTTTATTTTCTACTTTATCCAATGACTTGATTAAGTATGACTTGACTAAGTGTTTATAAATACACGGACTAAAAATCTTGAGCGACCAGGATTCGAACCTGGGTTGTCGCGGCCACAACGCGAAGTACTAACCACTATACGATCACGGCCAGCGCGCTCACATCGATTGGGGCCGAAGTAACTGTGTCAATAGGCCTTCAGTCTTGTCGGTATCTTTAGAAATCATGTCCTCAATTTTATGGTCCTTAGGGCGTAATTAAATTAAGCTAATTACGGTCTCTAATTGCTAGTTTTTATGATTGCATCTGAAATTGTTAGGCGAAAGTAGCCTGCATGCCAAATTTCAGATCTATAGAGCAATCAGAAGTGGGCTAATTTTCGATGTCAATTTTAACAACAAACACATCCACAAACGCGAAGCTGAGTTAAGAAAAACGTGTTAAAAAGCCAATCAAGTGTTCAACATCTTACCCAAGTACAACAAGTTCTCCATATTTAATGTTCTCCACAGCCTCTGATGCTTGATTAGAAGAATCAACTGACATCTTTACATGTCAGCAAATTCAAACTGGACACAATACTTCTGGAGAGACATACATTACCAAATTATACATTGTACACACAATTTAAAGTCTTTCTTAAAGTATTCATAGAGGCAGATTGGTTTTAAGTTGTACTAGGGTTCTATGCAGCTATATTGTTGTTGTAAGGTAAACTGTTTTTATAGTGATACTACAATGCATGGATTTTTACTATATGGATTTAATGATTTGTAAATGATACATTTAAAAAAAAAAACTTGTTTTTACAACATCTCAATGTTGCAGAACCTCATTTTAGGGAAAATATGTATTTTAAATAATTTTTTTATATCAGTTATTAATGGATTGAAAAATACTTATTTTCAATTGTATTAGAGGTCAGTTATTTAATTTATAATGGAATTGTTACAACTATAAATCGATTAAAGGCTTATGAGATAACATTTTATTATTTTTTTAAAACGTGACTTATCCTGCTTCTTAGTTGTATTATTGAAGGAAATTGCTGACAACATAATTAAGATACAAGTTAAAATTTTATCATTGTTGACTCATATTTTAATCTGCTTTTGTTTCTGAATTTGCTCACACAAAGAACAATCTACAACAAGACAGCTGGTTATTTATTTTAAAGTTTTCTCCAGTATGGGCTGCTATCCTCAGCTAATGAGCCTCCCTCGGTTGAATTGAGGAGTTGGCCATCATATACTCTCCCACCTACAATTTGTATTCAAATAATAGTATTTCATCCATTTAGTTAATTGAACATAATTGGTATATGAGTTGACTTTTGGCCTTAAAATAATTTATTTTCAATTAAACAAAATTACGTTCTGTTGATTATCAGACTCATAGTTCTTTATATGGATGAAGCAAACATTACCAGATGGATAGAAAAGTGCTAAGTCTCATTCAGATGCTATCAAATATACATTTAGTAGAATTCTAAAGCATTTATTTGTGACAGGAGTCAGATACAGAAATAATAATAATGTACAATAATAATGTACTAAACTGTAGCAGGTTTTTTTTGCACATTTCAACACATTTGGGAAAAAATGCTACAACAAACTTAGAACAGACAAACTGTTAAATACAAAGTGTGTATGGTATAGGGGTAAAATGTGAGTTATGAATAGGTAACTTGCAAGGTGATATATATATATACTTGCTAATGAAAATATATTGATTACAATTATTATACACCTGGTTGCATGGTTTAAACAAGTTAATAAAAAGTCTAGTGACAATTTAAGCGCAATTTCCTTATGTTATCTAAAAATAGATAGTGATCAAGTTTGTTTTTAAAAAATGTGAAAAAATGATTAGGCCTAGCGAAACAAAACCTTGTAATTGTAACTCCCTATCACTCTCAAATAAATTATAAATAAATTAATAGGGTACAAAAATAACGTTTGAATTAATAAGTAAAAAATAAACTTATAGCAGTATCTAAAAGACAGCGAAAAATAGATTATTTTGGCACATCCCTTTCCCCATAGATCTATATATTGCTATATAGTACTGTAGTGTATTATGTTCATAACCCGTAGCTCTGTCGTAGCGTAAAGCACACACTGGGACAAAACACAAGACGTATAATGCTGGGGTGCGTTCAAGCTAGGAGAACGATCGGTTTGTAGGTGTTTATGTAATTTTTTAAAAATTTTTGTGACAGAACGAAAGGATATTTTTGAGAACTTTCTTCTGCAATATTGTTCTAAATTATGGCAGGAATCGATTGGTAAATGTTTCAAGTCGCTAAGTGGTCTGGTTGCCGAGATATGGGCCAAAAACTGCATTTTTTCGAGGATTTTTGGATCTTCCGGAAATCCAGGAAGGAATTCCGGGAATTTTTTGGCCCACAATCATCCTCGGAACATGCTTAACATATTTGCTTTTGGAACTAGTCCTCGATATTGCTTCGTTGAGGAGGAGATACGACTTAAAGCTGGGGGGACACATCCATCCAGAAATGACGAGTTAATAATCGCAATTGTCCGTATGAAAATTGCGCTAAAAACTGTCACCTTTAGTTAATAACCGCACAAAGCATAAAAAATGCATGATTCCATAACTGGACAGATTCCCAGTCAAAAGAACCTAATGGATTCCAAATTCACTACTTTTGAGATAGAGAATTATGTGCTCTGCCATCCTATAGTGCTGCAACATAAAACTAAACTCAAACTGTTAATCAAGTAGGTGCCTATAGTACTTAGTAGAGTTGTGGATGGCGTGGCCTAGAAATACAGCGCTCAACTGCTAACCCAAAAGTCTCAAGATCGATCTGGGATTAAGTCAGTGGAACGACCCTGAGTCCACACTGCTCTAATAGGTACCTAACTCACATTTATTTAGACATTAGGGAAAGTAAAGGTTGCTAGGCATAGGCTGATGAGATTTGATTATCCCATTTTATAGGGTGTTGGGAGATTGCGAGACGCGAAAAGCGAAATGGCGAGGCGGGGAAATGCGAGACACTTTTTGCGAAAAAAAAGTTTTTTTCATGCTTTTTTCATCTTTATTTATTTAAATTATTTTTTTTTGTTTTAAAATAAACAAGCATTTAGCAATACCCTTTAACACGAGTGTTGTATGTTGTTATTTTTTATCTAGATTTTATTATATAGATAGATAGATACTAAGAAGATAGATAGATCTATATCTAGATCTATCTATTTAAAAATCCTAACATCGTTAGCGAGAGGAAAATCCCGTCTCAGTCGGCATTAATTTTAAAAATCTAGCCCGCTCATGTTTATACAAACATGAGATGTGTCATTGTCAACTGGTATAATCTTGTCAGCAAGAGAGATATTCTGCAACATGTATTCATGGATTGTTGTACTTGCAAAAAGTGTAAAAGTTTGAGTATAAACAGTTCTAAAAAGTGTAATTGATTTTTTATTAAGTAATTTTAATTACAAACAAAATTTACAAACAAAATCTTCTGAAACAGTCCTAGCACTACTCAAACACACCTCGTGACACCATCTTTCACACATAGTACATCTAAACAAGTTCATTAGACTCCCATTTATACATTTTTCTTTGGCTACTTCTTCCAATCCGCATTCATAACATGTCACATTCGCATCACAGTTGACCTCCCCGTTCATCCCACACACAACACTGGCGGCGGCTATAATTCAAAGTTTCTATGCAACAATACAAAATATGTTTGCTTCGGCAGCGGATTGGGGCACGGTAAAGACGGTAAATCAGGCGGCCTCGGCATTCCACACAAAAGAAAGAAGTTGATTTATTGTCAGCGGTATTTCGGCGGTTTCGAACAAGGTGGTATTCTAAGTCGACACAAAAGATGGGGGGGGAGTTCACAAATCATCAGTATGTCTAGCGACTGAAAAATCGGAAGTTTTAACAATGTAAACGAAACATCTTTGAAGTCTGGACCAAATACCACTGAAAATCGGGAGCGGTAAATTTTTCGCAGAAATCTTCGCATTTCAACACCACCCAGCGTAAGTATTGGGTTGTGGTAAAATGCGAGACAAAAAGTCACGTGACCGACAGTTTTCGCGCCCTTCTCGCATTTTCCCGCCTCGCCATTTCGCTTTTCGCGTCTCGCAATTTCCCCACACCCCATTTTATATGCTGAGGTCAAGAAACATGAACTGAACTCTACTTCATCATTCTGTTCAACATTTTACTGTAATTGTAAATTGAACCTGTAGATCTAGAACAGAATTATAACTTTATACTTATTACAGTAACAACTCAAATGACTAGGTCACTATAAGTAGAGTCTAGCTACTATCTATTCACTAACTACTAAACTAGCTAGCTAGTACTACCACTCTAACTCTAGCAGCTATATTTCTTTCTTTGGACGTTTCATACTAAGAATATCGAATTATGATAATAATATCACTATCACTCCTTAACTGTATCTGATCACTTAAGTTTTTAAGAGACACTTAGAAATCTAGATTAGATCCTAGGTGTAAGTCACTGTAAGTTTTTAACTACAACTCCACATCGGTAAAATCTTAGTTTAGCGTCGTAAATTCGGCCAAAACTAGTAATGTGGGAGAGAGTGAACTAATGAATATGTCATTAAATATAAGTATATTTTCGTATATTTTGATAAAATATTATAGATAATTGAATAATAGATCACCATTTATAATTAAATCAATTTAAATATCCTGAAATTAATTTTTATCAACCCTGTTCGAGATAGTAAATCTGCTATTAAAAACAGCAGCCATCTTGAGAAAATGTTATTTAGAGTAGCTTCCCTTTCATTTCTATTCGTATGAAAATGTATTTAAATATGATTGTCTTGTTGTATAGTCCGTATTACAAAGCATTTTTTTTTTTAAAATTCTGCCCTTTAAAAACTGAATTTCCTAACAAACAACTTTATTAATTCTAGAAGCATTGTGAGATGCAACTTGTATCCATGTATTAAATCACGTTTTTTTAACTAATGTTTATTTGATCTTACTATTACTATATAGTTTGAGTTTTTTCTTATTGTTTGAATGACTATTTTCATTTCAGGTTTTTCTTTTCATCAATTAGTGATTATACCGTAACTTATGACATTTTTTTACTTCTCTTTACCTTAATTAAACCCCAACCTCCGTCATATTTTTGTTGTCAATGTCACAACAAGCAGAGGCGTAGCGACCCTTCCCGGCGCCTGGGGACAAACTTTTCGATTTGCACCCCCCTCAAGATTTCGATTTGCACCCCCCCTCAAACTTTCGATTTTGCACCCCCCCCCTCAAGATTTCGATTTGCACCCCCTCAAACTTTCAATTTGCACCCCCCCCCCTAAGCCTTTCAATTTATTTTTCCAACCCATTTTGGCGCCCCTTAAGGTCGGCGCCCGGGGACATATGTCCCTCCCCCCCGCCCCCCCCCCCCCTCGCTACGCTACTGACAACAAGTCATAATGTAAAAAATTACGCTTCACTCTGCCTTATCTAAGATCTCTAACCATAATTTTGACAACATTAAATGTTTGTCATCATTTATATATATACGGAGAGACAAAATGTATTATCCACCAGCTTCCCTAGTAAAACATCATCTAAAACAGGGGTCTCCAAACTTTTCAGTCCGAGGGCCGCATTAACTATCAAATTTCTGTTCGGGGGCCAGTTTCTTCCAGGCATGTCTTTGATTTTTCTGGGCAAAGCTCCTCAGCCATAACCAACAAACGTTTTTTCCGTGGACAAAAAGATCTCCGCGGGCCGGATGAGAGGACCTCGCGGGCCGCATCCGGCCCGCGGGCCGTAGTTTGGAGACCCCTGATCTAAAACAATGAGCCAGTCCACCCCTTAAGTGCGTGTTGTCATTATGGTCCATCGCAAGTCTCCACCTGCCGGACACATTTTGGTTATCCTTTGTTGTCAAATTGTCAATATCAAGTACCCAAGTGAGTGATATAGGGTTGTCCATAAATGATATCACATATTATTTGCTACGGGAGTGAGTAAAGATTTGTGACGTCAACTCAAGCGGCTCCGCAATTTATGACGTGTCGGTCTCATGAAAGGAGGTGAACGGGGAAAATACCTAGATCATTGACAGAGAACCTCTATAATGCTTTGTTCAATCAAAATAACGATAAATAAGCATTAGTATACGTATACCTTGCTCATCAAAAATGTTGCAAGCCTGATAGTTTAAGACATTTTGCAAAACGGCCTCAACACATTCTCCACGTCAAAAAGGCTTGACACCAAATGCCTGCCGACGAATAAGCCGCGTCTAATGCGGGGCGTTAGGAATACAGCCATTAGCATGGGCCGCGTTAGAGCAACAGTAGGCTATCGCGCTTTGTAAGATGATACTTAAATTCGATTTCGCTAAACAGCGCGAAAATTTAGTAATGTTCCGTCGTTTGAGGAAATTTATTTTCTTGGACTTAAATTGAAATATCATGTTGACTGTCTGGCTTTTAATTTCCAAATATCACTTTTAATGTATCAAGATTCAGAACTATAATTTACTTTAATATAAGTGTCATCGTTTATTGTGCTTTTTATAAAGCGCAGAGTAGCTTCAAAATCGGACGGCCATCCTGTTTTCACCAAGCTTCTTTTGGAGCTTAATATGGGTAGTCTAGTTCTATACGGTGAGAGCTTAATACATTTTTAAAGGGCCGAAAGTCTCAAGACAGCAGAAATAACCACGTACGTTTAAATGGACGAGTGATAAATGTGTTAGGGGCTGTTTAATGAACACCAACTTATGTAATCAAATTAAACGTCGCATAAGCGTCAAAACGGCAGTGCTTGTTTGTATTTTTCTATCAAATTAGCCTAACGGTCGGCGGTACCGGTATATGACATCACGCGCGAGCGTTAACTCGGGTGACGATGTGCTAAGTGGGGGAAAAGGTGGGGTTCAAGAAATGCGACTCAGCATGCTTTTTACATTTCTTGACCCTTCTTAATAGTTCTATCGTCCCCACTGAGAAAATGGATCACCAATGAATGACGCGTCATACTTCTACAGCTGGTCTTTCTCCCACAACCATCCCCTGTTTTCACTAAAAAAAACCTGACCTGTCTCCAAAATCATATCGCTGAGTTCTACTCAACTTCTCCCCACCACAAATCACAATTTCTATCTGAAACAATATGTTCATATGTTTGTTCTGTAATAATGCACGCTGTCATTACTATCTTAAGAGCGACGTCATTTATGAGCGATCTAATATTGATTTGCAAATAAAGTGTTCAAAAGTTTGACCTCCCAACAATTGTTGTGGTCTTGGATGCACACTATTAAGTCTGATAAAGTTTATTAGTCATTCATGTCAACTATATTTTTTAAAAAAAAGTAAAATTACTATACAGGGGGTCATCCATAAATGATGTCACGCTTTTTTGACGATTTTTACCTCCCCCTCCCCTCCGTCACACGTTGTCACAAAAAGCCAGACCCCCCCCCCCCCCTAAAATGACGTCACACCTTAGCCTACAACCCCCCCCCCCCTCAAAATTGCAGTTGAATTGTTTTTAAACAGCTATGTTTTTCCAAAATCTTGTCTGAACTCTGTCAAAACTGTTTTAATACATTATAATAACAATTGATTAATTGTTATTATAATGTATTAAAACAGTTTTTTAAAACGCAAAATAACGTCTAAAATTCGTTTTCTAACATTACTTTTTTAAAATGCAAAAGTGTGACGTCGCACCATCTGAACCCCTCCCCCTCCCCCTCATCACACAACGTCACAAAATTACGGACCCCCCTCCCCCCTACGAGTGTGACGTCATTTATGGACGACCCCCGGCATATATTAAACCAATACAAAACAGTCATATTAAACCACAAAATCAACACAAAAGACATGCGAATAGACAATTTATTGTTTTTAAAACATGGCCGCTGCTTGTATTTACTCATTGTTGTCTCGAACGGGGTAGTTTAAAGTTTATTCCAGGATATTTACGACTGGTTTGGTCTTGGATTGTGATTTGTTATTCAATTATCTGTTATATTATGTAAAATATGACATAAATATGGCCAAATGAATGAAATATTCATTAGTTACCTTCATCGCACATTACTAGCTACGTTGGAATTTACGACGCTAAACTAAGATTTTACCCTCCACATCTATCAGACCTGAGTCATGGAAGACAAGGTTTTTCTTAGTCTTTTTTGTTACTTTTTTACACTTTTAGTTTTTTCTCGATTCTCGTTCCCTAGTTATAAACAAATTAAAATGTAATTTGTTCCGTAAAAACTCACATGTAAAGTATACATGGAAGAATTAACATTGAGGAAAAACAGGTTTACCTTTTGTTATTTTATCAAATTCAGTATGAATGAATACAAAGACTGAATACTACACAGCAGCACCGAGTCACTGATATTTAGCGATTTCCTAAACCTAATCTTGACCTACTTTTCTACCGGAAGAGGAAAGCCCAAAGTATGGTATACCAAATCTCGAACAGGACATTATTTGTGTTATTGCTAACCAAATAACTGAACCCAATATTACGATACAAAATTGTTAATAACATTTGAATCGATGCAAAACATTATAGTCATTTCGTATATTCACATTAACTAAGTTCACCGTGTAAAACGTAATGGTGGGAAATAAATATTTATATAGGTGCTATTTGTATATCATACTTTTCGACGCATGCGTACAGTATGTAAATAATGACACCTACTTAGGCTAGTACGGAAGTAAACAAAAGAAAAAAAACTCAGGGAAATCTCTAACAGTAACAGTGCACTCCTAGATTCCTATTTATTTTTTAGTCTGTTCTGCTACCGACTACTTCAAAATATACCTAAATAGGATTAGATTAAGTTCTAGATGTACTGAAGATCTTGTTGTTTGAGTTACAGTGTAATTAGACGTGACGTTATTAATATTATAGATCTACTTGATCTGCCTACTACAGTTTAGAAAAAAAATAATAATTTTTTGATTAATTTTTGACGACTAAACTAAAAATATTAAATAAAAAATCATCCAAAATGTCTATCGATTTCAACTTAATGGAGCAGATATCAACATTGGTGTGGGCACATACTGGTGACTCAAATATGGCAGAACAACTCGCCACTGTAAAACTAATCAAAGAAGTATGGCAGAGATTAAGTGGAAATCAAGAATTAGAAACACTTCGCACAGAGACAATTCTAAGAATTTCAAAATATGTTAAAGAGCACCCAAAAGCATCAAAAGAAGAGCTTGCCAATGAAATTGGAAAACAAATTAAGGACTTTGCAGACAAAGTAGAAAACATGTAAACTTTAGTTTTTACTACATCTAGACTAGAGATTTCTACTACAGTGCAGGAGGTGCAGTTAGTCATTTACTGTGTTACTGTACTGTAGTGTAGTCTTTTTAGCTAGACTAGATCTGTCTAGATTCTCTTGTGAAAAGCAAAGGAGTGTATTTGAGTGTTTTACCCTACAGTAAAATAAATTGATTCAATGAATTATTATTGGAAGTGCTTTGAATTTTACTAATTTAGTAGTTCAAATCCTGTAATAAATGTAATGTATTACATTAGAAATATGCTTCAATTCAATTAAATTATAATGCCGTAAATATGAATCAATTGAATATTAGATTTATTACTCCAGTATAAAAGTTTAGTAGGCATTACATAACTCAAAACATCAAGTGAGGGAAGTGTTGTTTTTGGATTCACTTTTCAGTTTTTTTTAGTTAGTGTCTTGGGTAAAAAGGGAAAAGATGATGAGTCTAGCTACTTTTAGCTTAGTTTGCAGTAACTATATAATAGACCTACTCAGTACCTTACCAAATAATGAGATATCTATGTGCTTACAAATAAATAAAAAATGTATTGTGCGTATGCTATTCTTTTTCTACTATCACTATGGTACTAGCCAAACCCTAAATGTTAATACAGATCCCAATCCAAGCACTTTATTTATGTCATGTGAAATTTGAAGCTTAAACGCTAATTTTATTTTATAAATGTACTAAGGCACTTAGGAATTTGCTGTTTCATTAAATAGAAATGTGAGAGATTTTTGAGTGTATCAGGATCTTGTAATGTATTTGAAGCTTTTATATAAACTCAGTAGAAAACATTTCAAGTTTTGTGGTCACTGTTATTTTTTTTTTAAAAACAATCTCAAATCATTGAAGCAAATGGCTTATCATACTAATCTGACATACTTAAAATTTTAATATAAAGTAGGCCTTTGAATTTAGAAACTTGTGAACATTTGATTATTTTTGGTTTTAAATACAGGATGGATAATGCTCACTGATATATTGATTTAAATCTATTCCTACTTAACTAATAATAGTTAGGTTTAGAAAAAAACAACTTGGCAAAACAAACTGAATTTGGTGAAATAAAAAATGATTACATACTTTTACAGTTTGTCCATATAGGCCTAAAGATTGTTTACTTATTTTAGTCTCAAGAAACCATCAGTTTCATTATAATTGCTTAAGTTTTCATTTGTTTTTATAACATTTTTTTGGTGATATAATACAAGTTAAAAGCTTTACTTACATTAACTTACATGTGTTTCAGTTTCTTAATATTTGTTAAATGTAAACTATTCACTTTCTCAGATTTCTTTGTACTTCTGAGTTCTACATACTTATAAAATACAATCACCAAATTTACTTTTATTACTTTTAATTTGTTATTTTTAAACATTTATGGTGTTAAAAAGTGCTATATATATTGTTTTAATTTATCCTTAATTGTATACACTGACCCTGGATTTAAATTAATTTGCAAATTACATTATTCTTATTTTACTGTAAATGCAAAAGATTTATTCATGTCATTTTGATTACTTTTAAATTTATGTAAAACATATTTGATTTCTGCTTGTATTTTTAATGAATGTATAAAATATATTACTTTGATCACTGTTACAATTTTATCAGAAGCTATATTTTGTATTCTCATAATGATCTATTCTGTTTTCTAGTTAGGCTGCCCAAACCCTTTTTAAAAATTCTCTGCTAAATTTTTGACATTCCTTATTACAAGTGTCAAGTGGGAACTAATTATTTTTTTAATGAATTAAGTATCTTATTAATGGAAAAACTTATCACGTGATGTAAGTTGAAAGCTGCACTGTTTTAGTTTGTTTAAAATACCCATCAGGTTTTAGAGTACATTTTTACATTTTGTATAATTCTAATGATTCCTTTTTACAAAAAAAAAAGATAATTTTTTGCATTTGAATCATATTTTTATATTATTTTATGTTATTTGTTTAATAGAATGTGCAAACATTTTTAATATTTAATATATAGCAGTAGGCATAACTTTTAAGAAATAAATAACTCACAAATATGACAGAAAGTCAATAATAAAAAAATGTATTTTGTGTTGTTTGTTTTAGAAGGTTGTATTTTTTTTTTAGTGTGGCTCAAAGGTAATAATAAAATTGCTTTTCCTATTTGTATATGTGTGCCACTTATTAAACATTTTTTCAGACCTTTGTGTTTTGTCACATTTCATTGTACACTCCAATATAAAATATTGATATGATATTGTGTGTTAAAATAAATAGACAAAACACTAAAAATGTAAAGCTTTAATTTTTAAATAACCACAATTGACAATTGATGCAAAAATGCTTGTGCTCTTTTTAATATTAAAAAGTACAGGGAAAAAATGCAATATTAAATAAAAAACTAAACTTCCACTTTATAATAGTTAATGGTTAAAACAGCTTGACAAGCTGATTGAAATCTGAAAATAATTTAAGGAGGTTAATTTATAGTTTTTTTTTTTAAAAAAAAAAAAACAACTTAATAACTTACCATTTTTGTTAGACTATCGTTTCTACATTGTTGTCAATAAAAAAGAGAACAGTTGTAATTATACATTGTATTCTGTGCTTTAGATAAAGAAATGCAATTTATAAATAATGATTCTAATTTGAGGCTTTTATATAAATTTAGAGTCATTGCAGCATTAGGATTTGAACATCATTCAGATTAATTAATAGAATTGTTTCAAAATCTTTGACACTAAATGTATTCATTTTAAATAAAATAAATAATTAGGATACTATGTGACACTGGTGTTCTAGAAATTTTTCTTAAATGTTAGAAAACAATACAAATTTACAGTTCATACCCACAACAAAAGACTGTTTTAACTTATATTGTTAAAAATGCAGGAAGATACCTTGGGTATAGTCTGTGTATAAGCTTTTAAAAGTGCGTTAACTTAGGATGTGAAAATTGAAAATGAAAGATTTATTGAAATATATTTTCACTTTTAAGATGCATAAAAAGCCCATTAAAAACAGCATGTGGATAATTGCACTATATATATATATTGGATTAAACTGATACCAATTTTATATCTCATGATTGTTTTAAATGTAATTTAATATATAATAGAAGCTTTTTCTACAATTAAAGATTAAGGGAAAAAAAATCCATCAGGATTAACTATTGCTAGTCAGCAGACTCATAGAAATGGTTAAAATAACTTACAGTTGGTATTTCATTGCTTTGGTATTTATTGAATTGAAAATATAGTTATTATAAGCCATTAAGTAGGTACATTTAAAATAATTATTTATGGACAGAGCAAGTACTTTTCAATACATTTCATATAAGTTCATATGATCTGCTGTAGCCCAAACAAATATTGCTATTACAACAGCTGTACTAAGACAATCAATGTGTATTAAAAAAAAACACAGATGTATTACTGACTGTGATAGAGAGTTGTCAGTATTCATTTTTATATTGGTATTGGTAAAACACACACACACACACATATATATATTTATATATAAATAATCTAAAAACTTACAATGCTATATTTAAAAAAAATTCAAGCTTTTATATTTATTTAGTGTTTCATATATTTTGATTGCTGTAATTTAATTTTAATAAAAAGCAATTAAAATAAAAAAGTTACTTAGCAGATTACAAATTTGTGTCCAATAATATAATCAAAAGAAAAAGAAATGTTAGAATGCTTTATTCATTTGAAAATGGCATTTTATTTCATTAATATGCTACTATTTTAACTGCCAGAATAAAGCACTACTTATATTTAGTTTGAAATATTTAAACATGGCACATAAGGTAGTAGGCATAACATGTAAGCAAAGCACAGAAGAAAGGAATATATTTTAGATAATTATATCACAAAACTTTATGGAAAACAAAATGTAGAAAACAAACAATAGTTGAAATTGATAAGAAATAAATAATTATTTGTAGATAAATTAGTATATATTAAATAATATTTATTTTCAACAAATGTACGCATACGCCTTTCCTTATGCTTGTTTTATTAGTACAGTAATCTATTTGAAACTCTATCCAACAAAACAGTTCTAAATAATAAGATTTGAGCATATTTCACATACACTAGAGTTCATTACAAAAACTTTTAAAATTCTGAATTCTTAAAAGAACACATTTATTAATGACTAGTTCACAATACAAAAGTATGATCTGATTAGCTAAAGACTATTTTCATGGTAAGGTCTTGCTTTCCTTATTTTGTAACAATTTAAAATATTTAAGTTTTGTTCTTATCAAGTGGTTTCAAACTGATATTTGTAGGCTGGAAATTTTGGTTGCAGGATTAAATTTTAAAAAGCCTTAATATTATTACTATTACTACTACTTAACTTAGTAAACATTATTCAAGGAATCTAGGACTATTACATAAAATATAAACCATAAACAAATTTAAAATATCACCAAACCCAAACAATAAATTTATGAAATAAATGCAAAAACAAAAACATTCAGCCACTGGTATTAAACAAGTGATATTCTTTACATTATGCTTTTTCATATGTCACAGTAAACACATGGTTTTATCATGAAAGGTATTCTATGTCTTACAGTGCCACATTATATAAATCCTTACATTTCAGATAAACATATCTAATAGATAAGCCAACAAGAAAACTGCAGCCCTCTCTAGTTATTATTGTGCAAGTTAGCATTGTGCAAATAATTAAAGGAGAAAAGAACACATTTCAAACACTAATTGGATAATAAGCTGGAATGTATTGAACAGATAACTCAAAATCTTGAAATCAGGTGTAAAAATTATAGTTTTAAAAATAAATTTTTGCAGGTGGTGTATTGATATTATTCACAATGTGCAGCATACATGGGTGCATGTCATATAGATGTCTATGAGTAGACCTTTTTTTTAATACACACCTACTTTTTCTTCATTTACATCTACTAATATACCCTTTCATTATAGACATCTAAAAGTAGACACTTTCTTTACTGATTGTATTAATTTTAAAAGTTGAAAGTATACAGTGCAACATATAAATATAAGAAGGAATTGGGATTGCTGTCTGTTTAACGATTAACTATTGCATAACAAAATTCTCTCAAAAAAGTTAATATCTGTCAAAATGCCAGCTTGATTTGATATCTTTACCTTAACTTTAACCCTAGTCAACCTTAACTGTAAACCCAATCCCTGATCCAAACAGTTATAGAGGTGAAATAAACATATGGTATAAAAATGTAGATTTACTGGCATTTTATTTTTAAACCAATAAATTTTGTGTGCCTGAACAGGAGATATTTAACTGTATCAATACTTTTAAGCAAGTTTTCTACATACATTTGAATAGAATCCATATATTTTTTAAACAAACTAAGCCTTCTAACACACCATTTTAATTGTTACACATTTCATACAATCCGTCAGATAAAAATGTAGTGATTCTACACAGATGCTAAAACACAATAGCGGCCAACAGATTTGTTATAAAACCTTGAGGTGTACGATTACAAATATTAGTGAATTTATACAATAGAGAGTCATAGTTCATAAATAAGTTAGTTAATACTAAGCAGAAAATTGGAGAAGAAAGTTAATGAGCTATTGGGAAACATTTTTAAGTACATGTATCTATTGAGCAAGGAAATCTATAAGTATTAATACACCAACAGAAATAGATGAATCTGAGCTAATACAAAATGTGCAGTAACATTTGTATTTATATATAACTTTTTAAAAAATCATTTCTAAATATACCCAAAGGCAAAAGAATTTTTAAAAAGTAAACAATTAAAATAATACCAGTAGTGCAAAAAGCAATATGCCCAAAGTTTGGTAGACACCATCTTTATTGCATATTGTTCACAAGGCTATAAGATATCACATTTCAACTATCACTATACATATTTTATACACAAGATATGCTAATGTGACCAGACATTTTTCCAAAACTAAGTAGTGAGTTGCTTAGCATAAAACAAAAGGTTAAATAAAAATTGACAGCTTAAGACAAATTCTTGTAACATTTGAATTAAAAAGTGTTTAAAAAAATATATGAAAATATAACCAACATTCACTGGAAAAAATTATGTTAAAAGTAATTTCTTACATAAAAAACATTACCATTTAATTTTGCGATTAACACTAAAGCAATCAACATCCATTCATTTTTCTAAAAAATGCGCTTAGAAAAATGCTGGAAAAATGTGAAATTTTTTAAGTAAAATAAAATTTAACAAAATAAGTGATAACAGAGTTCCTGGTGTAATTTTTAAAACCCACATAACATACTTTTATTCCAATTAAAATGTAATTTAAATAAAGCTGCACTTGATTTTTTAATACCCTGCACACTATTCTAAAATTTAGTGTACCTGAGAAAATGAGGTTGACCACCTGGCTTGTTTTGTAACAAATCACAACCAAATTGTCCTCTACTATAAAACATTTAAGCTACAAATAATAAAAATATAAATATACTAAGCTGAAAACTATTTCTACAGTACCCAATATCTTAGACTGTAAAGTGTCTTTAGTTATCATACCTATAATTGTAGCAATTTAGGTAAAAAAATGTATGGATGGTTTTTGTACTATTATGTCAGTAATAAGTTCTTATACCTGAAAAAATAAGTATGAACCTTTGGAGTTGCTTACCTATTGTTTATGGATTGTATATCCATAAATAACATCACACTTTTAAAAGTATTTTGAACTTCTTTCCATTTCATCATAAAATAACAGATTCTTTAAAATGACTCTACACTAGCATAATCTAGGCCCAAAACTTCAGTAACTAGTCTTTTAAAATAGTGACTTTGCCCAAAACATTAACTGAGCTGAGTTTACATTAAGTATATTGGTAAATTTTTATTGCATTTTACAAAAAGGTCATTAAAAATTCCAAATTCAATTTGCAAAATTGCTTTTAAAAAATTCATTCTTTCTGACCAATCCTTTGCTTAAGTCAGAACTCTGCCTCACCATAGGAGTGTGACTTAATTTATGAATGACCCTGTCATTGCTTAGAAACAACCAACTTATTCAACAAAGGAACAAATCTCTTAAAAAATTAATTGCAACTAATTATTAAAATATTTATCTCTTTAAGCTTGTAATTCTGATAAAAAATCCCCCCTCCCCTATTTTAGTACCTAAGCTGCCTAAGACTCATATCTTTTTTCCAGTTTTTTAAAAACCTGTTCAGTATAGTCATAAAATAATCATAACTAAATGTTCAACACAATAATATTAATTTAAAATTATAATCTTTTTTAGTCAAAATAAAAAATGTATTTTATTTTAGACAAGAAAAAATAACAACTTTATCTAAGAAAAAAAACTTTAAATTATGAAAATGTAAGGACATTTTCTAAAGTAAGTTTTTTTTCATAGCAAGTACATCAATTTTACTAAAAAAAAATCATGGACATACATTTCTTGTGGGTAAATTATTGTACAACAACTGGGTTATCACAAGAGCAAACCTTATAGCGCAAAAATAACAGAAAGTTAAAACTAGGTAAAAACATTTCTTTTGACCTAAATAGATTTTAAAATCCAACAGATTTTTCTAAAAAAAACAATGAACTTTTTGTTTTGTTTTACAGCTTTAAGAAATAAATTATTGGCTTGGAACTAAAAAAAATGGTCTCGGTAGCCCCAAACTTCTCTTCTAGCTTCAAGTGTACAACTGTTATGTATCTGCCTCTGGAGGGGTAGTGAATAGACGGATGTAATATTTCAGTGCCTGGAACCAAGTGCTGAACAGTGACATGAATTTCTGGCAAGATTTACCCTTGCTGATGGAACAGAACAGCCACAGACCTAGGGTGCCTAAAATGACCATACATAGAGCTGACAAGATCAATGTCATCTTCATGGAGGCCAGTTCATCTGTGAAAAGATGTACACTTGGTAACTTGCTTGTTACTCATATTAAAGAAACCTAATTAAAAATGCTTCAATATCAATAACATTCTTACATGAAAAATATTGAAAATAAAATTTTTGATACTTTATGGTCTAATTTAAAAGTCTTAAATTTTAAAATTCATTTTTTTTTTTAAGTAGCTGAATAACAGCTATTAAATTAAGATATGAAAAATATTTGTTAGTGTTTTTTGCATAAGTTTGATACAGTTATAATTCAATTAACAAATCTAAAACAAAAGACAACAATTCAAACAAAAAGAAACATCACAAAAACTGGGGGATAAAATATAAAAATAAATCAAACAAAAGAACCAACAACTGAAAATAGTTACAATCATGAGAGGGCCATCAATAAGGCCATTATTGAAGCAGCCAATATTAATATACATATGTTTCCAACAATTCCAACTACAGACAAAAATGTAAATTCTAAATTAGTCGTATAATAGATATCTTACAGTAAAAACAGAATATATCACAATAATAAACATATCTTGATATAGCAAACAAAAAAGACAACAGTCTTTGCCCTTTATGAATATCAGAATATTACAAACCTTTTTCCTTGTGTCGCTGTGTCTCCTCAACAGATTCATGAAAATGTACTTGCTTTTTTCCTCTGTCTTAGAGAGTAAGATAGACATTTTTTTTTCATGTTTATTATTATAAACAAAGAACAAAAATTTATACAACCTTGCGACAATTCTTTTTATGCTACAGCCAATAAAGTCTTAAGGGGGAAGTGTACATTTGTTTTAGTAATGCAACACATCAGTGGGGTAGCGAGGTCGGGTGTCACCCGGTGCGGCACTTAATGGTGTCATCCCCCAGAGGCGTAGCGACCCTTCCTGGGGACAAACTTTCAATTTTTGATTTGCACCCCCACCCCCTCAAACTTTTCTCTACATATTTTGCTATTTTTTGTTTGGTGTTACCCCCCCCTAAATGGTGTCACTTGGTGTGGTCCGCACCCCCGCCTCTGCAACACATTAGTGGTCATACAACATTTTAATTTTTTTCCAATAAACTTAAACAGAATTGTGACAGTTTGGCCAGGTTTCTTTAGATCTAAATCTTTACTTTACCACAAAGTATGTTACTAGCTCTCTAGCATCATACTCACCAGGCACATATTCTATTAAGCATGCAACTACTCCGTATCCCATTTTAAATGTCTTTCTTTTACTAGTCATTATCTACATTAGTTAGGGCACAGCTACTGTCAATCTCACATAAACAAATCTACACCATAACAACATTTATCATATACAACCACTAATTGTTTTGAATTTGAATTAAAGTTTGTTTAAAATAAAGACTTTCAATGAGAAAGACATTGTACTAGCATTATCTTATAGAAAAAAATTAAAGAATTTAAAATTTTTAAAAAAAGGCTCATAAGCAAATGAAGTGGAATATTTCTGAATTATGTCATGGTTTTACTAAGACAAATTACATGGTAAACAATTCCAAACATTTAAAAAAATGGTTTTTTTAAATTTATTTTAGAATTTTAATTAAAAATGTAGAAGTGTTAATTAGGTTTTACAAATTCTAATTATTTAAATAAAGGCTGTAAAATTCATAAAAGAAACTGATTGTTCATACTTCCTTCTTTTGTGACATCTACTGATCTCTGCCTTAATATAGAAACAGGCTCCCCACCTGCAGGGGGGGACATAATAACTTCGGGAGATTTGGAGAAAGCTGCGGCATCTGCTTCAAAATCCACATCTTGAGTATCTGAAATAGGGACAAGGGTTTATAAAATTATAAAGCCACATCAATAATAAAATCTTTAAAAAAAAAGAAACTTGTAAAAGATAATTATAATACCTATAATTGTAGCCTTACCATAAAAATCAGAGTTAAATAACCAGGGTTCCAGGGTTTATCCCACTCTATCATACTATTTTAGTTTTTAAACAGTTCATTCAGATTACTAATCATGACAATTATAACTGCTCACACTGAACAAGTAATGATGGTCATATCTTAACTAAATTAAAAAATAATGCACTAATATCAGAATTTTTTTAATGTGCACTTTGATAAATAAGAAGAAACAAATTACATTTGTTCATTAAAGGAACCTGCAAGTCAGTTTATAACAAGTTAAGAGAACATTTCTACAATTTGGAGAACACTGGAAAAGTCTTGGATAATAGAATGCAATCATTTTCTTATATCTTATAAGTATACAAAATTTAGAATATTAAAATAAGTATTAAAGTAGCTATGAGAAACAGGTTTTAAAATGTATTAGTTACAACTTTTTAACATTACCAGTATATTTCTTCCGCATGATATCAGCATACAGTGTTGCAAAGAAGTTAAATGACGACTTTGTTTTTTCATGATTTTTGCCATAGATTTGCTGCCTTAGTTTTGTGCTCTGTAGAAAAACATTTAACAAAAGTTAGTTTCTAAATAGATTTTTTAATAGTAATATTAATATACCATTTAATATTATATTAACATCTAGATGCTTTTGAGAAATTTTAAATGAAAATAAACAAAATAATTAATTTCATTTAATTGTTGGCTAAACATTTATTTTTACCTTTTAAAAATCTTTTTTTTTAAGCCTAAGACACTACTTTTTGCAACACTCAATAAAATGTAATAAAATTTTAAACAGGATATGAACTTAATTTAAAAAAATGTAAATTTGTTATTTATAAAATTAATATTTGGGAAGAACAGTCACTGACATTACAATGAAGGCAACTTACTGTCTATTAACATGACAAAGTGATAATAAATCATTTGGACCAAACATTTATAAACCTTGCAACCTTTACTCAAGCTATAAACCAACTTACTTTTCCAGCAAACTGAAGAGCTAGATCTTGCCTGAAAAAATATTTAATAATATGTATTAGACATAGTTGTTTCATACTTAAAGTATATCTAAATTATCATAGGAAAATAAATTGAGTGTAATAGTGATCACTTAAATTTTGCAGTGCCATTCAAAATTATTGTAATTATATAAAATGTGTTGTACAATGAAATACATCAGTAGATATGAATGTTAGTACAGTGCAAAATGCAAACTATTTTACAAAAGCACACCATGATTAAATTATCTTTAATTGGCACTTACTGCTTTTGATCTAAGTACTGTTTTGCTAGACATTCAAAATCATCAGCTTTCAAGGCTTCTAGGTTCAGCTCATTTAAATCTTGAGGAGTAACACCACTATCACCAGCGATTTCATCTACAGAAAAATGGTAAAAACATTCTCAAATTTCATAAACATTTAATAAAAATGTTAAAATCCATTCTAGAATTTCTAATGTTATTCAACAATATCTTAATACTAACCAATTTTTTTCTGTATTTCATTGCTGTTCATTAAATATGTTATATTCACAAAATTTTCAACACGAGTGTAGTGGATTGCTTTTTCAACAAACCAAAGTTAAGAAAAATACAAGAACTTCAAATACTCTAAAACATAAAACTGGCTTATTTTTTTACAACTATCTTAAAATGGTAATACAGCTTGCATTTTGTTGTAAAACCTCTACCAAAGTTAGCAGAAAACTTAAGAGTACAAGCAAGCAAAAATGTACAGTTAGTAAAATAAGCATGTCAACATCCTGATATGATTACATATATGATTACAAAATGTTTAGTATTTAAGTGATACATGATTGAGCTGTGTAATAAACAGAAATTTAACAAAAGGATACTGTTCCCATTCTGTCTGTATATTTCAGCTATCTGAAAATAAATTAATAAAAAATTATAATGTGTCAATTACATATATTGCCTTGGATTTTTTACTTTTAAGGAAACCTACTTTGTGAAGGCACTGAGGTAACTGAGCAAAATGGTTTTTCCCCTTGAGATCCTTGATACAGTGTAGATAACATTGTAGAGCAGCATCTAAGTCATTATCCTTTTCATGAGCTAGGGCTTTTTGAAACAAGGCAAATCTGTCATCTTCTGGTGTGTTTGTGGAGCTTTTGAATCCTTCTTCTGAAAATAGAATTTGGTTTTTGACTTTGAAAGTTATATTAGACATTTTAATTTGCCTGACTGGTGGTTTCAAATTTAAATTTGAAATTTATTAATTATGAATGCTTTAGACAGATATACTTATAAAAAAATGCATAATTATAGCAATCTATGTTTTACATGTTTGTAAAATTATTTGTGTTTTTTCTTTTTTGTTTGTCAGTTCCAATTCATCAGAGCATCTGAACTAGTGTAAAACATTAAAATACATATATAAGAAGAGAACATTTTTTTCACAAATTAATTTGAAGATGTGAATTAAATTAATGTTTTTTCATAAGTAAAAACAAGCACCAGAAAAATAGACCATGTTGTCGACTGAAAAGTTTAAGTTTAATGTGTTATAAAACTAAATTTTCTGTTGGCTATAGCTTTAACAATATGTTTAGACAACAGCAACTTGTAACCCTGCCAAAAGACACAGAGGCGTAGCGACCCTTCCCGGCGCCCGGGGACAAACTTTTCGATTATGCACCCCCCCTCGAGATTTCCATTTGCACCCCCCCCCCCTCAAACTTTAGATTTGCACCCCCCTCAACCTTTCTATTTATTTTTCCAACCCATTTTGGCGCCCCCTAAGGTCGGCGCCCGGGTACATATGTCCCGTCCCGTCCCCCTTGCTACGCCACTGAAAAGACATGGGCATGAAACATAAGCAGCCATTGTTAATTTTTTTATTTTTTTTATTTTCCCAAATAGAAAGTGAACAGTGGGAAATCTCAATAGTTCTAATTCATTTTTATTATTTTGACTTAAGTTTTAATAATTTATTCATTTGTTATTCACAAGGTTTGAGCTCAGAAAATATTCTAGAAAGAAATTCTTGTTTTTATGAAAGCTGAGGTGTTACGTCTTTTTAGATGCAGGGTGTCTGGCTTATTTTAACAATGCTCAATTTAACAATTAGATACATCAATTTTTTACCTTTGGTATTTCCATTGGCATCAAGTTGGCAGTTTTTCACAGTATCTTTAATATATTCACTTTCAATTTTAGCATCTAGATCCAACTCTGATTCATAAATCTGAATGCTGTTATTTGTTTCCATATTTCATTCTAGGCCAAAGAAAAAAATTGAAAATAGTAGCAAAAACTATAATGTTGTAGCACACACACAAAAGACACAAAAAACTAACATGCACAGAATGCTTAATCTGTTAAAAATTCACATTTATTCATATCTGGCTTCTGAGCAAAAATTTGCAAATCACAGCATTAACATTATTAGATTATAAGGACTGAGGTCATCCAGTTGCCAGTCTGTTTCACCAAAACATCAATAAATTACTTGAAATTTGCTACTTTCCAGTTAGATACAAGGTGGCTGAAGAAATGTGAATAATTATATTCATAATATTAATATATCATATTTATAAATAATTATAGTTATCCCACAATTAACCAAATCCCTAGGTCTATTTTTGACATAAACAATCTATATATATAATTCTCTTCTTGGAGACGCTAGAAAACACCTAGCTGTAAGCATGCTCCCTACCACCCCACCCCTACATGGTCTGATGAGCTGTGGTTCACGCTAAATGTTTACAATAGTAGAGCCGGGTTTAGTGATGGCTATTAGGGGCAGGTAATTTAGTTTGAAACTATTTTAAACTTAGGGGAGGTAACTAAGAGGAGGCTGCTTTCACTGGGGGGGGGGGGGGGGTGTAGGGTAGGGGTTGGGGGAAAGGAGGGTCGGGGTAGTATCATCCTTAACGACCTACTGATAGTGTTTTAAAGCAAATATTTTCAGTGGCAGAATTGGTACTATCGAATTCACAAATTATGAATTACTGAAAAGTAGAAAATAAAACAACTAAATAGTGGCGTATGATATGCCGCGTGTCGGCTCGTATTATGATTTTTTATAGCTTACTTAAATTCATTATTAACATAGTAACACTGAGATGTAGAAGAGGAAAGCAGGTCTAAATGTTGATATCAAATCTATATCTATGTAATATATAGATCTAGATTCTAGTATATTAGTAATTACACAGTCAAATTATAAAAGCTAAAACAGAACTTTTTGTATTTTCCATTGTTTCTAGAAGATTATTTTCAAAAATTAAGTATTAAAGGCAGAGGCTAGTAATGTGTGAAAAAGTTGCCTCATTGTTAAGGTTTTAATAGAAGTATATTGTGATGTATTTGTGTCAAATATTATAGATAACTGAATAATAAACCAAAATTAATGGCTAAATATATCAATATAGGCAAGAAAATAACTTTAAACAGCAGTTTTTTTGAGCAAGATTTGCTATATAAACAGCTGCCATCGTAAGTTAGAGTGGTTTCCCCTGAATCTCTAACTATAAATTTACCAAAAATAAAACTTAAACCAGATGGCCGTTAAAGTAAACGAGCTTGGCTGCATCTGGTGAAAACATCGCTAGTTTTTATTTATTATTACTAAAAGTTTTAATACTATTGTTTAAAAACAGGTACATTGATGAAACTTTGAAACATTTTTGTAACTTTCAAAACATAAAATAAATCCTACTAAAATCACTATCCTAAAAATATGAAATAAGTACTAAAATTAAATGAGTCACTTTTTTTTTACATTACTAGTCTCAGCAGATTTTATGTTCCTAAGCGGATAGATTACAGAATCTAGTAACTATATACAAGTCTAGCTACATTATTACTAAGATTCATCCATAAATGATGTCACGCTTTTTTTGATGATTTTTACCTCCCCCCTCCCCTTTGTCACAAAAAGCCAGACCACCACTAAAATGACGTCACACCTCAGCCTACAACCCCCCCTCAAAATTGCTGTTGAATTTTTCTTAAAAAATTGATATATTTTTCCAAAATATTGTCAGAACTCTGTCAACATAGAGTATTTTGATCAATTCCTATAGTATTAGGCCTATAATTTATTAAAACCATTTTCTAAAACGCGTTTTCTAACATTGCTTTTATATAATGCAAAAAAGTGATGTCACACCATCTGAACCCCCTCCCACTCATCACACACCATCACAAAATTACGGACCCCCCCCCCTCCCCCCCCTACAAGTGTGACATCATTTATGGACGACCCCCAACATTAGTAATAGTAATACTAATAGTACACTCGTTCTTAAGTACTCTACTCTACTAGACTCTAGGTCTGAGAGTGAGATCTGTGTCAAATGTAAATGAGATAGGCCTATCTAATATCTATCTACTCTAGATTAGTTAGACTATCTTTCAATATCATCATGTAATTTTGTAATGCTTTTCATTCAATCAAGAAAACTTGAAAGTACTCTGACTATGACTTCAGAAATACTATGAAAGTTACTGAAAGTAGGTGACTGACCCAATTTTTTAAATTTTTTAGTCTACCACTCCACTCTACTAACACAATGTTATTAATATAAGCTCTAAGTTTATTCATAATCTAGTTATGATGCAATCAGATCTAGATTTATAAGGCATTATAATATAATATGATATGAATGAATACCTCATGTGTTACTAAACTGTGACAGTTCTGCATTCATTCAGTTGTAGTTGTTACTGCTTTACTACTTTCCTAAAGCCTGATTTGTTTCCTGAAAATATGAAATTTCGGTATTTACAAGTTACTAAACCAATCTAATTGTCAAAATATAATACACGTTTAAAAAGATACCAAAATGTAATTCAAAATACTAATATTATTTACTCTCTCACTCGGTCTCTCCCTCTTTCGCTCTCTCTCTCTCTCCCAACCCCCAACCCCACAACAAATAAAAGTTTAGCATAATTCTTTGAGCGAGTGAATAGTAAATTGCTAAGATAATTAAATCCATTAAAAGTTCTGTTCTGAAAAATCAAGAAAAGGAGGCTACCGGTTTTAGCACTTAGCCTATTTTTGTAAGAAAGCTGAGGCTTTTTGTTTTGAGACAAAAATTAGCATTTTTTAAATCCACCACATCGTTTTAAAAAGGCCACATTCACTCTTAATAATATTTTGTCACACTTTGATTTATTCACCTCTCCTCTCATTTGAAATTTTCGTAATTTAAACCATTACTTCTATATAAAAAAATATCGAGTTGTCTTTCTTTTTTAAAGGGATATAAACCAAAACTTTTAAAAGATAAAACTGTAGGCAAGGGGTCATCAATTTATATTATTTATAACTTCTACAACTAAATCTCAATTTTATACTTTAGCCTCCCCTACACACTCCTCTTATTGACGCTTGCAATGCAATAGTCCTCTCGAAACTTACTTATTAATATTGAATGTAGGCCTACTAATTTAACTAATTGTGTAATATGTGCTGCGGGACCCAAGTAATTTAGACTTGTATAATGATTTATCCTCATCAAAAATGTTACTTAGTAAGAATAGTCTTTTGAATCGGGATTGTTTTATTCAGAGGCGTAGCGATCCCTCCCGACGCCTGGGGACAAACCTTCAATTCCAATCTTCGGCTTCATGTGGGTGGAGTCTCTATATGATCATACTATTAACGACAAGATAAATTTGTGGCCGTGGCGGTGTGGACAGTGGTGCGGCTTTTCTTGGCATACTGCTTTCAGTTCATTCTCACCATCTCGACCGTCTCTATGACAATCTTTCTCACCCAGGCTCCCGCATTCCAACAGAAGCAAACGTTAGTCTACGAGGCTAGAGCATTATTAAAAGGAAACAAGGCGCAGTAAAGATACACAAGCCCAGATGCACACTTCTCTCTGTCACACTTTTGTACGAGGCTATGGGATGAGTATCTGCAGCTATAAGTGTAGAGCGAAATGCTACGGACTTATGTTAACAAAAAAAAAATTGGTGGGTATACTGAACATATACACTTAATTTTATTTAAACACAGTAATAAAATTTAAAAAATCAAATTCGAATGCAGAAACATACATTTAATTATGCAGCCTTGTGAAGTAAAGATTTTTTTCCCCTCAACTTTTAGGGAAATAGTTGTCTTCAAAACAAACACAGCGTCCAATTCAGCCATAACTACACATTACTAGTTGTCGGTTTAGAAGTTTACTGATTTATAGTACTTTATTTCGTTTCCGCTATAGCCACAACGATATATTTATTTGGTATCTCTATTTGGTTCAAACCATAATTATAATTTCCAATATTGACTTATTTTACAATTCGAGAATATGAAGAAATTAATTAGCGGACGAATAATATTTTTTTTTGTCGGCCAAAAATAAATCTAAATTTATTAAAACTGGATTTTAACTGCATTATTTAAGGTAACTGAATCATCTTGGGCATTCGATGAAGTGTTTTATTGTTTGTCTACATATCGGGTATTTCTCCCGAGATCGGAGCAAAGTGCGCCAGGTACTCTAGTCAACAATATAGCTCTCCCTCTTGAAAAAAGTCAAGCTGAAAAGAAATTAGAATAACACAGCAACTCCCCAAAGGTATTTTTACCAACACCTCTTCTTCTCAACCTTGAGTGCTCGTTATTTGGAGAATATGGAAGGCTACTAGTCTTGGTCTATACTTTCCATTGTGTGTTTTATTGCGGCAACATTTTGATTTACTTGATAGACAACTAGAAATTGTGCGCCCTGATTTGGAATTTAAATCCATTTACTGACTAAAAATATCAATGATCATTTCTTTTTTGAAAACGAATTAAACCCAAATGAGGATAAACAAACAAAAACAAATAAACATTTAAGTTAAAATTTAACTGATTTTAAGTAGCCTATAACCTTGAAGAATATTTAATCGAACATAAAAATAAATAATGAACAAACTCGCTTCATCGTGTTTTTTCTTTAAAAAATAACGTGTAATGATGAGGCTTTATAAGAAAAAAAACCTAGTAATATTAGAAGGGAAAGCTAGGGTGCTGTATACAGGGATCAAGTCCCATGGACTAATAGATATAACTGGCTCAATTTCATTTTAATATAATTACATTCTTACAATTTAAAGCACCTGATAGACACTGATGTTTTAACTTAATTAAGACGTCTATAAAACATTATGTGAAGCTAAAAAAACATTTTTCGAAAATGAAATTTCCTGCCTAAATAAAGTGTCTAAAATATTCTGTTAATATGTGTTCCATAATAATTATCTCCTAGACTAATAGTGCTTTGTGTCCAATATAAATACAATTGCAGTATGTTTAAAGTTTGGATGTACAAAGAATGAGTGATTTAATAAACTATAACCAGAAGCATGACGAGGATCATGATGATGCCTGCGGGGTGTGTGAGCATCAGGAACAGCGCCCAGATGAAGGCCTGGATGACGGCTAAGATGGAGAGCAGCAACACCGACAGGATGACCATCAAGACGGACAGCGGGAAGGCAATGAGCTGGAGGAAGAAATGAAATCCCAGGATGAGCACCCGGGGGAGGGGGCCGCATTTGGTCCGCTCACACAGCAACATCATCTCCTCCAGGGCGCTGGATATGAAGAGGAGCACGGCCAGGGAGAGGAAGATGAGGGAGGGGAGGACCATGCAGCTGACGATGGCGTCATCACTCATCGTGCCAGCTCTTTCAATCAGCTGCTGCGGTGGTTTTGTGACTTTACGCTACGCTTCTTCATCCGGCTTGCCGGCGTTTTACGGTGATTTGATCTCCAACCGCAAGAATACAAAATTCGGTCGTCTAGTTCAAGAAATATTTCCTGGACAACTTGTCTCCTTTTTTGTGTGTCCACAAACCGCAAGCAACAGTTCGGTGGCGATAGAGTTACATATACAATGTTTTACTCGAGGCCCGAGATCATGTACAATTCTAAGCGATGTTAAAATGTGTATACTGGCACATTGATGTTTCTCATCAAACCTGAAAACATTTCAAACTATTTAGACCTCTACTTCTGGTCAGGCAAAGTCCATTTCTAAATGCTGTACTGTAAGCAGTTTAGTTTAATTTAGTCTCTTCCCTTTTCTTCAACTTCAGATTCAACTACGTGTGAAGGTCGTTAGACCTTGAAGTCGCAGATGGCACAATGCTATTTGCTAGAGACGACTATCAAGTTGACGAGGCGGCTACAGAACTGCATGTTTGTTTTGTTTTCTTCATGCCTTCAGCGATTTGCCGCCAGGCTGTTTAGGAAACATGACGTTCAAAAGAACTATAATGGTGCATTGCTTTTAGCTTGATGGTGCGCAAAATAAATCACTATAATGTTATCTAAAGAAATAATTTAAAAGTTTATTTCATATCAGCATTGCCGAAGCAACGAAACATCATCTAAAAAAAAAGAATTAAAGAAAAAAATATCTTTGAAATTTGTTTTTAGAAGCTTCTATTTAACTGCTTCCTTTGTCGTGCTTTTGTTGTCGTGCTTTTGTCGTATTTCGCCATGGATAGAAACTGGCGAGCGAAGTTTCGACAACTTCTAACCGACCATTTTCTCTTAAACTTGTCACGTGGGTCAAAACTCGATGACAATGCAATCTGACATAAAATTTGACTAAATTAGATGCTAATATAATTTTTAAAGAATTAATTTAAATCTTACTATTTACCGCGCTATAAACGCACATTTTTAGTGTTCATTCAGTGCGCACTTGATTTTAGTCACACAACTTTATTGTATTAAAAAATTTAATTTTGAAGTATTGAAAACGAATTGCATAAAAAATGTTTTAATAACAAGCTTTTATGGAATAATTTACTAAAAAGGAGAAAATACATGATTTTCTTTAAACATACAATTATGAACTACTATTTACTATTTAAAAAAGTAAAAATAAGAGCCTTTTTTAAATAAGAAAACTAAAAATATATGCATTTCTTGTGTATGTAACCCACTAAGCCAATATTTATATTCAATAATCATTTACTAATGTTTCAAGTTTCTTTTTCAAAAAGTTATAGGGGATAGAAATGTGACCACCCACCCTACCCCACCCCATTGATCCGCCACTGTGAGGGTTTTGTCAGGTGTAAAGTGAGTTCACGTAATGTCCCCCGAATCATGGCTATAATCCTGTATAATCATGTAGTTACATCCACACTTAATCCTAAACTCTAATGCGAGACAAACTTTCGAAAACCACTGACCTAAAGCCGATGTTAGGTTTTATAATACGAAACCCAACGGTCCTGGGATCCACCACAGAACTCTGTATGACAGCATCGCTTTGTTTATTCACGCATGGAGTAGAGGCTTAGATAGTTAGTAAAAAGCAGAACTCAAAAAAATTCCCCGAATAACTTCCTTATAACTAAACGATAGACTGATGTCCTTCAAGTTGAGCAGTCACTTGAGGGGAGATCACCACTGCACGTTCATTTCTTTGATTATGAAAAAACCTACCACGGTGTAGACAGAGATACACTCTGGAAGCTGATACGACAAGAAGATAAACCTGATTAAGAACACATACGAGGGGGGAGTCCTGCAGATGTGTCAATGGAGGGCAACGTATGGAGTTTCTTCCTGGCATCTCGGTCGGGGGGGGGGGGGGGGGTCAAGCCCCCAGAAGAAAGTCTGCCGCTCCCTCCCCCCCCCCCCCAACATGAAAGGAATTTATATGGAAAATATACTTTTACCAGTGTTCCCCCCCCCCCCCTGAAAAATTTAGTCCGCCCCCTCCCCTCGAAATATTAAGTGCACCCCTCCCCTCCGGAAAAAAAAGTA